CAAATGAATCACATCCTTTCTTTCAAAATATAGTATTCTCTTTGGCTTTAGTAACTCAAACGAAAATGAGTCTAAAGAATTTTTTGTTCTGGTAGAATCTCTTATTACTTTAATTAAAAAGATATTTGTGATCTTCTTCAAATAAACAAAAGTTAAAACCCTACACCAACTTTATTTAAAAGTAAAGAGGTGATCTATTTTCCAAATTGAAGCTAAAGGTTCAAATTTATGATGAGATGTAAAAATAATGGTAAAAAATTTCCCGCAAAAAATATAAACAAAAATTGACGAAGTAGGTTATTTTTGTATTTCTTGCCAAAAAGATTCATAACAAGTTTAGTTTTTAAAGAAAAGAAACGATTCATATCTCAAAATAAAGCTTAAAGATACTAAATTGTGATAGGATGAAGTTTGATTATAAAAGAATCTTCAAAAGTTCGTAAAAAATCAATAATTTAAAGGCCCATATCATCTTTGTTTTTAAGAGTAAAGGGATTATTTATTTTTCAAGTTGAAGCTTAAAGATTCTAATTTATGATAATATATAAAAATAATACGATTTGATTACAAAAATTTTCTAAAAATAGATTAATTAGTTCGTTATTGTATTTTTCAAAAAAATTTACAGCAACTTTATTTTTTAAAGCAAAACAACGATTCATATTTAAAATTGAAGCTTAAAGATTCTAGTTTATTATAAGATCTAAATACATGGAGATTATAAAAGAATCTTGAAAATTTCATAACTCAAAATTAAAGTAATTGTATTTCTCACAAAAACAAACAATTTCAAAAACCTCTATGAAGATTATTTTTAATAGTAAAGGGATGATTTATATTTCAAATTGAAGTTTAACGAGTCTAATTTATGATAAGATATAAAAATAATGCGATTTGATGATAAAAATTTTCTGAAAAAATATCATAAACAAAAAAAAATAGATGAATTAGGTTGTTATTGTATTTCTAAAAAAAAATCGAATACTTTAAAAAATCATAGCAAGTTTAATTTTTTAAGCAAAGGGACGTTTCATATCTCAAATTGAAGCTTATAGATTCTAGTTTATGATAAAATATAAAAGTAATGCGGTTTGATAATAAAAATTTGCTGAAAAAAATCATAAACCAAAATAGATGAATTAGTTTGTTATTGGATTTCTCAAAACGAAAATCGAATACTTTAAAAAATCATAGCAACTTTATTATTTAAAGCAAAGAAACGATTTTTATCTCAAATTGAAGCCTAAAGATTCTAGTTTATGATAAGATCTGAATACATGGAGGTTTGATTATAAAAGAATCTTGAAAATTTCGTAAACAAATTAAAGAAATTGTATTTTTCGGAAACATATATAATTTCAAAAACTCGTATCAACTTTATTTTTAGGAGTAAAGAGATGGTTTATATTTTAAATTGAAGCTTAAAGATTCTAATTTATGATAAGATCTGAATCCATGGAGGTTTGATTATAAAAAAATCTCGAAAGTTTCATAAACTCAAAATTAAAGAAATTATATTTCTCAAGAAAGCAAACAATTTCAAAAACCCCTATGAACTTTATTTTTAGTAATAAAGGGATGATCTATATTTCAAATTGAAGCTTAACGATTCTAATTTATGGTAAGATATAAAAATAATGCGATTTGATGATAAAAATTTTCTGAAAAAATATCATAAACAAAAGTAGATGAATTAGGTTGTTATTGTATTTCTCAAAAAAAAAGCAAATACTTTAAAGCATCACAGCAACTTTATTTTTTAAAGCAAAGAAACGATTCATATTTCAAATTGAAGCTTAAAGATTATAGTTTTGGATATGATCTGAATACATGGAGGTTTGATTATAAAAAAATCTTGAAAATTTCATAAACTCAAAATTAAATAAATTGTATCATTCGGGAAAACTAAAAATTTCAAAAACTCCTATCAGCTTTATTTTTAAGAATAAAGGGATGATTTATATTTCAACTTGAAGCTTAAAGATTCTAATTTATGATAAGATATAAAAATAATGCGATTTGATGATAAAGATTTTCTGAAAAAAAATCACAAACCTAAATAGATGAATTAGATTGTTATTGGATTTCTCAAAAAAAAATCAAATACTTTAAAGCATCACAGCAACTTTATTTTTTAAAGCAAAGAAACGATTCATATTTCAAATTGAAGCTTAAATATTCTAATTTATGATAAGATCTGAATCCATGGAGGTTTGATTATAAAAAAATCTCGAAAGTTTCATAAACTCAAAATTAAAGAAATTATATTTCTCAAGATACATGGAGGTTTGATTATAAAAAAATCTTGAAAATTTCGTAAACTCAAAGTTAAAGAAATTGTATTATTCGGGAAAACTAAAAATTCAAAAACTCCTATTAGCTTTATTTTTAAGAGTAAAGGAATAATTTATGTTTCAAATTGAACCTTCAAGATTCTAATTTATGATAAGATATGAAAATAATGCGACTTGATGATAAACATTTTCTAAAAAAAAATCACAAACCTAAATAGATGAATTAAATTGTTATTGGATTTCTCAAAAAAAAATCAAATACTTTAAAGCAACACAGCAACTTTATTTTTTAAAGCAAAAAAACGATTCATATTTCAACTTGAAGCTTAAAGATTCTAATTTCTGATAAAATATAAAAGTAATGCGATTTGATAATAAAAATTTTCTGAAAAAAAATCATAAACCTAAATAGATGAATTATTAGGTTGTTATTGTATTTCTCAAAAAAAATCAAATACTTTAAAAAATAACAGCAACTTTATTTTTTAAAGCAAAGAAACGATTCATATCTCAAATTGAAGCTTAAAGATTCTAGTATATGATAAGATCTAAATAGTTGGAGGTTTGATTATAAAAGAATCTTGAAAATTTCATAAACTCAAAATTAAAGAAATTGTATCTTTCAGGAAAACTAAAAATTTAAAAAACTCCTTTCAGCTTTATTTTTAATAGTAAAGGGATGATTTATATTTCAAATTGAAGCTTAAAGATTCTAATTTATGATAAGATATAAAAATAATGCGATTTGATGATAAAAATTTTTTCAGAAAATATCATAAACAAAAATAGATGAATTAGGTTGTTATTGTATTTCTCAAAAAAAAATCGAATACTTTAAAAAATCGTAGCAACTTTAATTTTTTAAGCAAAGGGACGATTCATATCTCAAATTGACGCTTAAAGATTCTAGTTTATGATAAGATTTGAATACATGGAGGTTTGATTATAAAAGAATCTTGAAAAATTCATAAACTCAAAATTAAAGAAATTATATTTTTTTGAAAAATCTATAATTTCAAAAGCCCATATCAACTTTATTTTTAAGAGTAAAAGGATGATTTATATTTCAAATTAAAGCTTAAATACTCTAATTTATGATAAGACATAAAAATAGTACGATTTGATCATAAAGATTTCCTACAAATAAAAATTATTTACAGAAATAGACGATTTAGGTTATTTTTGATTTTCTCAATAAAAAACAAATACTTTAACAATAATAATAGCAAGAGTTAAGAGATGATTTATATTCCAAATTTAAGCTCAAATATTCTAATTAATGATGAAGTTTGATTATCCTGAATAAAGTCTTCTTGTTGGGATGAAAATCTCTCCCACATCCACACTGCCACTTTAAAATACATATAAATAAATGAAATATTTAAATCAAATCCATTCTCAATATTCTTATTATTTTCCATGTATAGAAGATAACGAACACGTGTAACTTATTCTGTCGATTTGAAAATTGAAGGACGCCCGCCGTGTAATATAATAGCGACGACGTGACGCGATGTCCTGTATAGAAATTTTGAAGCACGTGGCAGCGTCGGCGTCGCGACGCCGCACGTCCACCAAAAAAGGCGGCGTTCAAATTGTTAACCAACGTTTGAGGGAAACCTCCCGTACTCGTTCACCGGGTGACCCCGTGGGTATCGATCGTGGGGGGGTGTACCCTCCGGTGGCGGTGGCGGCGGCGGCGTATTCCCAAACGCCGACTGACCCGCATATTTATCGTCTCGGTTTCACTCTCTATCAGCCCTTTTCAAAGGGTGTTTCCGCCGACTAGGGTCGGACCAAATCTTGTTTGCAAACCCAACGCTTTGTTAAGAAATGAAATCAATGAGTCGTGTTTTTAAATTTATATTTTCATTCTTTCTTGTGTTATTATACTTTTAAACATATCTCTTTTATTAATTTTTCTTAATTAAATAAAAATGGGAGATTTATTTTTGTTGGAAATTGGTATTTCTTAAAGACGTGAAAATTAAATGTGTTTAAAATAATTTTTTAAATTTAATTTAAGATTTTCTTTGAAATTTCCACGTGTTTTGCCATACACTTGATACTAACCGCGTATCGATTGGTTGGATAGAGGCGCCACCTAGTAGACGTCGTCGTCGAAAACGGGCGCCGCGACGCCGTCGCCGCAGAGTCGGACGCCGCCGTTGCCGGGCAACGCATCCCCGTTTCGCGCACCCCCGTGCACGATTCAATTATCTGACGTGTTCGTTCCACTTCTACCCGAAAGTTTATTGACTCCGCGGGGGAGGGCGCGCGTGGCGGAGGCGTCGCGACGCCAAACTACGGCACCCTGCGATGGTCAGTCAGTTCCCGAACGCGGGGGTTGGTTGGGGTAACTTATCTATTAAATTCTCGTGAGATGTTTAAATTATATCTGACGGATAAGAAAACGTTAACAAAAAATGTTTTCGTTGAGATCTCTTTTTCTGTTGTATCAGTGATTGATTTTTTTTCTGATGGGTGTTTATTGTGGGGGCGGTTTTGGTTGGTGGTGGAAAATCGACCGGTATTTAGGATGATGATTTTGATAAAGATGGTGAAGTGGAAATTGTATAACGTGTTTTTTTCGTTATTTTTATTAATGTGTTTGAGTTTGAACTGAATTGGAAAATTTACGAATCTGTATGTACATTATCAAAATTAATTATTTATTTCTATTAATCCATGTTAATTTCTTTCCAGAATAGCCGATATCGAACAATCAGAATGGCGTTATCCCTTAAAATCAACATCGTCGACAGCAATGTCACCAAAACCATCGTTTTCGATTCGTCATCAACAGTTTACGATGCTTGCAAAATCATCAGGGAAAAATGTACTGAAGCTAATCTTGGCCAACGTAAGTTTGTGTATTTCTATAACGGAAATGTTAATATTTACAACGACGTTATCATAAAATAAATATGGGAAACAGGAACTGTTTAAAAAGTTTCTTAACATGTTACTATAAATTATTGAGATTAGATTACGTTTTTTTTTTGAGCAGCCGATGAAAAAGTTGTTTCATTTTCTTAGAATACTATAGCTAATAAGTAGCACCAAAAATCTGAATGACATACGCAAGCATTACTCAATTTAATTCATTACTAATCCATTTTATTGATTTCTTAATGTTCGTTATATCCGATTTTTTGTATTTCTGGTTATACCGTATCTAGGTCCAACAATCTCATTCATCTTTTAACATTTTTCTCTTTTAGCTGCCTTCCCCATTTTTTACATAATTTTCTCTATCCTGCACATTCTCAATATCCACCATGACTTAATTTAAAGATTTCAAGTCCAATTTGTGTAAGTTTGGTCGAGGGGAGCATGGAGCAAGCTCAAACTGACGTGAAGAGTAAAGCGGCCTTTGCATTTTAAAACACTCCATGCAGAATGATTGATTGCATTGAGGTCCGGTGAGTATGAGGTGATTACGAAGATGTGATCAAGTAAGGAAACCAGGTTTTACGGCACGACTTCTTTGTGAACCTAAGCAGAATCTTGTTGGAAGACCTAATCAGTTCTTTTTAAATTGCTGGAAAATCTACAGATCCACAACAATCTTCATGTAAATAGGATTCAGCAACGTTGTAATTTTTACCAGTTGGGCTAATGTTCGCACACACAAAGAAAAATAAGAATCCTATGTTGTACTTGGTCAAAGCTTATTCAAGCAAGATCCGAATAATCTTTTGAGGAGTCTTTTGCATTAAGATTGCCGCGATATGCTCCTCTTTTGAATAACTTGACAAATCGCCTTGTTTGAGACGCGTTGAAAACATCATTTCAGTATGATGCGTGCAGAAATTGTGAAATTTTATTTCCAGAAAAGTTCCTCTATTACGCTTGCTCAACGCGCATACAAAGCAAAATATATCACAGTCGTTCAAGGCCCACAGCCAAGACAATTCGAAGTTTGGTAGCGAAATTCAATACCAGTGGTTCTTTGTCAACGTCAAAGCTGAAAGTTAAGTGCCGATATTTAAGAGTGTCATCAAGCTTCCGTTCGGAGCAGTGCTCAGCAGTTTGGCCTCTCTACGATGACGGTTTGGCAACTGAACTCGAAGAAAATGACATGGAGAATTACTGGATCCAGCAAGATGATGCAACATCCCATACTGCTCGATTAATAATGGATTTACTGCGTACCATGTTTCCAAATCGATTGATATCGAAAAGTGGTGATTACGACTGGATGGCGAGTTCGCCTGATTTGACGCCTCCTGACTTTTTCCTGTGGGGATACCCACAGGAGTATAGAGAGCAAGGTTTATGTCAACAAGCCAAATACTCTCTAGCAACTTAAGGCCAAAACACTCGCAAAATGTCGAAAAAAGGTCCGACTTTATGGTGACAGCTTGGAAAGGCCACCTATCAAACATCACTTTCAAAAAGTGTCTAAACAAATTGTACAAGTCCAAATTTGAATAAAATGATCGAATCCAAACAGAATATTGACTTGTTTTCAAGTTATTCAAAAAAATCATCGCTTACAACAAAATGGTCCGTATATTCAAAACCAAAGGAATCAAGTACTTAAATTTCGAAACCGACGTCTTTCAAGGACTGAACAATACTTGTACTGTCCTAAATTCATCCATAGTTTAAAAATATATATCGTTCAGATACATAATACAGGAAGTATATATAACATAAATGTAATGAAACTGAAAGCACATTTTGCTCGATGATAACAGACACATTGAGTCTTTATCCATGAAATAAAGAAAAATAATAAATGAAAAGAATACTGCGACCAGATCGAGTCAAGCAAGGATGGCACAATCAACTACAGAAGTCAGATTAAAAATAGCTGGAAGAGAATAAGGTGAGAATTTGGGAAAATACCCTCTTAGAGAAGTGTTAATACATAAACCAAACTATATAGAGGCTCTTAATGAAAATAAAGAGAAGGTACTACTTCAAAACGTAGTTCGGCAAAAAATGTATTTTCGAAGACACAAAAAAAGCAGTTGATCATTTGAGAATCCTGTTCAACAATACGAGTACTATAGATAAAAACTATACTCATTTGGGCATTCGAAATAACGGTGAAAAAGGTTAAATCGATAACTTAAATGTACGAAAAGTTAAAAAGAATTCTGTAGGAGAGACTATGCGAACAAAATGTATAAAATGCAGAATCCCTTAGCACGTTGGAACTTGATCAGAATAGAAGAGTATCACAACACTATAAGATTTCAAAATATATATGTCGCAGGTAAATGGTTGTTTCAGGTAAATAGCTTTTTCCTAGTAAGATACTATCTGCCTAGGCAAACAATTTTATTCCATTTATTTCAGTCGAAATTCTACTTTCCTAGGCAAATAGCATATGGCTAAAATATTTTCAGGCAAATAGCAGAATGCAAAGTATTTAATTGCATATGATAATTAACATCGATTAAACCTTTAAAATACTTTTCAATATTTTTCCAACAACTCTCCATTAACATTTTTATATTATACAATTTCCACAGATAAATTATCAATAGCATAACAAATGCATATATCGAGTAAATCTTTTAAAAAATATTTCTGGCTAACGTAAAATAATTAAAGCCCAAGCATTCTGTATGGTACTTATCATAATAATCTCTACTACTTTATTTTATTGTGAACAGGTACCTACTCTATATTGCATTGTTGTATCGAAAAAATGGTAGTTGCCTAAAACAAGCTTAGACAGATACTATTTGTTTTGTCCAATCGTATTTGCCTACACATTTAATGATAAAACTATAACGAAATACTCTTTGCCTAGGCAGATATGTGATTAGGAAAAAGCTGTCTTCCTGAAATAACCATAACCATATACAATTCTATAAGAAGTGATTATTACTGGGATGGTTCACACCTCATACTTTTATCGCACCGTTTCCTCCTCGTTTCCTACAGCAAGAACAATAAGAATAAAAGTTTCTTTAATACCGCTGTTAAAGTATGCATATCAGACACAGACCCTACTATGATTAGCTAACTTTGAAACCACCGTTAGGGTGTACTGCAGAACATACAACGTCGTATTCAAGAACTTACCTTACAAAGATGGGATAAAAAAATATGGTATTGATTTTTGAATACAGTGTTAAGATGGTCATAACGAATAAACGAGTAAATAAAGCCGTAATGAACAAACTTTGGATTATATGAATGTTGGCACAACGATTTTCCTGTATACTTTGGAAGGGACAAAGAAATTCAGTAATTTTTTGTTGAACTTTAATGAAGCAATTTGGTATATAGATAAATTACGTTTAAGCGACTCACTTTTTCATCACTATTTCCTTATTTAACGTCAAAATGTTTATTAAATATTAATTAGGTCACTTGCTCGGATTAGCTGGTACACCAACGGAATGAACTAATGAACCAATCAAGCTGGTGGCTTATCTCGAATATATTCGTGTTGTTGTCATCGTTATCTTCTCAAAAGGGGTAGTCAACAAACTAGATACCTTTAAGCATGGATTTGTACTCCTCCTGGAATCGCAGACGCAAATAAACACAACCTACGAGCCAAAGAACATTACGATAAAAATACGATAAAATTATTTCCATAATAAACCAAAACATTGATTTAAATTAAAGAAAAATGAAGAAAAATCTTTTTGTTTTCCCTTTGTATCAATAGAAAAGCATACTTTACTTACATTTTTAAAAATATCAGTACTGGATTTTGTAAGAAGTAGTTCTCATAACATTCCAGAATTACTAAATGTTCCATATTTTGCAACCATTGTCTACTCCTTAGCAATAAAGTATTCCGCATAATTTTATGAGTTACTTTCTTTAACTATAAAACAGGGCTATAGTTTTTGACTGATGGCTATGACATCGATAAACAATTTAGCGATACCATAGAAAAAGCTAACAGAAAAAGTTTTGTCCTATTTAGAAATCAAATGAAAAAAACTTTATGTTGAGAACTGTTGCGTTGCAGTAATTAGGAACTTTCTAGGAATTAGGACTTTTAATAACCAAGATTCAGTCATATCAAGACTTACGTTGCAAAAATTTTACTAAAACTCATCTACTACATTCTTTGCCTTAAATTCCTACCTAAAGTTGTTAAGTTTCATCCCATGTGTTGTAGCAGTACACATATTTCGCAAAGTTTTAGTAATTATAATTATGCCGTGAGTTTCGTCAAAATACTTCTGACCGCTATGCTCAATATGTTTGCGAAGTAATACGAAACCCGATTTATTTATCGCATAATAAATAATATGATAAACAAAATAACAAAGGTTTGATGGTGTTTGATGAATGTTCTTGAGTAGATTTGCGCTGATTTAGTAAACATATCAATTTACATTCTTTAGCGAACTAATCTAACACAGTGAGATGATAATTTACGCGATATCTATGTGGTTTGACCTGAAAGAAAGCAGTCACACATTGGCGGCAGTATTTGCAAGAATTTCTAATCAAGATTAAAAAGAAAGAGGCTCTTAACAAGACTTGATAGCGTTATATTATGTAATTTGATATGAATTTTAACACCGAACCAATTTTCGAAGAGGAGATTTGATTCTATAAATTCCGAAATTCTTAATCCTTATTCAGAATGTTATAGCAAGACTACAATGATATAGAACATTATTATATTATTAAAAGAAAAAGATTGAACAAAGCGTAATAGTGTGTTAAACGAAGTAATTCACATTTATAAGGGTGCACAACCTAGAAGCCTTTTAAATAGGGAATCAACAGAAGATGACATTTATGTCTTTACCCTTGATTTAGAAAAAGCTTTAGTTTTTCCAAAACCAAGGATTTTATAAATTGAATATATGTATGATGGATATGTGTCAGCACACAAAAACAATAAAAAATGTTAATATTTTAAAGCATCAGAGAAGAACTAATGTTAAGAGCTCTAATAGAGAAAATAGAAGGTAACAGCTTAGATAGTTCGAAACGAATACCAAAGAAAATGTTCAATATGAAACCAGAAGGAAGAAGAAGTGGGGAGTAAGAATGCGTAAATTAGGGAGTGGCGTTGAAAAGGGGGAAAAATGTCGCCGCAACACGATAAATGGCTACAGGAGATGGATCCGACACCTAACATGGTGATGGTGAACGAGGGTAAGAGAAAAAAGAAGAAGGAAAACAAAAACCCCATCATATTTTGTTTTTTGACAACTTACAATTGCCAAAATGCACATTAAATGGAAGAACTTTATGACTCACCTATTAGAAGTAATGGCACTCATAAGACTCTAGTTTATGAACTTAATGTAGTTACCTTTACAAGAGAATATTGGTTCTAAGAACATAATAATGACAAGATGGGGTTGATCAACATTTTGCACAAGAAGAAATATCTTGGCTTATCGATATACAGTGTGTCCATAATATAATGGTACACTTTTGACCGGTCACAGGAAAGCAACATATCGAGACAGAAATGTGAAATCTTCACCAAATAAAAGGAAAACTCCCCAGTTTTCGTAGTATGATGACCTTTATTGATAGTAGGCTCCCAAACAAAATATGTAACAGCGTTAGATTGAGACCATGGTGACCACTTATCAGCTCAGTACATAAAAATCTTCTATATATTAACAATAATTCCATGTGGAGATAAAGCCGAATAGATAACTGTAGTGTCGGTTAACTAGCCATGGTTCCATCAGTGTTGGCTGGTGATCAAAGCAGAGGAGTCTAAAAAAGGAAGCGCCTAATCGCATTCTTTCTGCCTACTTACATAATAAAAATCAATAAAAGTGTGGTCTTAACAAATATTAATTATGTTTCGCTATCACTGTTTCATTGACCCTAGCAAATCACAAAGCGTAGGCTAAATTGCCTAGCCTAAGTTATTGCATGCAGTATCCAAATTGCTTCAATAGTAAAAAATATAGAAGATGAAGTAAAAGAAATAACCGTTTAAGCGCCATCTGTTGAGATCTATTATTATTTTTTAATATAAAACAAACTTGAAGGTAAGTTCTAAGAAAGAAAAGAAAATTTTCATCCAGCTGCCCAAAAATAACTGTTAACGTCATCAAAGTTTCAAATAAAATTTCTCAAAATAAAATTCCAATAAAATTTTTTTAATACACCCAATATTAATAAATCATAAATTTTCTTTTTATAGCTAAAGATTATGGTTTATTTCTTACGGATTCTGAAAATAAATCAGGAGTATGGTTAGAACCAGGCCGACAATTGGCTTATTACATCTTAAGAACGGGAGATCTCTTAGAATACCGAAAAAAATTAAGAACATTAAGAGTAAAAATGTTGGATGGTTCCGTAAAAACCATGCTGGTAGATGACTCCCAAATCGTTGCAAACTTAATGGTGGTGATCTGCACGAAAATCGGTATTACAAACCACGATGAATACTCGTTGGTGTTAGATGAACCGGATAATCAAGAAAATTTGGAAAATCGTAATTATGGTACTCTAACGCTGAAACGTAAAAAAGAGGAAAAAGGAGAACGCGATGCTAAAATGGAATTGCTTCGTAAGAAATTGAAGACGGACGATGAGCTTAACTGGGTCGATCCGACGAAAACGTTGCGGGAACAAGGAATCGATGAACACGAAACCGTCCTGTTAAGAAGAAAGTTTTTCTTCTCCGATCAGAATATTGATTCGAGAGATCCCGTCCAATTGAATTTATTGTACGTCCAAGCCAGAGATGCCATTTTAGACGGAACCCATCCGATCACTTTAGATAAAGCTTGCGAATTCGCCGGTATTCAATGTCAAATTCAATTTGGAGATCACGTTGAGACAAAACATAAAAGTGGATTTTTGGAGTAAGAAATTCTTTTTTTTCTCCTATTAATTTTAATTAATTATTTATTTAGTTTAAAGGAATTTTTGCCTCAATCCTACGTTAAAATTAAAGCTGTCGATAAAAAGATTTTTGGCGAACATAAAAAACATAGTGGGATGAACGAGCTAGAAGCTAAAGTACTTTACACTAAAAATGCAAGATCTTTAAATACTTATGGAGTAACTTTCTTTTTAGTAAAGGTAATACATTTAAGACTTATTAAGTAATTTATTTTTAAACTTTATTTTTGTGGATTTAGGAGAAAATGAAAGGCAAAAATAAATTGGTACCACGTCTTCTTGGAGTTAATAAAGATTCTGTGCTGCGTCTCGATGAAAACACAAAAGAAATCTTGAAAACTTGGCCGTTAACAAGCGTGAAAAGATGGGGTGCTAGTCCCAACACGTTCACCCTTGACTTTGGAGACTATTCCGATCAATATTATTCTGTACAAACTACTGAAGGCGAACAAATCCAACAAATTATTGCTGGATATATTGATATAATCTTGAAAAAAGTAAGTGATGCATTAAATTTAAGCAAATTTTGTTTATTTATTTTTCTTTTGCAGCAACAAGCAAAAGATCATTTTGGAATTGGTGGAGATTCTGGATCAGCAATGGAAGAAGTTATTGTTTTGCCAAATAGGTAATTATAAATTATATAACACTCATAATTAACGCGTCTTTCGTCAAAACCAGTAAAATCAAAATCACATGGTTTAGCCCTGTGAGATGCACCTTTGGCAGTTTGATTTCCTTTATTTCTAATATTTCTTGTCTATTATCATTTAAGAGATAGTAAGTTTGGGAATTACACACCCACCAGATCCTAATGCCATAATTATCAGGCTGTGAACGCACAAGTTGTCTAAATGGGTCTCTTCTTTATTTGTCAAGTATTATGCCAAATAACTGGAATAGCTACCTAGCTATTTCATTGAAAGCATCTTATTAATAAATGTGGTCTTCAATATTTTCCCCCACTTTCATTTTAGATTTTCTTATGTTACATGATTGACTCGTCCTGTTGAAAGCGTTAATAATAATTCCAAAATATTAGCAGCATTTTTGGACTTTTTTGTTTCATTTATTCGTCCTTATTGTCATTATCTGGATTATCCGACTTTAAATTTAAAATAAGTTCCTCTAGTTTAATCTAATAGCAATGAACCTATTGTGGAATAGCTAATATCCTTCGCTGGGAATGAGTATTTGAACCCAAGTTGAAATTAATTAAATGAGCCAAACCAGTGAAACAATATTAGAGGTTCATGAAATATGGGCAAGCTTTGATATATAATATCGAGTCTATGATATTGATGGAAACTTGGTCAATACTGTAATAGAGCATAACACTGACGTTGCTTGCGGCCAAAGTACTGGTTTGATATTGGCAAAAACCTAACCAGGTTTTCACACTGCAATAAAACATCATATACAAAGTGTCAGATAAAAAACGCCCCTAGCTGTAACTCTGTTATTTATATTCCGATTTTTTTGAACCAGGTACCAAACGAAATGATATCATGAATACTACGTTTTAGGCTACAAATAAAATTTTTCCTGTGCTATCTATGATATCTTTTCATTTTTTTTTTTCACGTCGCTTTATAGAGATTTTTTTCTGAATCCAACGATAGTATTGCACATCAACATTTATTAAGTACTTCTTGCAATCAAAAAACAATGTACTTTGTTTTTACTGAATAGCTTGCCATAATCACTAGAGTTTTTTCTCCATTCAAAATAAACTTAGGTATAACAAACCAGTAAGTGCATTTCAATTCATGATTTTTCATTAAAAATAAATTAAGCAAGAATCAAAAGTTCAGGAAATGTGTAAAACAGTAATTACTATTAATGACAATTATGTGTTTTGTTTCCATCGTTCTTTTTCGACTTTTTATGATAGAAGCGCGATTTGAAAAACCAAAAGTTAGGTAGTTATCATAATCTTTTTCCTTTCTTTATCCTCTCTATCCAGATTATTTCTTATATTACTAGTCTCTTATTTCAATAATTTCTGCCCAGTCTATTTAGTCTCATTCGAATCTCTCTTCAGTAGTTTAGTCTATTACTAGTCGTTTTGCGCTATTTCTTTTTTGCTCAGTACCTTTTTATCCATTACTAATCCTTTTTCAGATTTCTCCTTTTCTGCACACTTTTCTACTCAGGCTTATTCTTCTATTTTCAGCTTTTACAGTTTTCCTGGTCTCTGCCTAGTGTCTTTCTTATATTTACAATCTGCCTCCTGTCTCCCTTCATTCTTTCAAGTATCTTTCTTCTATTTGGAGTTTTGTCCAGACATTCTTTTATTACCAGGCTATTTCCGCCCTTTCTGCACAGACTTTTTATTGCCAGTCTCTTCCAAATAACAAATACAAAATCCCTCCTTTCTGTCCAGTTCTTCTCTTTTCTGCCTATATTCAATCTTTCTCTTCTTTACCTAGCCTTTTTCGTAGTCTTTTTCTTGCCTCCTTCACCTCTTCCCAATTCCTCTTCCATTACCAGTGTTTGTTTAGTCACAATAATTTTTGCTAGGCTAGGCTGTCTTTGCCTACCAGTCTCTATTCATTCTCATTAATTTCTATCTAACCTAAGTCTTTTCTTTCCACTCTCTTTTCATTGTCAATAATCTTTACCCAGTTTGTTTCATCTTTTTCCAGTATCTATTTAGTCTCTTTTTAACATTTCGCGTCTCCTCCTAGTTTCTTTCTTGTCTTTACATCCTATTTTTTATCTCGTTAGCGAATTTCTTTTCTCTTTAAAAATTTTATTTTTCTCGGCTTTGGAAAAATTTTATTTGTAGCCTAAAACGTAGTATTCATGATACCATTACTTTTGGTATCTGGTTCAAAAAATTGGAATATAAATAATAGAGTTACAGCTTTGGGCATTTTTTATCTGAGACACACAAAGCTTGTCAACAATGTGATAAAAATATACTTCTTTTTAAAATGCTGAGGTTGCTTGCGTGCAAATTCGACACAAAAATAATGCGCAAAAATAAGCTATCATATCGACTCTAACGCCTCGGCCGCAACGAGCTCGGCTTGTGTCCATAATCCCTCGAATTTTGGCGGCGTTGATTGTTTTTTATATATTTGCTATGTTTTTATGGCAAACACATCAGATTACAGTGGTGATTGTATCAAAAATGACTCTTCAGGATCATCGTATTGCTGAGATGTACTTCTTTTGAGATGTTAGGCAAGGCTGAAGACTCATTCATAGTTTGGGCATATTCCTTTCAATCGCATCTTCTTGAAGGAAACTATCAATTTAGGCAAAAGCTGTGTAATGAAACTAAGAAAGCTGGGCCTCATTAAAAACAATATACTATTTCTGATGATGCTACTCAAAACGAAGTTATTCATCTTTTTTAGGCATTGTTTCTGCAATGAGACAAAAACTTTTTATAGGATGATAAACTTTTTAAATCTAGCAATTTTTGCAGAAACACTGTTTAATGAAGTTTGGTTTTACCAACAAAAGAATTTCTTCAGTGTCATATTGCGATATATCATCAGCAATTATTAAGCAATCTAATGCAATCAACATTGCACTGATGTCTGAGTCATCAATATTCAACTAATCAGTTAATCTTTAACATTGAGAGCTCTTACAGTGATTTAAAGTCTTTCCAGTGATATTTAGCAAAACTACAAGATACTTCTTCTTTTGCCCATGTCGCTGGAGATAGATTTAATTCTTCAGATATATTCAATCAATTGCCATACAATATGATTTTTCTCAGAATGGTTAGACATACGTTGGGTTCTGCCAAATTATTCCCCAGAGAACATTAATCGGGAAAACTTGTGTAATGAAACGAAGAAAGCTGGGCCTCGTTAAAAACAATATACTATTTCTGATGATGCTACGCAAAACGAAATTATTCATCTTTTTTAGGCATTGTTTCTGTAATAAGACAAAACCGTAGAAGCCAGAAATTAATTTCTATCGATACCTTTGATATTTCTTTTATACTAGCTCTTTATAGGATGGTAAACTTTTTAAATCTAGCAATTTTTGCAGAAACACTGTTTAATTAAGTTTGGTTTTACCAATAAAAGAATTTCTCCAGTGTCATATTGCGATATATCATCAGCAATTATTAAGCAATCATCATACAATCAATATTGCACTGATGCCTGAGTCATCAATATTCAACTAATCAGCAAATCTTTGACATTGAGAGCTCTTACAGTGATTTAAAATCTTTCCAGTGATATTTAGCAAAACTATAAGATACTTCTTCTTTTGCCCATGTCGCTGGAGATAGATTTAATTCTTCAGATATATTCAATTAATCGCCAAGCAAAATGATTTTTCTCAGAATGCTTGGACATATGTTGGGTTCTGCCAACTTGCTTCTCAGAGAACATTAATCGACGTATGATGGCGATATTTACACATTGAGATATTCCACTATTTATTTCTCAAAATGTGTCATAAATTGCCTTGCATTAGATAATATTTAAATTTTTTTTACAGAGGTGCAGTTATCGAACGACTCAGCGTCGACAAAGGAAAGAAACAAATTACGAATTCGATTGCGAAACCGGGAATTATTCGAGAAGTTGAAGGTGTGTAAATTAATTTGAATTGCATAAATAAATAGTTTTGTATTTAATTTATTTCGGTTTATTTTGCAACTTTTAAAGCACCATTTATTAAAACTTACTTTAATTTTATTCATTTCCGCTTCATTTAATTTTTATTTTATTGTTTTTTCGTTTTATTTATCTTTAGGAGAAAAGAAAATGGGAACTGGTCATGTAGGCACAACCCAGCAAATTACAGTAACTGGAAATGTAAATGTAGCCCATGCACCACCATCGGTAAGAACTTCATTTAAATCATTTAACTCTATTAAATGTTCACGACTCCATCATAATTTACATTTATTAATTTCAATTTTCTCTAATCTTTTCTTTACCTTTCCATGCTTCCTTAACCAACTTGGAACAGTCAGCAATGTAGGTTTTAATGTCATCTCAAAATTTTAATTAAAATTTTAATAATTCTTTTCTAAACAGGAACAACATCCAAAAGTTACTCCAATCCTCACAGAACCTCAAAGGGCTTTAATTTCAACTATAATGACTACTCAAAAGAAATTGGAAGAAACCCAAATCGATTTGGAAGCGAAAGCTCAAATTCCCGAACTTGGAAGCGACCCTCACGCGAAGAAATGGAAACAAGTTACTTTGGATACTAGAAAGCAAAATGTTGGAAGTCAAATTGCTGCTATGAATGCTGCAACAGCACAAGTGGTGACTTTAACATCCGGCCCGGCTGAGGAAGTTGACCACACGGCTGTTGGAGCTGCCATAACAACGATTGGAAGCAATCTTCCCGAGATGACTAAAGATGTCAAAATGATTGCTTCTTTAATGGACGATAGCAATATGGGAGAAAAATTAATTGATGCCACAAAGAAATTAGTAAACGCTTTTAGCGACTTATTAAAAACGGTCGAACCAGAAGCTAAAGAACCAAGACAAAAACTCCTTAACGCCGCCTCAAGAGTTGGCGAAGCTAGCTCCCAAGTTTTAGCAACAATCGGTGAAGATACAACTGAAAACAAAGAATTACAAGACATGCTATTATCCTTAGCTAAAGTAGTTGCAAACACCACAGCCGCTCTCGTTCTTAAAGCTAAAGACATCGCATCAACTTGCGACGATCAACAAACTCAAAATCACATAATCGGCGCTGCAACTCAGTGCGCTTTAGCTACATCCCAATTAGTTGCTTGCGCCAAAGTAGTCGCTCCAACTTTACAATCACCGGCATGTCAAGAACAATTAACCATGGCAGTACGAGAAGTCACCAAAGCTGTTGAAAATTTGGTTGCCCTCTGCAACGATTCTTGTTCAAACGAAGATCTTATGAGTCAACTAAGAGAAGCTGCGGCTAACGTAACAAAAACATTAAACGATATGTTGAAACACATCGAATTGGTTGCGCCGAAAAAAGCTACCGAATCGATTCAAGAAAAAAGTGTCGAAACGATTTATTCCGCAACTGATAAAATTATTTCCGTCACTGGCGATGCTGGGGAAATGGTGAGACACGCTCGCGTTTTGGGACAAGCGACCGCACAATTAATTACAAGTATAAAAGGAGAAGCTGAAAAACAACAAGACACTAACATTCAAAGAAAATTATTAGCCGCCGCTAAAACATTAGCTGATGCAACCTCAAAACTTGTTGAAGCAGCGCGACAATGTGCGAATAGCCCGCAAGATTTAGCGTCTCAAGATAATTTAAGAAAAACTGCTGAAGATCTTCGAGATGTAACTATTTTAGCCGTAACAACTCCAGCTTTGCGAGCTAAACTTGTTGATAGAGTTCACGTTTGCGCAAGAAGAGCTGTCGCATCTGCCACTCAATGTGTTCCAGCAGCACAAGCGAGTCATCCTTATAATAATAATATGGCGACGAGAGAAGCATTAAAAGCGGATACCACAGAAATGGTTTCAACTATTCCACCATTAGTGGATGCAATTAGATCACAAACAAGTAACCCAGAAGATACAAACAATCAAGTTGGGTTAATGTACGTAGCCGAAGTTTTTTTGCACCCCGCCACTCATTTTGTACAATCTTCAAGAGCTGTATTACCAACGGTAGTTGACGAATCCGTTTCACACAAATTATCCGAAACAACACAAACTTTAAACACCGAATTAAACGAATTAAGAAGTGCCATAAGTCGAGCGAAACCCGCTTGTCAAGGTTTAGGATTCGATGCGGCCACCCAGTTGATTGAAGATTTACGAGAAGAGTTACTAGAATTTGAAAAAGCATGTCAAAGTCATAATTTAAGACCACTTCCTGGAGACACAGTAGAACTTGCCGCACAACAGTTAGGGATTAGTAGCAAAGCTGTTAATCAAAGCATTGCCAGATTTATAAGCGCAACATCTCACGGTAACGAGATTTACATGGCTCAAGCCGCTCGAGATACCGCCGAAAGTTTGAAAAATTTCACCGGGGCTATCAGAGCTGTTGCCGCAACAACCGAAGATGTCGACTCCCAATTCGATATTCTTGAAGCTGGGAAAGATGTGTTTATTTATTCAGCTAAAATAATAAAAGAAGCCCAAAGATGTCTTCAAAAACCGAATGTTGGCTTAGATCCTGAAGTTACAGCAACCGCTAAAAATATAACTGAAGCTTTAGATAAAACTGTTAGTTGCCTCCCAGGACAAAGAGATGTCGATGTTGCTATAACTTGCATCAAAGAATGGAGCAACATAATCGACAGAAACCAATTCCCAACCACTAATAAATCTTATGGTGAACTCCAACAAGAATTAAACACCGCAGCCGCTAACTTAAATGAAGCAAGTGCCGATGTTGTAACTTCCGTTAAAAGCCCCGCCCAACTCGCCTCATCAGCCAAAGATTTCGGCTCCGCCTTCCACGAATTACTTCAAGTTTCGATGGAAATGGCCGGACAATCTAAAGACGGAAAAGTTCAAAAAGACGTTGTTTATTCATTAAAGAACGTTTCAACCGCATCAAGTGGTTTATTAAGAACCGCAAAAACAGTTTCTGCTGATCCTAACTTACCAAACGGTAAAAATCAATTACAAAGCGCCGCAAGAGCTGTTACAGAAAGCATTAATAGTTTAGTTGAAGTATGTACTTCATCAGCACCTGGCCAAGCTGAATGCGACAACGCAATCAGAAACATACAAGCGATGAAACCATTATTGGATAACCCAACTGAACCAATCAATGAATTTACTTATTACGAATGTTGGGAGGCTGTTAAAGATCGCAGTAAATGTTTAGGCGAAGGAATGACTGGAATTACAAACAGCGCGAAACAATCCGATCATGAAAAATTCGCCGAATATATCCGCATCATTAACGATTCAATTTGCGGATTTGTTGAAGCAACCGCACAAGCTGCTTATTTTGTTGGAGTTTCTGATCCAACCAGTACAGCGGGAAGACCGGGAATTATCGATCAAGCTTTAGTAGCTCGAGCTGCACAAGCAATTAGAGTTGGTTGTCAACAATTATCATCACCAACAAGCGCACAAGACCAAATCGTCTCAGCAGCAACAATCATCGCAAGACATACAAGCGCTTTATGTAACGCTTGTAGAGCTGCAAGTGGAAAAACTTCCAATCCAGTAGCTAAAAGGCAATTTGTTCAAAGTGCTAAAAACGTGGCGAATTCAACCGGCCATCTTGTACAAGAAATTAAAGCTTTAGATGTTAACTTTTCCGATGAGAATCGTCAAAGATGTGCTGAAGCAACCGAACCGTTATTAGAAGCAGTTGATAATTTATGCGTTTACGCTAATTCGAGTGAATTTATTACGATCCCTGCAAAAATATCGCATCAAGGTCGTCAAGCCCAAGAACCAATTCTTGACGCTGGACGCAAAATTATCGATAGTTCTTGTGCCGTTATTCAAGCTGCTAAAAGCTTGGTTGTTCTTCCTAAAGATCCACCAACATGGCATCAATTCGCAAGCAATTCCAAAAATGTTTCTGACGCGATTAAGAAGTTAATTTCAAGCATACTGTAAGTCAAATAATAATTTTAACTTAAATGTTATTAATTTTTTTTTATTTAGTGATAAAGCTCCTGGTAAAGCGGAATGTGACGAAGCTGCTTTGAGACTTCAAGAACTCCTTCGCGCGTTAGATTCGGCATCGATGGAAGTAATACATCAAACGTTAACGAAACGCGGTCAAAGTCTTCAAGCATGCAGTCAACAAGTTGGGAGAGCCGCCGCTGAGTTGAAAGATACCATCGAGCCTTTGAAACAAGCCGCGAAGTTTGAATCGCAAAATATAGGGCATTGCGTTAATCAGTTGGCTCATTACTTTGAACCTGTTATCCAAGGGAGCATTGCGGCCGCTTCAAATTTGAATAAATCCAAACAACAAGAAGTTATTTTGAATCAAGCTAAAAGTGTTACTGAATCTGCGTTACAGTTTATCTATGCCAGTAAAGATTGTGGAGGAAATTCTAAGGTACGAAATAGGATTATAATTTTGTAAGGATATGAAACATGAATAGATGTTCAAAACATTTCTAAGACTTTCCAGAAAATTCCTACGACTTTGTAGAGAATTTGTAATTATTGTCAAAGATGTCTCATGATTTCTAATACCCTATAATGGTTGTCAAGTACAGTCTGGAAGCCTTTTAGACTTTTAAATAATGTTCACAGCATTTCTAAGACTTCCAAGGATACCTAAGGATTTTAAATAGTCTCTAATGATTGTTATATCTACTCTAGAAGACTTTCGTGGTTTTTAAAAGGAGTACAGAAAAATTCTAAGACTTTCCAGAAAACTTGTATGACTTTCCAAAGAATTTCTAATTATTTTCAATGATATCTAGAGATTTCTAACACTCTGCAATGATTGTCATAGGTACTCTAGAAGAATTTCATATTTTTTGCTTTGCCCAAAATGCTTCTAGAACATTTTTATGATCCTCACTCAAAGTATTTGTTTTTAATTATACAGTTTGAAATGACAATTTGAACTTTCTTTCAATTCATTTACAAGTTTGTAAATGAGGACGATGAACAAATTCAAAAATGATGACTTTTTAGTTTGAATTGCATTTTATTTTGAAGTAATTTTTAATTCTTATTGGCGGGAAATGTTTAATTTTTTATTGCACTTTTAAACTGAGCTTGTAGCTATAAAGATTGAAAGAGTTGTAGGTGATTATGATGGGCTTCCTATTTTGCATAAAAACAAATTATTTGATGGCTTTTTTTTTACTGCCAGAGATTGTTAGAGAAATGGTGAAGAGTTTACATGAGGTACATGAACACTAAAAGCTCTGTTTTTGGTACAATCTCTTCTTTTCTACAGTCTTTCGTTAACAGTGTTCATTACCTTATAACTAGGACAAATTCTTCTGCCAGCACTATTTTGTCTTATGCCAATTTAAGTATTTAGGCTACTGGCAACGTTATTCACATTTTTGCAATCAATATGGCGTCTGCTATTAATGGCATGTAGTCCTAGGTTTAGTTTCCTACCTGCAGCATCTACCCGTTTTTATTATGGGCATATCTACTCTTTAGTTAGCAGTATCTATATTTTTGATAGCAATGTCTAGCCTTCTATAAGGAGAACCTAGCCTTCTGCCAACAATATCTAATCTTATATCAACAGTATTTAGATTTCTGACAGCATTATTCAGACTTTTGCAAATATACAGTTTTCAATTGGCAGCAACTCCTCTGCAAGGTGCATTTAATCTTCTGCCAGCAGTATCTACTCTTCGGTTACCTATAAGTAGTCTTCTACAAACGGTCTAGTCTTTTACCAGCAGTTTCCAGCTGTTTCTAGTGTTTGATAAGGAGAACTTAGTCCGCTACCAACAGTATCTAGACGTATAGTATTATGTATATAGTATTATTATAGTATTATTATTAGACATTAGTATTTATGGTTTTTAAAAATTAAATAATCAAACTGTACTTTTTACTGGTTTTAGATTTATTATTTACTTTGTCTTACATGTTTCGATAACAAGTTATCATCTTCAGAGACATGCGTCAAAATTATTGTAAAGAAACATTTAAAAATTAAAAAGGTAACGTGAAACAATTAAAAATCGGGTTGTAAAATTGAACTTTTACTAAAAATTTTTGTGGTTTTAACATGTGCATTGTCATTTATTGAATTTGTGGTTTTGCCAGCATTATTTAGACTTTTTCAAATAATACTTAGTCTTCAATTCGCAATATCTAGTTTTTTACTAGCAATACATAGTCTTTAGTTAGCACTATTTAAGTTTCTGGTACCAGTGTCTGAATTTCTGATAGTCGTATCTAGTCTTCTATAAGGACAACCTAATTTTTTGAAAACAGTATCTGATCGACAGCATTTAGATTTTTGTCATTATTATTTAGTCTTTTACAAACAATATCCAGTCTTCAATTGGCAGTGTGTAGTCCTCTGCAAGATGTATTTAGTCTTCTGTCAATAGCATCTACTCCTCAGATAGCAATAAGTAGTTTTTTACAAACGGTGTCTAGGATTTTACCAACATTTACTCATTACTTAACAGTATCTAGTCTTTTAGTAGCTGTTTCTAGTCTTCTGCCAACAGTATCTAGTCTTATGTCAACTGTATTTATATTTCTGCCAGCATTATTTAACTTTTGCAATCTATATCCAGTCCTGTGTTAGCAGTATCTAGTCTTCTGCTAGCAGTATTCACTCCTCAGTTAGTAGTAAGTAGTCGTCTACAAACGATACCTACAATTTTGTATTAATACAATTCTTAGGTATATTTGGCAAGGTAGTTCAGAGCATTTCTAAGACCAGCCTATAGTCTCTCTATTTTCTAAGTATTCATTTTAACAAATATTTCTTTCAGGCAACTCAATTGCATCCAGACGTAGACGAATGTGCATCATCAACAAAAGAAGCTTTACAAGAACTGGTAAACACCATCGAAGACATTTCAACACAAAGCGGTTTCGTATCCAGCGTAGTTGATAACTTAACTCGAGCAATGACAAGATTAACTGATCATAGAGCCTCTTTCATTATGACCGATGGAGATTCTTATGTTGATTATCAAACAAGAATGGTTGAGTGTGCCAAAGACATTGCAAAAATTGCAAGTGAAATGGTAATTTCTTAAAACTTCGATATTTATTAATTTATATATTTGTATTTATTTTTATATTTTTCAGTGTACTAAAGCTACATTAGAACCGCAACGTTTAGCCCCATTATCGGCGGATCTTTCCCATAAATACACACAATTAGCAAACGATAGTCTTGGAGCAGCGGCGACCTCAACAAACGGAGATATATCGATTCGCTTAAAAGAAGCGGTTCAAGATTTAGGCGGTGCTTGTGTTGATGTAGTTCACGCGGGTGATCAATGTCAAATGAGAAAAGATGAGGGGTCCATCAGAGCTATTGGAGATGCATCAAGAAATGTTTCTGAAAAAGTTTCCCGAGTTTTGGCAACTCTTCAATCGGGTTCACGCGGGACTCAAGCTTGCATCAATGCTGCTTCGACAGTATCTGGAATTATTGGTGATTTAGATACAACCATTATGTTTGCAACTGCAGGAAATTTGAACCCCGAAACTGAAGATCAATCTTTCGCTGATCACCGTGAGAATATTTTGAAAACTGCAAAAGCTTTGGTTGAAGATACCAAGACTTTGGTTGCTGGAGCAGCTGCTTCTCAAGAAAAACTTGCTGCTGCTGCACAAAATGCTGTATCAACAATTGGTAAATTATATTATAAGGAATAATAAAATCGATTAATTCATTTTATTTTTTTTTAATCAGTCCAATTAGCTGAAGTGGTTAAATTTGGTGCTGCTAGTTTAGGATCGGATAATCCTGATTCTCAGGTGATGTTGATTAATGCTGTTAAGGATGTTGCAAGTGCTTTGGGTGATCTTATCCATGCTACAAAAGCTGCCAGTGGTAAACCAATAAATGATCCAGCTATGGCACATTTAAAGGATAGCGCTAAGGTGGGTTACTTTGCTTTTTAATATTCTATGTTGTTTTATTTTATTTTTAACAGTTACTTTATTTTAATAAAAATGTATCGCATGGGAAAACACTGTTGTGTCTTACATTTTTAGTGATAATCATCATTGGTAATAATAATTAATTAACACAAAAAGAAAAAAATACTTTTAAATAAAGTATTTGCATGTGTGTGTATTAAGAAATTATTTTGACTATTAATATACAGGGTGGACTTTAAATTGATTTGGATAATTTGTATCTGTTGATTTTTTTGCACACTTAACATTATTTATTTTTATTCTTTTTTGAGATAATTTTTGTAATTTGAAACGAATAAATACACACACATAAAACTTAGGCACTTAAAATTCGTAGTCAACAATAAAATATGCCGAAGCAAGTGTTATTTAAAGTCCACCATATCTCCAATATAAGAATTAACATAGTGATTTAGTGATGGTTTTGTTGATGGTTGTTTCTCCACTATATTGTTTTATTATTATTATTGTTTTTTTTAATTAAAATTTGGTGGACTTTAATCACAGCGCATATTTTGGTTGACTGACAGGTGCCGGATTCGGATACTGATTGGTGGATTTCCGATCAAGAAGAAGAATTGCTGCGCCTGTTGAGCGACAGCAGAGAGAACGTTAACACCGAAAGCATGCAAACCGATATTGTACCATGCGTTATTGCCACTTAAAAAGAAATTTACCAAAGAATTTATTAACTAACTACTTATAAATTTTATACATTTCTTTTTGAAACGGGAATGTTTAAACTTTTTAAATTTCCAAAAATATATTTGGGTGTTTAAAATTAGGTCAAATGACAATTTCATGTAGGATAATAATCCTAATTAAATTAATTAAATCATTAACTCTTCTTCATAATTACTTTAGATATGATCTCAAATAAAACACCTTGACAACTATTGTATAGCAAAACTACGAAGTTTGATCTTTGATGGTTGACTCAATAAAAAACCGAGGTTGCTTGTGCCAAGGTTATGCTTTTCTCGTGTGCTTATTGAAGGTCATGACCTTGAAATACAAACGACTATTGCATAATGAGTTCACAAAGTTTTATTGTTAATTAAGAAACGGTTGAAGATATTTCTGTTTATAAATCGCAGTAAGAAGATATCACAGAACTTTTTAATATTCTACGCTTACCAAATCTTCTGATCTTGGGTATAATTCTTGCAAATATATTCACCATTTTAAAATTTTTCAACTTTCTATGACCACTTCTGGGTATAATAAGTGGTGATGTTCGAAAATGTCGAAATAAAGAAGCGATTTGAACCATGAAACTGATCAATAATTTGTTGATCATCGCTAGTATATTTTGAAAATTTCAAATGCTTTGGTTGAAGATGCTAATACCTTGATTGCTGTAGTAGCTGCTTCTCAAGAAAAACTTACAGCTGCTGCATAACCCATTGATACTCTTGCTATTAAAGCTGGAAAACACTGCAGCAACATTTAGACATCTATCTAAAAAACTCTGTTCATTTATTCCCATGACAAAAACCTCTTATGTTAGGAAAATCTTTTATCGTTTCCAATTTTGTTATGCTAGGATGTTAAATGAAGATGTCAAAATACCTTTATCATGCGATTTGTTTTGCAGCAAGTTGTTGTAGAGAATTTGTAATTATTGTCAAAGATGTCTCATGATTTCTAATACCCTCCAATGGTTGTCAAGTACAGTCTGGAAGCCTTTTAGAACTTTTTAACAATGTGCACAGCATTTCTAAGACTGCCAAGGAAATATCTAAGGATTTTAAATAGTCTCCAATGGTTGTTATATCTACTCTAGAAGACTTTCGTGGTTTTTAAAAAGAGTACAGAAAAATTCTAAGACTTTCCAGAAAACTTGTATGACTTTCCAAAGAATTTCTAATTATTGCCAAAGATATCTAGAGATTTCTAACACTCTGCAATAATTGTCATTGGTACTTTAGAAGAATTTCATGTTTTTTGCTTAGCCCAAAATGCTTTCTAGCATTCTAGAAGATTTTTATGAACCTCAAAGTATTTTTTTTTAATTATGCAGTTTGATACATGATAATTACAAGTCTGTAAATGAGGACGATGAACTATCATTTAGGTATTGAGTAATAACTTCAAAAATGATGACTTTTTAGTTTGAATTGCATTTTTATTTTGAAGTCATTTTAGTTATTTGCATTTTGCTCTACAATGACAAAATTAAGAAACTAATTTGGAACAATGCTACTCGCCCCATTTCGCATTTACTAGTGGGTTAACTATATTCAAATAGGCATGGTATTCTAAAATGTTCGCCCAAATTTTGGCGCCAAAAATAGCGGTTTCGCATTCCTTGTCCAAATACTAGTCCTCTATTTTGTCAATCTGCTTATAGGCTTATCTACTTCTTGATAGACTTTGGTCACTCTTAATATTTGCTACTGGTGTTAGTTACACTTTTAGCATTGTAGAATATTTAATACAAAACCCAACCCAACCCAACACTACATTCAGGACAGCCTATCCCATTGCCTTACTCATATTATTAATTATATTTGAGCTAAAAGAACCAATAAACATTTTCTGTTTTCAGCAGATTTACTGTCTTGCGCACAACAGATCTTTTAAGTATATCAATTGTCATTTGAGTATTCCAGTTTTCCCAAAATATCTGTTTAGCTGTACTTGCAGTCCAGTTCCTTACTATAAGCAGTTTTAATATGTTGATGACTTGCCATGTTAGAGTACTTATTTTGAAAGATGCAGGAGTCATTTATCGCTCAAAGTTTTGGTCCAAATAATTGCTTTTTTTGTAATATTCGCAATCACTTAGATTATAGACTACACAATTCTAGTGAAACCTAAAAAATGTTGGTTCAAGGGCATGTTATGGCATAACAAAGCAAACAGCTGTTGTTGCTCCAATCTTTTTTTATACTGTTGCATTGAGTTTTATTTATAAATAATCAACCACAATCCAGGTATATCACACTAAGACTGTTTTCCATCAATTGCTCAAATGCTCCATTCCATATCCTAAAGGGTATAACTGAATTCTTAGAACCCGAATCCAATAGTAAATGTAGTCTAAAGTCATTCATAGTCACATTGCTAAAATGGCAGAAAATTCTCTGCTATTTAAATACCTAGATATTTGTTGCCATCAATTTCTTACCTGCTATTAGCCTAGATGTCAAAAATATGTATCTATCTGTCACAATCTTATTAAAGTACTTAAATTAAAAACATTTGTAATTAAAAGTTTCAAAAGTAAATTAATCTACATGAAATTATCATTTGATAGATATTATTTAAAACACCCAAAATATTTCTGACCAACACTTTTCTACTCAAATTATTTTATTGCATTTTACGTTTTATATTTAAATTATTTTGCTTCATCACTTACAACTTAGCTTCTTTATAAAATTATTTTTAAATCCTCTTAAAAATCTTTAAAATGGTGTGTTCATATGATTACATAAAAAAATCATTATCCTCCTATATTTATATACAAATATTTATTCAAAATAAAATTTAAAAAACAATTAATTCTTTAAACTTATTAAATTAAAATAAAATAAAAGTTGCAACTTGTTTTAATCGGTATGTATAAAAACCAGCCTTTACCATTTTTATCTTTATCAATGTTTTCTTTTTATTTATTTATCTTTATTTTTTTGATTTTTCTTTCAATCTCTTTTAATTTTATTTTCGATTTTTAACTAACACAAAAAAAATGCAACGAAAAATATATAAATTTTGCTTCCTATGCATTTCTGCACGTTTCCTTTAACTTTTTTAATTAATCAATTTTTTCGTGCATTGCAGGTAATGGTTACTAACGTCACTTCTTTGCTGAAAACTGTAAAAGCTGTAGAAGACGAGCACACCAGAGGTACTCGAGCTTTAGAATCTACCGTAGAAGCTATAGGACAAGAAATGAAGGTATAAAAACCGATCTTAAAAAATAAATAACTTCTCAATTAAACTTTTTAAACAGGCTTTAAGTGCTGGAGAATTAGCTAAAACTGGAATGACTCCCGAAGATATTATTCGTTGCACAAAAGCTATTACTAAAGCTACTTCAAAATCGGTAGCTGCCGGTATAAGTAATAAACAAGACGATATCATCGCAGCAGCTAATTTATCGAGAAGAGCCGTTTCTGATATGTTAGTTGCGGTGAAAAGCTGCGCTTTTAATATCGCCGAAACGAAAGAGTTGCGTGAAAGGGCTTTAAATGCTGGGTACGATTGCGCGCAACAATTTAGGGAGTTACTTATGAGTATTTTGAATGGAAATACAGCGGATGCTAAACAAGTTTTACCACAAATTTCGAGAAAAATTGCACAATCTGTAACTGAATTGGTTACATTAGCGGAATTATTAAAAGGTAAAGAAATCTAATAACATGATTTCCTTAAAAATCTGATTCATGTTTTTGTGTTTAAAATTAGGAAGTGATTGGGTTGATCCAAATGATCCAACTGTTATTGCTGAAAATGAACTTCTTGGAGCTGCCGCTTCTATTGATGCTGCAGCTAAGAAACTAGCTAGTTTATGTCCAAGAAAATCTATTAAGGTATGTAAAATTATTTGTTTCTTTTATAGTTTTAAAATATTATCAAAAAAAAAACATTCTTACTGTAAGATATGTTTGATATTCTTGGTTGTCTTTTTAAAACACCCAGGAGTCAAACATATTATTACAGTGGTTTGTACAATCATCAACCTTATTGGGTAAGCTTAATTATTATTTGTATTTGACTCAAAAAATTAAAATTTATTTAACAAATTGTGCCATAGAAGTGTCGAGCATATAAATTTAAGCTGCGTTTATTGATAGAAATGTCTGTTTTGGAGTCACTATACAAATTGTATGTCTGATGGCAAATTATGTCTAAGAACTTTAACAGTTACAACACTGCTTTCCTATCTAATATTTGAAAGTTGTTTTAATGTTAAAGTTGAGTATGCATTTTTAAATATTTACCAACAATGTTGAGAAGCAGATAAGACATAAACTTCTTGACTTAAATCAAAGAAGCTAGAACTTTTGAAAAGAATTTGTGGCTTTGTTAACAATTAAAGTTATATATACTTTTTCTTAAAAAAAATTTGTTTACATGACAAATTTGATTTGAATTCATAATTTGGTGGATCAACAATAATTCTTTAACATACTTTCATCTCAAAAATCTTCAAATCCTGTTCTTGCCTTGTTCGTTATTCAGCTGTAACTTTTCAGGAACAAAGTCCAAATGCGAGTGATGTAAATGTATTTTTAGAGACAAATTTACACCCATCTGCCGATTATGCTGCAATGATTTGGCAACAATTTTAACAGTTTGTGTTTGTTTCCAAAGCGTGCAGAATTCTATTGAATTTTTTGTGATTTTGAACTAAAACGTGAGTGCTAAAAACTTGAAAAATATCTGCATGGAAATCTGAATTTCGCTCAAAAATGTGATACTAGTACATATTTGTCCCATCAGTGTTTTTCATCTGCCATATCTGTCCCAGTAGTGCCGAAGTGCAAATATTGTTCTTTATCCTGCAGAATAGCTAAAAAATATCTAACCCAGAAAGAGTTAGAAGAAGAAGATGTGGATTCATTCTATTGTAGTGATGACTCGAATTCAGCTTTTGAGCCCTCTAAAGAAGAAATTCCGCCAAATGACCAAAAAATAACAATGATCATGTTGAAGATCAAGGTTCATCAAATAACTCTTCAAATTCCTCTTCCGATTCGGATGAAGAGCCAAAATTGGTATGATATCGACAAAATCGCAAATTTTCAATCCAGAAGAGCTATACCTCAAGTTAGGAACGTAATTGTATTAGCAAAGCTTAATAGGAGTTCAGGAGTATTTCCGAAAAGTTTATTCTTGTACATTGCTGAAAATACAAATGCGAAAAATCGGAGACAATCATGGTAATAACAGGGTATATGCTAGTGATAAGCTACTATCACCTACCATCATTTCATGACTATTGGTCCAATAAGAAGAGCATGGGAAATAATTGTATCAAAAATGCGATAAGCTGCGGTCGTTGTACATATCTGCTTTCTAAAACGTACTATGTCGACGAGTTGATCGAGTGCTTGAAGCAAAGGTTTCAATCAGTCCAAAGTTTGTGCTCGCATATGAGTATAGACGAATCCATGGTGAAGTTCAAGTACAAATAAAAATTTGGCAACTTTGTGATTCAAACACAAGATTCGTCTACAACTTTGGTATATATGCCGTTAAGGATACTTCAGGTACTCAAGCATCTACACTAGGAGAGCGGGTAGTGAACAAACTATTGGGATTTATACCGCGTGATGAAGACGCGTTTGTCTGCTTAGACCGATTTTTTACCTCAGTAAGGTTGCTTTAGGATCTACCATTTGTAGCTGTGGGCACTGGCATGCCAAATAGGGAAAATATGCCAAATCATAGAGAAAAGTTGGCTCGAGGAGATACCAAAGTTATTAGTACTGGATCTAGAATATTAGCTTGTTTTTGGCAAGATGCAAAGGAAGTCCTAGTCCTTAGCAATTGCCATAAATCCTACTCCTGCAAAATTGACGTATTCTTCCTATTTTGGCATGAGTACGACACTTTCAAAATGATTCCATAAAAATATAATGTCACTAGGATTAAAACTAAAACTACAAACATCGCGTCTATTAAAATATTGTTCGACGTTTCGGATACCATGTTACAACCTTCTTCAAAAACAAATTCAAAAGTGACAAAACCTGTGGAAAGTTGACAATAGATTTGTTCTTGAACAGTTTCTAACTGATTAATAATTCGTTTTATAGTCGCTCATGTCATTAATGTAGATACATGTCAATAGATTTGCTTCATTATTTGACATGTGGGAATGGAAATTCAAGATTTAAATCAGTCAGAAATGGTTTGAATTTATTGCCAACAACACTGGTCTTGAAAGTCTACGAATTTACAGTCACTAAGATTAGTTTGCGCATAAATTTGTAAATAAGATCGCATTACACCAAAATCCAAAATTAAGAAAAGGCAGTTACAACTTTGTGTTTTCTTGTTCCATAAATGATAAATAATTGTCTTATATCTGAACGATAGTAGGAATTTTTGTTCTCTGTGTATCTTCATAAAACGATGTTTTCTTCTTCATTTTCTAACGTTTGAGATCTGTTGTTGTGTTGAATTCTGAATTCGTAGCCAAAATGTATCTTGTGATTTGGACTTGCAGCTGCCCTTCCATCTTTTATGCTGCCCATCATCTTTAGTCAGAATTTGGTCTAGGGGGAGGTTTCAAGAATTGAAAAGTCGTTAATTTAAACAACACATACTTTATTTATAACATTAATCGCCTAGGATTTTCAGAAAATGTTTCTATGACTTCTAACTCTATCTTTTCTTCCGACACAAGATTTTTATGCACACTCATTAAACATAGTCCATTTAAACGGTTTTCCCCCATTGTAGAACTTAACCATGTTTTGACACGTCTTAATGTGCTAAATGATCATTCTATTGTACTTATGGAACAAGGCTGCGCTATTGAGATCATTAAAGCATTTTTGATGCCAGAAAAGAATATATTAGCTTCTTTAATCACTTCAACCATTTCCAGATTTTTTAAGATCTGTCTATCAAGGTTTTTCTCAGCCCACACATGATACCACAATTCAGTTTCAGACTGAAACTCTTTCAGGTCGTACAATTCAGCAATAGATTTTGTTCTCTGTATAAAATCTTCAATCTTAAAATTTAGCATAAGATAAGGATGTAGGGATAATATAGAAAAGGTGTCTGTCATATGTGCTGACGTTAAAGAGTCCAGGTATGGAATAAGCAACGTACGTTTCCAATACTCAGCAGATGAATCTGAAGGAGTGTTTGAACGATGCTGCTGGTGCTTTACTATTCTGGATGGATGATGTATTTTGTATTTCCTCCGCAATCCTATCGGCAGAAGCAAAGAGATCTTTCATAATATTATCCGTAGTTTGGCGATGAACTTTCACTACATCATCAATTGTCTTAATGTGGTTCGTACATTGAAGGAGATCTAAACCGTTTGACTGCAAAACATTTGCAACAGGTCCCAGTAAAGCTGAAGCTGAAAGGCTGTCTTTCTTGTAGCAGTGTTTCCTTCCTCTGCGAGTCTCTCTAGACCATGTACGATTCCTAAGAAGTTTTGCATGAAGATAGAAATACTTCGGTATTTTTGAAACCATCTTGTTTCGCGCAGAGCTGGTATATTTGGAACGTATTTTCTCCTTAAAACGGATTCTCGAAAAAAAGTTATGATGTCTTTTATAGTAGACACTGTATTACGAATCTCAACGACGCGATTTAGATCATTCACCACTAGATTTAACTTATGGCTTGCACAATGAAAGAACAGGGCCTTTCTATACTTTTCCCTTATTATCTTTTGTACTCCACCATTTTTGCCGGCCATTGTCGCACATCCGTCGTATCCTTGCCCAACACATTTTTGTGGATCTAATTTTCCTCTTTATATATAGGTAACATTTTTTTACCTTCTATCTGTCGTTTTAGGTCTACGTCGCCACTATCAATTCTGAAATGAATTAAGTCTTCAAAAACTCTTTCGTTTTGTACTTTGCCTCTTATATTATGGTCAGTGATGTGAATTTGTAAATTACCAAAATATTTACCGTAATTTACCAAGCAAATTTTTCATAAATTACCGCTAGGAGCTAGGATGTGTCTGCGCATGCGCTTTCGGTGTTTTGATAATGAAGAAGAAACTTAAAGGGGTTATAACAGAAACTATAACAAGTATTCTAGACGAAAATATTAAACGTAACATTTTAAACGGTATATTCTAGGGGAAGCTTGAATATAAGATTTTAAATCCCATTTCAATAATTTAAAAAAAAGTACAAACTTCCCTACCTTGCGTTTCTCACGTTGTTGACTATTTTCAGCATTTGAATGATCAACTACAAAGTGAATGCCCAGTTTTAGAAGTAAAAACAATTCTATCAGTTTTAAAAGCACGAATTTACTAGATCCAAAAATTATGGGTAGTATTCTGTTATATTATGGAAGTCTCTTTGTTGTTCTACATCATTAAGCAAAGTAGCAACAAAAATCTTAAATTGCTCACCAACAACGTGCACAACAGAAAGAAGCTCTTCTGAATTATGTGTTTGAATTACATTCATATTTTGTTTCATTTTCAGAGTTTTTGTTACATAGTTTATTTTAAATGTTCCTTTGCAGTTTGTATAAAGGTTTTATTAAATCAAAATCAAGTTAGATTCTACTGCCCTTGAATCAAAATAATAAAAAGGTTACCGTAGGAATTTATCAAAAAAATTATTAAATTACGCGAGAATAAATTTTGAGAAAAAAAAACCATAATTTACACAAATTATAAATTACCGTATTTTTACATCACTGATTATGGTAGATATAATTGACGATAAAATTTTTCAATTTTCCGCTCTTAATTTTTGGTGTGCTGATATTAGTTGGACATCTATAGGAGCTTCCTCCATGAAGGATTTTGCAGCTTTGACTGCTGCCAAATGCCATCGACTTGCAATATGGTTCTTACCATATTCATGCATTATGCTTATATCGAATGAAAGGGCGTACAGCGAAAGAACCTTGGACTCCCTGAAACGAAGTAGAAGGAAGCTCCCTTTAAATGCTTTGAATATACTTTGTACTGAAATTTTTTCTTCAGATGCGTGGCATCTTCGGCAAAGCTGTAATTTTGTGGAGGTTTCCAACAGGGGTTTAAAACTTCCGACGAGGAAGGCCCTGGCTGAGGTTCAGGGTTTGGTAACCAGAATAAAGTTATGAAGGTCTAGTTAGTCTTCTCGGCAACAGATGTCGCCCGTGGTATAAAGGTCTAGTCAGTCCTCTCGACAACCGATGTCGCGCATGGACCGTGGTGCAGTTAATTGGTGATTTGTAAAAAAGTGTAATTATGTCAGAGATTTAGGGGGGCATGGCCCCTCCCTGTCCCCTGTCCCTCTCTGGTTACGCCCATGCTTCTTGGTTCTCGAAAGTCTGCTGGTTTTCCTTCTAATACTATGCGCCGTAATCTGCTTAGTACACCACATCTTTCCCTGATGTTTCAGAATAATTCGCAATATTTTAATTTTAGCAAATCTCAGCATACTCTTAGTTTTGCTCGTATCTTCGGGTGTCTCTATTCCGTATGTCATGACGGGTCTTATGCAAGTTTTATAAATTCTTATCTTGCTGTTTATTCGTATGTATTGATTTTACTAAACGATTTCTCAGACGACCAGTCTGATAAAGATGACGCTTCATTAAATTGCTTTTTAAAATCTTATGCTAAATCAGAGGTAGATCATTATCATTTTTGGGTATTTAAAGAGCTGTCTTTGCAGATCATCTTCCGTTTCTGCCATGATAGCTGCATCGTCTGCGACACCTTCTGTGTAATTTTTTCTGTTCAATATGTTACAAGTTTCAATGTCAGCTCGAACACTTTCTCTATAAAAAAAATTTAAAAGTTGCCAAATTGAATTTGACTATTAAACGAGATCAATAATTTTTAATAAAACTTTTTTATTTCAGACAAGCAATCTTGAAGAAAACATGAATTTCGACGAAATGATTTTAGAAGCGGCTAAATCAATAACAGCCGCAACTTCAGCGTTAGTTAAAGCGGCGAGCGCAGCTCAACGCGAATTAATCGAAGCAGGAAAAGTATCCAGCCAACCTCTCTTAAATTCGGACGACGACCAATGGTCGGAAGGGCTTATTTCCGCCGCAAGAATGGTCGCCGCAGCCACTCACACTTTGGTAGAGAGTGCTAACGCTTTAGTTCAAGGATTAGCCGGCGAAGAAAAATTAATTTCATCCGCGAAACAAGTCGCAACATCAACGGCTCATCTTTTAGTCGCTTGTAAAGTTAAAGCTGAAGGGGATACGGAAGCTACGCGACGATTACAACAAGCCGGAAATGCGGTTATTAAATCCACGGATAATTTAGTTAGGGCTGCGCAACAAGCTATTACGGTTGATGAGGATAAATTTATTATTTTGCATAAGCGAGCTGTTGGTAGGATGGCTGATGAAATTAACGCAAAGTAAGTATAATAAATAAAACAATTTGATAAATTTGAAACCAATTTTTTATTTGTACTTAGGGTTGAAATATTAAGAAGAGAACGCGAGTTAGAAGAAGCCCGAGCCAAATTAAAAGCAATACATCAATTTAAATATCGCGCGGGAGAAACTTCCGGTGAAGAAACCGATGGTTATTTGAGTTCAGGGTATGATGGAGCAACATCGCGGTGAGTTAATAAACAAGGTGTGTGTCTAACCATACTAATTATTCCCGCACGATGCACTTTAATTAACGTTTATATTTTAGTAGCAATATAAAAAGAACGTTTAAATTTTTTATTTAAACAGTAGGAGAGGGTATGATATTATTTTTTCCCAATGCATGATGCTCTGCTTTTTTCCTGTGTTTGTTATGTCTTCTTTTTGTTTATTTACGAACACTTTACTATTCCAGTAGTAGATTTACCTTTAAATTTGTCGGTTTTCTTTTTGCATGGTTTGGTTTATTTTCCTGTTATGTAGTGAGGTATATACAATAACGGAAAAAACGATTAAAAAGGCCCAATTGGTTGTGAGCGAGTTACAAGAGAAACAAATTAACGAACTTAAAGAATCGGGTTTGGAGTGATAAGGTACGTTCACGCTTTATTATTTTTTTTTTGCACTGAAGTGTAATTTTTTTTTAATTTTAATTTAGAGCTCCCCCTGTATATCGCTAACATTCACTAACTCATTTCATTTTATGTAGTAATTATTTTATTTTTTTTGTAATAATTATTTATTTAGGTCATCACCAACCACTTGACATATTTATAAATGTACATAAAGAATCAGCATCATTTTAATGAAAATTATTCAAATTTTTCTTGATAACATTCAAGTATTTGTATCATTTCATAAATTTAATTACTTCATTTATGGAAATAAATTTGATTTCAGGAGTTACTAGAATTATTAAATAGTTTTATTGAATATGATTGGTATTCTTGGTTCTTTAAGCGGTGTTCTTGTTGAATATCTTTAGTTTTTGATTTAGTTGCTTCAGCAAAAAAATCTTGAGTTAAATGCCACAACGTTACACATTTTTTGTTCCATCCTTCCCCTTTCTTTTTGTATGGCACGTGGGAAGAGTTGCATCTGACGATACGTGTCTTTTTCAATGTCGAAGGGATGGTAAGGAATCCAAGATGGTAAGGCAGGAACCAAACTTGTATGCTGCAAGCTGTATAATATGTAATTTCTTGTTTGGCTAAGTTCGGTCTAAAGAAGTTGATCCTTCCCACGAAATCTTTGATATTACCTTTGACATACACCAGTGATATACGCCAGAATATGGATAACCAGGTCGGAATTGAATAATTGGCATTAGATTATTTATTTATTTATTTATTTATTTATTTATTATTGGGACACAAACAGGGAGGATATCCCCAGTGAAGCATCCTCATAAAAACAAAGCACTTAACTACATACCAAGCAAAAAAACGAGAAAAGAAAAAAAAAATAACAATAATTATAACATTAACTATGAAAATAATAATAACAGCATTGATAGTTGCTAATTAGAAAAAAATTACAAAAAAAAAGCGAAAAATATTATATAATTGTACTACAATACAGAAGATAACAACTAAACGTTACGTAATAGTAATTCTCGAAATGAGCGCAACGAGAGTCCAAATAGAGTAACATGGTTGAAGTCCTGATTGTAAGTATTCAAAAGCCGAACGATAGGCGAGTTTAGATGAGCGTTCGTGTTCGATGTGCCTAAAAGGAATGTAGTATTCCGCCGCGTGAAACGCTGTGGTACATTAAAGTTCAACACAGACAGAAGATCAGGTGCGTCCAGCAAGCCATTGACCAGTTTGAAAAGAATTAAAACATATAGTTCGACGTCAATTGAGCATCAATTTATTGACCTTCAAAAGTGTCTTCAAACTTTCTTAAGATGTTAGACATATTAGATGAGATATCAAGACCTTCATCATCGCCGAAAAAATTTTTTAGTCTTGTCTGTAGAGGTTGTAATTTGTGCAACTTAAGGACTGTATTAACTCGCTTTGATGTCTTTATGCGTTTATATCATGCGTTTACTTGGGGACGGCCAAAATGCAAATTAAAATTGTCATGAAAGAAGTTAATGTAGTAACCGTATTTAATTTTTGTGAATAGAATTTTTTTAAGAAACAACTCGTACATTGTTTTTACATTAACTTGTACATCTAGATACTTGAACCCTTTTCCAGAAATAAAGAATAATGAAATTCTTTAACTAGGAATGACAAGATATGAGTTCTAACAAGTTTTCTTTCACTTTCTTCTGTGGCATTTACTTTAATATTTGTACCCCGTTTATCACAAGGAACTTCATCATTCATAAGTAAACGCTTAATTCTTTTAATTCGTTGCAAGCTAATACCATAAATACTTGAAAATGCTCCTTGACAAACCTTTATTCTTTTTTCTTCGATATTAACAAAATGTAGAAACGATCTATTTCTATTCATCCCATTTTCCTTGCGTTTTCGTCTTTTGGCTACAAAAGTAGCTTGTAGCAGCCCTTGCAGACAAATGTCTTGCTCAGTTTTTGATTTCATACTATAAAGTTTTGTCAAAATTAACTTCTTCTGTGCATCACTTATAAAATTCAAGTATTTCATTGGACAACTAAAAATAATAAGAATGTAGCGAATGTGTTAACACTAAAATAACAATCCAAATATCTCTCAAATAGTACTTACTAGCATCTAGCTCCAATATATTTTGCCTTCACAACTTTCTTCTTATAATTAATGTATTCTATTCCGGAGACGCGAGCATTCCTAAAAAAATTTCTTTGATAACACTAGTTTACAAGAAAAATCTCGAAGACTGTGATATTTTTTTATAACGTAGAATATTGTGCTGATTCTGAAACTGTCTTGAGTTTTTCTCCATCACGTCCAGTTATCGAAATATACCCAAAAATGTGGAAAATCGTAAATTAAAAAACATAGTAACGGTTCATGTTCAGTATAATTTTATTTTGCATAGCGTGCTTCTGTAGAGATCCAGACGAACATTTTGAGGTATTGATGGCATAAATCGGACTCGCCATTATTTTGCTACAGCCTAAAACAACTCAACAAAATCAATTTTTTAGGCACTTTTCCATTTAATCGCACTGTAACAAAAAAGAATTATATATGTACAAAAAGGTTAGCTATTCTATCCTGTAGAACAGTTAATTCTCTAAATATCGAAGCATTGGACACCACGGTCGAACGTATTATCCCGGAGATATCGTTAATTTACGAGAATCGTGCAAAATTTCATTTTTTGTCATTTTTACTGTATTGTTGAAACATTATTACGAACAATTTTTTTAATGAAGAGGTATTTTAACTGTTCCAGGCACAAAGTATAAACATTAAATTCACTGAAATCAATATTATTTTACCTGTTCTAAATGTTGAACATTAAGCATATCAACTAATTAAAATTTATTGGCAGTCGTTGCTAAATGACATTTCTCCACTGTCACTTTTACTTTTATAATTTTTTTTTACTCTTATACTGGATCGTATTAATTGGTCAGGAGGATTTGGTTTTGGCAGAGTTTCACTATGCACACTCGGGTTTTTGGCTGATCTTACAAACGATACCAAACTTTTCTTTGTCTTGTTATTTATATTGTCTAGGTTTATATTACAAATTATATTACAGAACTTTTATAGAATTAAATTTTATGTTTAATACATACTACTTTACTTATTGTTAGTATAGTGCGGGATATGATTACTTTTTGACAATTTGTTGTATGTCTTTGGGTCGATTTCTCTGTTAACACTCCAGAGATAATCTCCCATCATCCCTACATCCCAGTAACCTTGATAACGTCTTTCCAATGTCATTAAGTCTTGATGAAACCGCTCGACTTGTTCGTCACTTTCCGCTGCAAGATTGCTTGGAAAAAATCTAATTGTAAGTGCGAATGGAGAAAATGGATTTTGAGCGACATATTTTGCATTTATGGTATCGTAATTGTGCAATAAGTTGGAAATTATTTCGCGATAATTCTCATCCTTATGGTTTCCTAAAAATTAATGGACGGTTTGTTTGAAGCTAATCCACGCCGTTGCTTCTTTTGTTGTTAATATTGACATGAATTCGTTGTTATTTATTAATTTTCTTATTTGAGGGTCAACAAATATGCCTTCTTTTAGTTTAGCGTACGATAGTTGTGGAAAGAGCTGGGTGAGATATTTAAACGCTGGACCTTCTGGATTCAACGTTTTCACAAAGTTTTGCATCAAACCCAGTTTGATGTATAGTGGAGGCAATTTACAGATGCTGGTCTCACCAAATATTGACTTATTTAAGACATTGAAAGCACCAGTATCGTAATATTCTCTAGAAGGCCAGTCTTTGCGCAAATAATGATGCTCTTTCGCTCGTAAAAAAATACTGAAAAATTCTAAAAAAATATACTGAACATGAACCGTGACTGTTTTTTAATTTGCGATTTTACACATTTTTTGTATATCTCGAAAACTGGACGTGATGGAGAAAAACTGAAGACAGTTTCAGAATTAGCACAATATTCTACGTTATAAAAAATATCGCAGTCTTCGAGGAAAAAATGGATTAAAATTTGTAAACTAGTGTAATTTACTACAATTTCTAACACCTTTATGACGCTTTTTTTGCTGGTTTTGTTCTATAGCGTCTTGTTTCTCTGCAACTTCTATAGGTATATGGCCAAAGAGTGACTTAGGTTGTTTTAGCAATAAGCGATTCAAATGTGTTATTTGATTGGTAAAGTTATAAGATTACAACTTTAACCGGCTATATAATAAGAACATGCAAGTTATTTGGGAGTTTCATTGTAATTTCGTTGTTGCTTTAGTAGTTTAGGTTGCTTAATATTTTTTCTGGGGAAGTCCTTTATGAGTTTCTACAGTTTTATAATTACTTACACATTGTCGTAATGTAGACGCTTGTATGACTCTATTGTTGATAATTTTTGCAATGTTGTGTGATTTCAACACCTTAGCCTCTTCATTATAGATTGTAGGACTTCATTATAGGACGACGATATAAATGAAATTAAGGATTGCTTCTTCATAATTGCCTTCTCTGCATCCTCATTAGAATTAAATATAATAATATTAATATTTAATAATATTGAAGAAAAAGAAAAATTTGAATAATAATTTTTTCTGTATATTATCCAATATAAAACTTATTGGACGATCATCTAAAATGATTGTCTAAAAACTTGATAATAATTATTTTTGTTCTTTTAGAACCGATTATTATCAACAAGAACATCAATACAAACCTCACCAATACAACACCTACAACGAGAAATTTACCCATTTAGAAAGTCCAGAAAAAGTTAACATGATAGACCAAGAAAAGAAAATAAAATCGTCAATTTTACATGAAACGAACGCGTTAGATTCGGCAGTTTATGGAGGTGGGAATAACTACAATCAACCATCGACATCTCCTTACAACACATATGGTTATCCAAAAGCACCTACATCTTATAGTCCTGATAACCGATATAATCAATCAGTTTCTAATACACAAACGTACGATGCTCATTCGTACGGAAGTGGGATTTATGGAACAACTCAAAATTATTCACAAAATTACCCACAAAATTATGGTTCAATAGGTCAATACGCAGTGCCAACAAAATCACCCTATTCATCAACGATACCGCCAACGATGCCTTCAATTCAATCATCGATTCCTAAATTTGATACCCCCTTAAAAATAGATGAATATCGAACGATAACTTCAGGTGGGATTGGGTCTTCGACTCACCCAGGCTACGTAACTTCCGAGGTGTCTTCCAATACTTTCAAAACCCCCGATGGCTATCAAACGAATACTTATAGATACGAAACTTATCAATCCAATTCTGAACCATACTCTTATAGTATGAGCGAAAAATATTACACGAGCTCCCCACCGTCAAAATTAGAGCATAGCCCAATCGACCAAAAATCATTTCAAGATCATTTTAAAAACGGAAGCGATATGAAAAATTTCTCGTCGAATTTTTCGACGCAAATGGAGTCATTTAGCGATGTGCCAAGTTTTAAAGATGGAGGTGAAACTTTAGAACAAAAAATGTTGAAGAAATCGATGACGCAACATGTAACGGAAAAGAAAACGGTCTCGATGACGAGAAGTACTAAACAGGAAACGTCTACGAAAAATTTTAAATTTGAATAAATTAAGCCATAATTATCGTTATTGAGGTGGTGTATTATAAAGATGTAATGTAAATAAATAAATAAAAAAACGCCGTTTCTTTTTTGGGCTTGAAATTAACATACAATGTATACAATCAAAAACATAAAAGCTTTAATAATTCATTTCTTTTTTAATTATACTTTTAAAATGAATTTGTGCCTTTCTAATCTTATGACATCAAAAAATTCGTCAATCAACAAAAAAATGTAATATAGTTTTATGAATTTTTATTAAATCGTTAATTATAATAACAATTGAAGTGAATTAATGAAAAAATCTTTTGTATTAATTAATAAGATGGTGCTAAATAACCACTTAGATTATCATATTATTTACGTTAACAAAGAGGTGTTATTTTAGGTGAAGTAGTAATTGTGTAACCAAAACATTTTTTTTTCATCATAGTTTTTGTATAAATTTACGTTATATTATCGCGCTTTTCTTTAATATTAGTATGTAGGTAATTTTTATTTTTCTTAGTGCCAAAACGATTTTTTTGTTTAATATAATAAATTATAAATATGCAAAAAAAATATACATAATTAGAGTGCCTAACTTTAAACTATATATTTAAAAAGAGAAACAAAAAAGAAAAAAGTTTTAAAAGACTTGTAACTGTGCCTGTTATTCAATTCAATTTTTTTAATTTTAAATTTACTTAGTTTTACGGAATGTTTGTTTGATTAAAAGTAATCCAATAAAATATATATGCTGATAATGTTTTTTTTTTATTAATTATACACTCGTTAAAACACCTTGATTAAAACTACAAATGACTTATTTACCAACCTATAGGTACATTATTGTTTTTTACATAGCGTGTTAACCAATCATAAATGGGTTTGTAATATTCCAATAGAGGTTTTGCAGATAATTTTCGTTTCCCAATGAGAATATCCAAAGCGTCTACCCATGGAATTGAAGATCCTTGTTGCATCATGTCTCTAAAAAATGTAAACGTTAATGTTGAATTTTATAAATTAAGAAATCAGTGAAAATTATTTCATTCAAAATGTAATACAAAATGTTTTTTTGTGATTGAATGTAAAAAATCATAAATTCAAAATTTGAAGATTTGGGGAAATGAGCTTGACTACAATATGACGAATGAATCCCAATACGATATATAAAATCTCTTGTTGCAGTTCCGTCTAGTTTCCTTTTCTTTGCTTGTAATTCATCATCACATTCATTCCTAACAGAACTGTCGCTGTTATCACTTTCAATTATTAATTAAAGTATCCTCTTCTAAATGCAAAATGCCGTTTTGAAAAATCACTTTCAGTTCATGAGAAATAAATTTTTGAAATGATCGACAATTTTTTCGAATTTTTCAATTTTCTCCGATTCGGTTTTAAAAATTCGTATAAAATCCACTTCTTGGAATATGAGTATGAAAATGTCCCAAAGTGTTAATAAGAGTGTCTCCTTTCCAATGAACCAACGCATTTTGAAAAATAACTTTTAGTTTTTGAGAAAACAATATTTGAAGTTTTGATAACATTTTCGATGTTGCAATTTTCATCGATAATTTTCAAAATTCGCTATAAAATTAATTTCTTGAAGGATCCTTGTGGAAATATCACCAATTATTAATTAAAGTATCCTCTTTTTAATGCAAAAAGCCGTTTTGAAAAATCACTTTTAGTTCTTGAGAAATAAATTTTTGAAATGATCGACAATTTTTTCGAATTTTGCAATTTTCGCCGATTAAGTTTTAAAAATTCGTATAAAATCCATTTCTTGGAATATGAGTATGAAAATTTCCCAAAGTGTTAATAAAAGTGTCCTCTTTCCAATGAACCAACCCGTTTTTAAAAATAACTTTTAGTTTTTGAGAAAACAATATTTGAAGTTTTGATAAAATTTTCGATGTTGCAATTTTCATCGATAATATTCAAAATTCGCTATAAAATTAATTTCTTAAAGTATCCTTCTGGAAATATCATCAATTATTAATTAAAGTATCCTCTTTTTAATGCAACAAGAAGTTTTGAAAAATCACTTTTAGTTCTTGAGAAATACATTTTTGAAATGATCGACATTTTTTTCGAATTTTTCAATTTTCGCCGATTAAGTTTTAAAAATTCGTATAAAATCCAGTTGTTGGAATACGAGTACAAAAATGTACCAAAGTGTTAATAAGAGTGTCTTCTTTCCAATGAACCAACACGTTTTAAAAAATAACTTTTAGTTTTTGAGAAAACAATATTTGAAGTTTTGATAAAATTTTCGATGTTGCAATTTTCATCGATAATTTTCAAAATTCGCTATAAAATTAATTTCTTGAAGGATCCTTGTGGAAATATCACCAATTATTAATTAAAGTATCCTCTTTTTAATGCAACAAGCCGTTTTGAAAAATCACTTTTAGTTCTTGAGAAATAAATTTTTGAAATAATCGACAATTTTTTCGAATTTTGCAATTTTCGCCGATTAAGTTTTAAAAATTCGTATAAAATCCATTTCTTGGAATATGAGTATGAAAATTTCCCAAAGTGTTAATAAAAGTGTCCTCTTTCCAATGAACCAACCCGTTTTGAAAAATAACTTTTAGTTTTTGAGAAAACAATATTTGAAATTTTCATAAAATTTTCGATGTTGCAATTTTCATCGATAATTTTCAAAATACGCTATAAAATTAATTTCTTGAAGGATCCTTGTGGAAATATCACCAATTATTCTTTCGATCAAATATCAATATACGATATTATAAATATCATATATCTGATATTATTAATATCAGATATATGATTTAAATTACAAAAATTATAGTCCAAAAATTTGAAGATTTGAAGAAATGACTATGAGCATATTAAATGTTAGTTAAAATTCAGCTTTAACGCCTTTTTATCTCACACTCATATCTTAAATAGTTCTTGAGTGGAAAGCTAAAAAACTGTTCTTGTATTCAAAACATCATTACTCAGAAATGTGAATATTTGAAGAAATCATCTTCAACGTAATAAACACTATTTAAATTTGCTGTAAATCATTTGTTATCTTACGCCGATATCTCACTTAAGTTTTGAGATATATCTTCTTATCTAGAAATATCTATAAACGATTATAACTCAATAATTTGACGATTTGAAGAAGTAGCGTTGAACGTATTAAGTATTAATTAAATTTTATACACTACTATCCGTGCCAAAAGTTAAGGCCCCTCAATTTGGATGAATTTGGAACATTTAACTGGTCATGGTATCATATGGTATATTCTATCTACATGTACTAGATCGACTTTAGAAAATATTGTTCAACCATGAAGATGCAGATTGAAGTCATGGGTGTGAGGTAATGGATAGCGATCAGGTACTATGGCAAGATTCAACTGACGATAGTCGCCACAGGGATACCAATCATTCGAATCTTTTTTGGGCACCATGTGCAATGGAGACGAAGCTTAACAAGAAAATTGTCGACAGATACCAAGCGTTACCAGGTACTCAAATTTTGTTGAATGAAGTTAATTTTGGGAAAGATTTAACGAGAGAAGTGAATTTAGTTTCGATAGAGAAAAGTTTGGGTATTGGTATGAAAGTATTTGAAATGCTACCTATTGAGGATAATTTTGTGGTAATATTAATCGACGGTTTTTGATGTCGACGAAAATGTCGAATTTGTTTAAAAAATCAGCACCAATAATTAGTTTGTTGGAAAATTTCTTCTCAATTGTAAAGTTAACGTTAATAACTTTTTTCCATATGTAATTATGGGTGTACCATCTCCGGTACGGTTACGAAAGAATTGATAAGGAAGCACAGAGATGTAATAATAATAATGTTTATTGCCTCAAAAACAAATATTTACATAAATATATACATTCATAACAAATACAGACATCAAGGCAAATGGATCAATTTATCGCAATAAGCGATATCTTACAAGAGACCCAACTAGTAACAGTGTATATGTAATTTTAAATAAATTATTATGGCTACTAAGTAATACTAAATCATGTGCTAATAGGACTGAGCGAATGAGCATATTTGAGTTATGTAACGGGTCGACAGTCAGTTACTACAAGGAAGGTAACAGACACAAAAAACGTGCAGTAAAAGATAGATGAAAGGCAGACTAGAGAAGAAAACAAGCACGTATAGGTCAAGAAGAAGATAGTTGAAGAAATAGCAGATGGCGCCTCAAGACATTTTTTAAAACTTATTAAACTAGCTGCATTGCAAACAACAGCAAGTAAATCGTTCCAAAACGCAATCGACTGCACTGTAAAAGATCTGTGGTAGATTTCAGTACTATGGACTGGAAACATGAGTGTAGAGTCCGACATTGATCGAATGGGCAAGTCATGTGATGCTAAAATGTGAAAGGCATCGGACAAATAAGCAGGAGTGCGGGTATGGACAATTTTGTACAACATAGTAAGCATACGAAATGATCTACGACTCTGGCAAGTCATCATCTGCAGGTTGTTACGATATGGAGTAATGTGCTGAAACTTTCCTAAGTCAAAAATGTACCGTATACAATTGTTCTGAAGTTTTTCTAATTTACCCCGAAGGGCTGTGGACAGATTGGGATACGCAACATCGGCATAATCAATATGTGGGAAAATGAGAGAATAACAAAGATTACGACGTACAACAGGAGGAAGTATGGAAACAGAAGTAAACCCTCTTACAGACTCCCTGAACTTGTGGCCGCCAAGACATCGCCGAATCCATTACAACACCAAAAGATTTTTGACCATATTAGAAAACGGAATAACGGTGTCGCCAAGCCTCAGTTGAAGGGTAGTTAAGGAATTAAATTGTGCCAGCAAAGGGCGAGTGCCAAATGCAATGGCTTGCGTTTTACCTGGATTCAGGTTAAGTCCATGACGTCTAGACCAGTCAAGCACGCTAGAGAGTACGTTGTTAAGATGCAACAACGCATCTGGGAGGTTGTTAACAGTTGACGAAATATAAAGTTGAAGGTCTACATACAAATGATAGTTACATGAGATACCATCACTAATACTATTTATGAAAATTGAGAAGACCAAAGGACCCAGCACACTGCCCTGGGGAACTCCACATTTGATGTCAACAGGAGAAGAGAGTACAGATTCCACGCGGACACGTAAAGACCGATAGGAAAGGTAGGACTGGAATCAAGATACACAAGAAGAGGTAAAACCAATAGCAGAAAGGTCATCAACATGGGACGGAGATTTAATTTTTGGGGTAGGAATAACATAGGTGATTCGCCAAATTAACGGAAATATAGACTGTTCAAAAGAACAGTTGAAAATATGTGTTAGGGCAGTAATAACTATATCCAGAATGGGTAAGAGGAATCTGAGTCCAATACCATCTGCTAAGACACTAGTGGACTTGGAGTAAGTTAAAACATCCTGGACCTCAGCATGTGTAACCAAGCTGAATGAAAAGGAAAGCTCGTTGGTAGATGCAAGAATTTCATTAATAGTATTCTGCCTAGTTATGTTACCAACCACCACAGGAGGATCCGCAAAATACTCCACTAGAGCAGCAGCATCAATAGTGGGTAGATCTGTGGGAGACTCTATAACACCAAGTGATCGCATTGTTTTCCAAAATGTCTTATGAGTAGCTCCAGACAACCTCTGATAGTAGTGCAGTCGTTTATGTCTTTCTTCTTCTTATGATTGGCAGCAGAAGGGCTACGTTCGAACAATAACTTAGCATGATTGCGCTCCCGTATGAGATACCTAATCTCATCATTCAGCCAAGTTGTCGGCATGTGTCTGCATGATGTCTGCTCCTGTATCAATAAGAAAGTTGAAACAGGATTGATTGTCGTAAACATACAAGCGAGAACTGATTTCGTTAATAACTGGGTTAGTTTATCGTTTATATATTTTGTTTGGATTGAATTTTGAATTTATTTAATGACTATTCTCTACGGAAACATTTTTTTTAAATTTTTATGGAACTTGAAGAGATGAAGAGGCACTTTGTTTTTTAAAGGAATTATAGAAAATACAATTTTTCTCGCAATTCCGCGCTTTGTCGCCATACGTGGAATGATAAAAAAAAGCAGAAGGGGAACGAAACCTAGATCTTCTACAATTATTACAAGATTAGCATTAAAAATAGTAGCCTGATACCGATTCAAAATTGCAATATTTTAGTCATATAGTTTTTGAAAAAAAGTCGTAAAGTGGATAATGTTGCCGACACCCAAAAAATCGGGTACTTTTTCATACTCGCGATAAAAGAAAAACCGCTGACCCAAACATTTTCAAATTCACATAGAAAATTTACGTAGAAATATTCAGTAACTATAATAAACTTTAGCGCTATTAAATTGAGAGGCTTTTACTTTTGGAGTGCATAGTATATAGAGTTTTGAGAAATTTTTAACATTAATGATAATAAATAAATTTTAAATAATTACAATAAATGCCTTCCACATTTCTTAGATCCATAAATATCGCATTTATGTAATGGAAAAATATTATTTTCTTGATAATCATCATCCCCCTGAGTTTTACCATACAAGGAAATTTCACAAAGTCCTTTAAAAATTTCCATTTGCAAAATGCTGCTTAAAAAATACCTAAAATATTAAAGTTTATTTCATAGTTACATTAATAAATTAAAAATTACTCATCTTATTTACCTAATATACGGTGTATTATCGGATAAATGAAATTTTCCAGCGGCATCAAAAAACTCTTCACCCCTTCTTTCCGGTGGGACGATTCCTCTTAATTCTTTATTTAACATCCAATACGCTTCGTTATAATGATCTTTATCGATGTAACCGGAAAAGATATCCCACCTGTATTTATCGGTAATTAAAGAAAATGGGATTTCCGGGATTTTCGCTAAGGCTTGCATTAAAAGTAAATAAAAGTCTGTTTTTGGATCAATGAGTTCTTCGTCTGTTATTAAATTAAGTCGGTGGAGATGAGACGGTGATAAGACTCCATGCATTATTGAATCTCCGATGCTTTCGTGCATCGCAGAATTTGCGCCACTCTAAAATAATAAAGTTATTAAATGGGCAAGTATGAAAAGTAAAAATTACGTAAAAAGCTGCTTAGAAAATAAAAAAAGATAAAAGATAGATTTTATATGGAAACTATTCATAATAAATTCTAGTTATAATCGATTTTGCCAACTTAATGTCATTGAAAGCAAAACCACGTTAATTTGATTATTTTGACAGAGAAAGTACCTAATCAGTTTAAACCAATCGATTAGCTTTTTTCTCAGTTTCAATAATTGTGCATCTGATGAAGAGTTAAAGATGATGTACGATTACACAAGACACTAACTGGGACTATTGACAACAAAGATCTTAAACATTTCAAATTTGAAGCATTTAACGACAAAATTGATTTTAACTCTAAAACTAAAAACTGTGGATGACAATTGTATTAATAAAAATTGTNAGATCTTAAACATTTCAAATTTGAAGCATTTAACGACTAAATTGATTTTAACTCGAAAACTAAAAACTGTGGATGACAATTATATTAACAAAAATTGTTCATAATAAATCACAAAAACCAAGTCCATAAATAATTTCATTCCAAACATTTCGCACTTTTAGATATAAACCGTGCAATTTGAATTCTCTAAATTTAAGTACTTGGATATATTTCTATTATAACTTGAAGACGAAAAATGCTAAGAGAAAGTATTGACTACGAAAATTATTTATAATTAACAAATACAACATTATCTGTAAACGATTGTAACATAACCATGACTACTACCAACCCAACAAATTTAAAACCCCAACTACTTCAAATTTGCAAAATGTACCAACAAATTGGATTATAACTCAAAAATTAAAAACTCTGAATGACAATTGTGTTAGCAAAAATTCTTCATAACAAATCACAAAATCATAATCCATAAACGATTTATTTCCCACTATTTCACAATTGTAGATATAAACCATAAAATTTAAAAATCTGTAATTTGACGTTATTGGATTAAAATGTTCATTATAACTCGAGAGCAAAAAATGGTAGGAAGAAGTGTTATGGATGAGAATTGTTTATAATAAACTAAAAAATGATATCCTCAAGTAGTTTTAATCCAGCTACGATTATTACCACAGTAGCAGATTTAAAATCCTAAACATTTCAAATTTGAGGGATTTCATAACAAAATGAATATTAATAATAAAATTAAAAACAGTGGATGATAATTATATTAACAAAAATTGTTCATAATAAATCACAAAAACCAAATCCATAAATAATTTCATTCCAAACAATTCGCACTTTTAGATATAAACCGTGCAATTTTAATTTTCTAAAGTTAAGTATTTGGACATATTTCTATTATAACTTGAAAACGAAAAATGCTAAGAGAAAGTGTTGACAACGAAAATTATTTATAATTAACAAATACAACATTATCTGTAAACGATTATAACATAACCATGACTACTACCAACCCAACAGATTTAAAACCCCAAATATTTCAAGTTTGAAAAATGTACTAACAAATTGGATTATAACTCAAAAATTAAAACCTCTGGATGACAATTGTATTAGTAAAAATTCTTCATAACAAATCACAAAATCATAATCCATAAACAATTTATTTCCCATTATTTCACATTTCTAGATATAAACCATAAAATCCAAAAATCTGTAATCTGACGTTATCGGATTAAAATGTTCATTATAACTCGGGGGCAAAAAATGGTAGAAAGAAATGTTATGGATGAGAATTGTTTATAATGAACCAATAAATGATATCCTCAAGTAGTTTTAATCCAGCTATGATTATTACCAATATAGCAAATTTAAAATCCTAAACATTTCAAATTTGAGGGATTTCATAACAAAATGAATTTTAATAATAAAATTAAAAACAGTGGATGATAATTATATTAACAAAAATTGTTCATAATAAATCACAAAAACCAAATCCATAAATAATTTCATTCCAAACAATTCGCACTTTTAGATATAAACCGTGCAATTTTAATTTTCTAAAGTTAAGTATTTGGACATATTTCTATTATAACTTGAAAACGAAAAATGCTAAGAGAAAGTGTTGACAACGAAAATTATTTATAATTAACAAATACAACATTATCTGTAAACGATTATAACATAACCATGACTACTACCAACCCAACAGATTTAAAACCCCAAATATTTCAAGTTTGAAAAATGTACTAACAAATTGGATTATAACTCAAAAATTAAAACCTCTGGATGACAATTGTATTAGTAAAAATTCTTCATAACAAATCACAAAATCATAATCCATAAACGATTTATTTCCCACTATTTCACATTTGTAGATATAAATCATAAAATCCCAAAATCTGTGATTTGACATCGGATTAAAATGTTCATTATAACTCGAGAGCAAAAAATGGTAGGAAAAAATGTTATAGATGAGAATTGTTTATAATGAACCAAAAAATAATATCCGCAAGTAGTTTTAATCCAGCTATGATTATTACCAACGTAGCAGATTTCAAATCCTAAACATTTCAAATTTGAGGGATTTCATAACAAAATTGATTTTAATAATAAAATTAAAAACAGTGGATGATAATTATTTTAATAAAAATTGTTCATAATAAATCACAAAAACCAAATCCATAAATAATTTCATTCCAAACATTTCGCACTTTTAGATATAAACCGCGCAATTTAAATTCTCTAAAGTTAAGTATTTGGACATATTTCTATTATAACTTGAAAACGAAAAATGCTAAGAGAAAGTGTTGACAACGAAAATTATTTATAATTAACAAATACAACATTATCTGTAAACGATTATAACATAACCATGACTACTACCAACCCAACAGATTTAAAACCCCAAATATTTCAAGTTTGAAAAATGTACTAACAAATTGGATTATAACTCAAAAATTAAAACCTCTGGATGACAATTGTATTAGTAAAAATTCTTCATAACAAATCACAAAATCATAATCCATAAACGATTTATTTCCCACTATTTCACATTTGTAGATATAAATCATAAAATCCCAAAATCTGTGATTTGACATCGGATTAAAATGTTCATTATAACTCGAGAGCAAAAAATGGTAGGAAAAAATGTTATAGATGAGAATTGTTTATAATGAACCAAAAAATAATATCCGCAAGTAGTTTTAATCCAGCTATGATTATTACCAACGTAGCAGATTTCAAATCCTAAACATTTCAAATTTGAGGGATTTCATAACAAAATTGATTTTAATAATAAAATTAAAAACAGTGGATGATAATTATTTTAATAAAAGTTGTTCATAATAAATCACAAAAACCAAATCCATAAATAATTTCATTCCAAACATTTCGCACTTTTAGATATAAACCGCGCAATTTGAATTCTCTAAAGTTAAGTATTTGTACATATTTCTATTATAAGTTGAAAACGAAAAATGCTAAGAGAAAGTGTTGACAACGAAAATTACTTATAATTAATAAATACAACATTATCCCTAAACGATTATAACATAACCATGACTACTACCAACCCAACAGATTTAAAATCCCAAATATTTCAAATTTGAAAAATGTACCAACAAATTGGATTATAACTCAAAAATTAAAAACTCTGGATGACAATTGTATTAGCAAAAATTCTTCATAACAAATCACAAAATCATATTCCGTAAACGATTTATTTCCCACTATTTCACATTTGTAGATATAAACCATAAAATCCCAAAATCTGTGATTTGACGTTATCGGATTAAAATGTTCATTATAACTCGAGAGCAAAAAATGGTAGGAAGAAATGTTATGGATGAAAATTGTTTATAATGAACCAAAAAATGATATCCGCAAGTAGTTATCCAACTACGATTATTACCAATGTAGCAGATTTAAAATCCTAAACATTTCAAATTTGAGGGATTTCATAACAAAATGGATTTTAATAATAAAATTAAAAACAGTTGATGATAATTATATTAACAAAAATTGTTCATATTAAATCACAAAAACCAAATCCATAAATAATTTCATTCCAAACATTTCGCACTTTTAGATATAAACCGTGCAATTTTAATTTTCTAAAGTTAAGTATTTGGACATATTTCTATTATAACTTCAAAACGAAAAATGCTAAGAGAAAGTGTTGACTACGAAAATTATTTATAATTAACAAATACAACATTATCCATAAGCGATTATAACATAACCATGACTACTACCAACCCAACAGATTTAAAACACCAAATATGTCAAGTTTGAAAAATTCAAATTTGAGGGATTTCATAACAAAATGAATTTTAATAATAAAATTAAAAACAGTTGATGATAATTATATTAATAAAAATTGTTCATAACAAAGCACATAATCATAATCTATAAACAATTTATTTCCGACTATTTCGCATTTGTACTTATAAACCATAAAATCCCTAAATCTCTGAATAGACGTTTTTGAACTAAAGTTTTTATTATAACAAGAAAATGAAAAATGCCAGAAAAAAATTTATTGATAAAAATTGTTTATAATGAACCAAAGAATTGATTTCCGCAAGTAGTTCTAACCCAATTATGGTTATTACCAACGTAACAGATGTAAAATCCAAAACGTTTCGAAGTTGAGCAATTTAATAACAAAATGGATTTTAACTTTAAAATTAAAAACTATGGATGATAATTATATTAATAAAAATTGATCATAACAAATCACAAAATCATAATCCATAAACAATTTCTTTGTGACTATTTCGTATTTATAGTTATAAATTATAACTCAACTGTAGTTATAAAAAACCATATCAGACTTAAAATCTGAAACATTACAAATTTAAGTCATTTAACAACAGAATGAATTTTAATTCAATAATTAAAAACTATGGATAATAATTATATTAATAAAAATTGTTCATAATAAACCATTTAATCACAATTCATAAACAATTTATTTCTGACTATTTCGTATTTGTTGTTACAAAGCATAAAATCCCTAAATCTTTAAATTAATGTTTTTGGTTAAATTTTTGTATTAATAAATGCTAGTAGAAACAATTGTGGTTGAGCATTGTTAATACAAAATTACTAAATAGTTAATTTACCTGAAAAATCGAAGATTGATTTTGATAAGCTAAATAATATTGAAGATGTCCAATTTCATGATGAATAACATAAAAATTCTCCATATCAACTTTTCCACACATTAACATTCTAACATCATCTTTTCTATACATAAAAGCCGCTGTACCATGACATATAGTTAAATTCTCATTTTGCTCGAATATTGAATGATTCCAAAAACTTTCAGGCATCGGATATAAACCCATAGAAGTATACATATCTTCAGCTTGCAATACCAAGTCTTTAATTTTCCACTTTTTCTTTTCAATTCGTTTATCTAAATCAATCATTTCGTTCGGGGGAAGAAATATATCGATTAATTTAGACCAATCTTGCCCCCACATATTTCCTGGGTACAAATAATAATAATTATTAATCATGATTAAGAATAATTTAAATTGTTTCATAAAATATTTTGTTATATACTCATGAATGATTTCAAATCGCTTCGGGGTTTTACTAAAATTCATTCGTGATGTTCGCGAAGTTTTCGTCTTTGATAATTCAAGTATATAATACATAAATGTAACAATATTTTCTGCATGAACAAATAACGTTTGTGATTTATTTTTATTTAAAATTACCTACCTAAAAGATGTATTGGAATTGGTCCTAAAGGATCAATTTCTAAAGGACCATATTTTAATAATAATTTGTGTCTAACGACAGCGTGAAGTAAAATGTATAAAGGTCTAATTTCTTCGTAAAGATTAAAAACGGTGTTTTCTAAGTTTGATATTTCTAATTCTCCTTTCCAAATATCCCCCATATTTTCATATCCTTCGTTTAAATTAATTAATTTATTAAATTAATAATTAAATTTGATGAAAAACATTTTTTACCGTTCATTTTAGCAGCTAAATTTTCTAATCTATTAAAATCGGAAAATTCATTTTTCATTGAAGGTCCAACAAAATCATGCCAACTCCTCCAAATCCATTTTAATTGATCTGGATTCAAATCGGTTCTTTTAATTAATCTCTCAAGATCTGGTTCTCCACGAAGACATTGTCCAGGGGTGGGATAGTCTGATATGTTTTGATAGGGGTAAGCTAAAGATTGCAGAGATCCTGGTTGATCGGTTGGCAAACAAACGGCTGAATTGTAAATTCGAGAAAGATTACTCATTAACTCTAAGAAAATCCTAAATAATTAATTTGAATTAATTTATTTGAAGTAATTTATTTTATAATTGATGTATCATTACTTTGCCATTTCATTATTATATCGTCCTCCTCTACAAAACAAATAAAACTTTCTTCTTTGAGAATAAGTAAGATCCTTCTCCCATTTATTCGAGGAACAAATTTGATTTTTCCAATTATTTCTTGCTAAATGCAATTTTAATCCTTTATCAGCTATTTCGGAAGTTGGATTAGTTGCTAAATCCCAGGTTAATTTAGCGGCGTATTTATTAAAAACGCTAAGATTTTTTTCAACGCTTTCAATCCATTGTGTAATGGAGATATTATCTAAAATAGGTGACAATTTTCCATTAATAATATTATGTTAAATTGATTGATAACGATTAACCATATGCTATTACGTGTAATTAAGTTGGTGGAATATTTACAAAACCTTTCAATGTCTTCAGCAAACATAGATTAGATTTAATTAAGCTAAATAAGCGATAACACAAAAACATTATTTAAGTTATTTTATTTTTAATTTAAAAAAATTTTTAATTACAATTAAAATAACTTTCTTACCATCCCCTTCATTTAACGCCACTTCTTCATTTAAATTAAACGTTTTAACGTGATTAAGATGTATTAAAATAACACAAAAAAACCAAAACAAACATTTCTTTTTAGTTTTTATTTTCATATCGCGACACTTTCAAAATAATTCTTAACTCTAATCTCGATTTGGTTGTTATCTCGAATCAGAGCGTTCATAAACTGAAGTAACTGAAGTAACACAGCAGCTTTCAGCGTTATGTTTTAACATTGTTCGGAGCGCGCTTGCGTTTATTTCAATTGAAAAACAAGAAGGAAAAACAGTGGATAAAACGGAGGCCGACTTGGATCACGATATGTCACGATTCATGTCATATTATTTTCAGTTTAATATAGTAAGCACGTAGATTTGTTAATTTGTAATAAAAAAAGGTTGAGTCATTTAAAATAAAATAAAAAAGAAATATATAATTAATTTAATTAGGAAATCCGTGATACCTTAGGGATGTCCTTTTATCTTCACGAGATTAATTCAGCTGCTACCTAATTGAGTCATAAATAGAAAATCCCTTCTCGCTTGCGATACCTTAGCAAATAGCTCCGAGATTTAGCGTTTCTTTTATTTTGTTGAGATTGTAGTCGCGAAGAGAATCTCCGGATACGTAGTTAAATCTTAATGAAAATAAAATACGCCTTCGGATATACAAAGAGCTTCGCCCTGCTATTATTCAAATTGTCTCTTTGGATTCCTTTACACTGTGGATGTGCAAATAAATGAACCCGCAAAACAAGATTTATCCCAGATTCTAAGAGGGATCGTTGTTGTGTTCCGAATTTTAAATTCTGACCTTTAAACATCAATAACTTATTTTGTTCATAAATCGTTCATTCTATTTGAATAAGAACTTTTACCTTCCAATAATAGTTTATAATAAACAGTAGTTTAGAAATAATATAAATAGTGGAGGTATAGCATTATTGGTGTTTGAACCATTTAATCATAATAATTTATGATAGATAGATAGATAGATAAATAGCCATTTATTGTCACCAACAAAAGAAACAACTTTTTACAATTTAACATCAAAATCATACTTTAGCAAATTAATACCAAAAATCAAAAATTTAACAAATTAAAATTTCATCTTCGCTCCTTTTTTGTTTTGGTGACTTTTTCGGTGTTAACCGTGGCATTCCCATAATGGGACTGAGTTCGTATGTTCTCGATATTAGCCCGTGTAAAGCCATACTTCCTTGTATATCTCCTTCATTCTCTTCCATTCTTGTCGGTCCCAAGCTACCCTGTGCCATGTTACTCCTCCACAACTCCTCTTAAACTCATCTTCCCAGCTGGCAGTTGGTCTTCCTTTTCTTCTCTTTTTGTCTGTTGGGTATCATTCTAAGATTTTCTTGGTCCATCTCTCATCTTGTACTCTTATAATATGATCCGCCCAATTCCATTTTCGATCCAATACTATTCTTCCAATATCCTCGATGTTTGACTTTTCCCTTATCACCCTTCTATGCATTGCCCTTGCTGTTACCCTAATCTTTTTAATTATTTTGTTTGTTAATATCCATGTCTCCTGTGTTTCTAGTTGTAATCTTTTGTCCGAGATATACGAAATGCTCTACTTTGTCGATTTTCCTTCCATTAACAATTATTTTATTGTTTTGTTCACAATTTACGTACATTGCTTTTGTCTTGCTCATATTTATCTCCAGACCAGTTTGCTTTCCTCTTCTCGATATTGTTTCCAGCATTTTTCTTACTTTTGTTTCGTTTTTTCTTATAAGTACTATGTCATCAGCAAACTTTAGCCTGTTCAACCATTGCCCATTTATTCTTATTCCCAACTCTTTCCATTCTTCTTCTACAAACATTGTTTCCAATACGGCATTGAATAGCTTTGCAGAAGTCGTCCTTTTATTATTGTTCATTTCGATGTTTAGTTTTGAGTTTTTATATATACAGTTTAATATACGAATGTTCTGGTCTTCCATACCAAACGTCTACAAATAATGAGATCATTGGATCATTAGAATATTGTCTAGCGTGGAGAAGTTCTTCTTAAATCCCGTTTGATCTTCGGAGTGATGGTAGGTGTTGCTCTATTCTCTTTGTAATTATGGACATAAATATTTTATACATCACCGGAAGTAAACTTATTGGTCTGTAATTGTTGATCTGTTTGTTGATCTCTGTCTCCTTTTTTGTATATTAAGGCAAGTTTAGTTGCGAGCCAGCTATCAGGTATCTTTTTTGTTTCAAACAGTTATTAAAAATTTCCTTCAAGATTGGTTTCCACCTGCTTTTATTTCTTCATTTCTTATCTGATCTATACTTCCATTTTTTCCTTCCTTCAGTTTTGATATTAATCACTTATTTCTTCTGTAATTATTTCGTATTGTATCTGTTCATTCTCCCTCTCTTCTTCCTCCATTATGCCTGCTCCCGTATTCTATCCAATTCTTTCTTTTTCCGCCTTGTTGTATAGTTCCTTATAAAAGTCGCATATAATGTTTAATATTTTTCTGCATCTTCCCTTTTGCTCATACCGTACTTATCTTTCATTGCTATTATTTTGTTTTGTCCCAGTGATTGTTGTCTCACACTTTTTCTTATATTTCCTCCCGTAGTAATTACATCTTCTAATTCTATTATTTTTTTGTTATATGACCATTCTTTCCATTTGTTTCTTATTAATTTTGATATTTCTGTGTACTCAATCTTTTCTCTTCCTGATCTCTTTATTGTTCTTCTTTTATTTAATAGTTTACGTATATCGCATCTCCATTTCTATGTTTGATTTCCATATATTTTTGTATTTGTTAAACATTTGCCATCTCATTGCCATTCTTCGTGTTATTTCTTCTCCTGTGTTTTTAGTTGTAATCTTTTGTCCTAGATATACGAAATGCTCTACTTTGTCGATTTCCTTTCCATTAACAATTATTTTATTCTTTTGTTCACAATTTACATACATTGCCTTTGTCTTGCTCATATTTATCTCCAGACCAGTTTGCTTTCTTCTTCTCGATATTGTTTCCAGCATGATGACATAGGTACTATGTCGTCAGCAAACTTTAGCCTGTTCAACCATTGCCCATTTATTCTTATTCCCAGATCTTTCCATTCTTCTTCTACAAACATTGTTTCCAATACTGCATTGAATAGCTTTGCAGAAATCACATCACCTTGCTTCAGTCCATTTCCATTTATAGTTTAATATACGAATATACTGATCTTCCATACCAGACGTTTGTATGACCTGTAAGATTGTTTCTGTTCTTACATTGTCAAACGCTTTCTCAAAGTCTACAAATAACAAGAGCATTGGTAAGTCATAATCATTCGATTTTTTTATCAGTTGCTGCACGACTAAAATATTGTCTAACGTGGAGAAGTTCTTCTTGAATCCTGTTTGGTCTTCGGAGGATGGTAGGTGTTGCTCTATTCTCCTTGTGATTATGGACATAAATATTTTATACATCACCGGGAGTAAACGTATTGGTCTGTAATTGTTGATATGTTCCCTATTGCCTTTTTTGTATATTAAGGCAAGTTTAGCTACGAGCCAACTATCAGGTATCTTTTTTTGTTTCAGTTATTAAAAAATAACTTAAAATAATTTATGACTAATTGCTAATCCGTAGCCATGAATATATTTGTATTGGTCTTCATAACTGGCGTTATGCATAATGTGAAGAAAAATGTTGCTACCTCAATGTGGATCTTCTATTCAATTAGTACTATGAATCTGCTATGTTTCTTTAGACACCACTAATTTTATGTAAGAATGCTAAATGTAAGATTGGCGAGATACTTGGAAAGGAGATGGCGATTATTGCATTAGAATCTAGGAGCTGCGAAACGCTATTATCATCCTATTAGTGGTGGAACGGATATCCGGCAACTATCCGGTATCCAGCCTATCCGGCCATTTTTTAAAATGTGGCCGAATACCGGATAGTTACCAAATATCCGGCTTTGGCCGGATATTAAAAACCTATTACTTACCTATTATTTATATCAGGTTTGTCATTAGCAACCTCATTGTAACATTCCCTATACGATATATAAAATCTCTTGTTGCAGTTTCATTTAGTTTTCTTCTCTACGCTTGTAATTCATCATCACATTTATTACTAACAAAACTGCCGCTGTTATCACTTTCGATTATTAATTAAAGTATTCTCTTTTTAGAGTTGCTTTGTTAATTAAATCAGCATCATAAAAGTTCTTGTGTATCTTGGATAAGGTTGGCTATCTTATCAACTTTCTTATTAATTTCATTTTTATTCAAATATCGCAATAATGTGGCAATATGGGGTATCACTTCAGAAATGCGCCAGACGTTATAACCATAATGGCCGGATAGATATGCCGGATAACAGAATATTACACTACATCCTACTATCCGTGCCAAAAGTCAAGGCCACTCACATTAGAGATCGATATCTTTGCAACCGCTCGATAAAAAAAATTGCGGTAAAGTTTGTTGTAATTATTGAACATTTCTACGTAACATATGTGTAGGATTTGTCCTTGAAGGCTCTCGGGAGTGGAACGAGTCGACTTTCCTAGGCGGGAAGTCAGTAGTCGAAAAGCAATGTAACGCAAAAGATCGGTAAGATCAACGACGGGCGAAAATTTCAAACGCGACAGTAAAAATTGTTTTCTATTTTAGATTCGATCAAAACGGTGACCAGTATAGTGAAATAAATTAATACTCTTATTTTGTTAAACTATTAAATAAAACTTAAGTTACCATTCCGATGTTTTGGTGAATAAATAAAAACATAACCCCTAGATTTAGAATAAAAGTGAACAAGAAACCCACATATGTTAATTTAACTTACGTTCAATCGGAAAAGATGGTGCGTTCCAGACAGTACGTCGCGCTTTTATCTTACCTACATAAAGAAATGAAGTCGCGACGTCCTGTCTCTGGAACACACACCAGGACCATCTTTTCCGATTGGACGCAAGTAAAATTAACATATGTTACGTAGAAATGTTCAGTAATTACAACAAACTTTACCGCTATGGATGAAGAGCCCCTTCCTAGCGACGTAAGTCTTCCTGTTAATGTTTGAAACAAAAAATTTTTAGGATTACAATACTTACCTGGAACGGAATGGAGATGTACCGAGACGACAACGCAGGGAGAAGCCAGCAGTAAGACGACGGCGGAAGAGTCACCCTGTGGAGCTGAATGCCTAAGACGAAGTCCTAAACGATCCCTGTATTAGAAGAGACGATGATTCCTCCGAGGAAATACCCAAAAGGGTGGTACCGGAGAAGAGAGGGGAAAAAAATAAATGAAACTACACTTAACCGCAAAATTAACGCACCACTCTGAATGGAATGAATTTGTTCATTATTACGCCTTTTGTCAATTTTGAAATCATAGCAGCTTTTCATGAGGGGCTTGTTTTTAAGTAAATAAACCTCACTTCTAAAATAAAGGTAGGCATTATTTTTTAATTGTTTTACCAATTGATACGATAACTGTCATTCGTGCGATACATAATGAAGCGTGCTACACGAAATTTAAATCGTGATGAATGTGTTCAAATTGTAACTTTGTCCAATGAAGGACTAACAAATTGCAAACTTGGTAGAAGGTTTGGCGTGGCTCATACAACGGTCGGTAGGATTCTGCAGAGATTTGTAGAGACCAATTAGAGACCGATTATGCTAGACGACGTGGCCAAGGCAGGCCACGAGCTACAAATGCGATGGAGGATCGATTTTTGATGCTTCGAGCACTTAGGGAACGTTCACTACTGTACGAAGCCTCCAAATACAACTAAGCGAGGTTCATGGCACTGCTGTTAGTCAAGATACCATAAGAAGAAGACTTTGTACTGAAAATTTCCGACCTCGGGCAGCAGCTACCGGTCCCAGATTATCTGCAAACCACCGAAGAAACAGATTGGCTTTTGCAAGAAGGCACGTGGATTGGCAAATCATTAGGAGCAGCTGTTATTTACGGATGAATCACGGTTTTGCCTTGTAAGTTCTGATCGTCGTCCAAGAGTGCACAGAAGGCCGAATGAAAGATATTCCACATGTAATATTCAAGAAACCACATTATACGGAGGCGGTTCAGTGATGGTATGGGCTGCAATATCTTTAATAGCTCGCACGGAACTTTTTATCGTTTCTTCGTTGATTGCGGACGTCTGAATTCTGAACGAGATATAACAGACATTTTAGAACCTTTTGTGATACCTTTTGCAACTTACATTGATGATGGGTTCATTCTTATGCAGGATAATGCGAGTCTGAATATTTAACTGAATATTTAAATTATGTTAATATTCAAGTCCTCGAGTGACCAGCCTGTAGTCCAGACCTGAACCCAACCGAGCATCTTTGGGACAAAATAGGCCAGAGGATTAGAAGTCAGCATCCACCACCTAACAGCTTAGACGAGCTGCGGCAAAGTCTTATTCGCGTATGGAAAGATATCCCTCAAGAAACCATCAGATCTCTAATTGAAAGTATGCCACGACTATGTCAGGCTACAATAACAGCCAGAGGTGGTAACACTAGTTACTGATAACCTAAATACGGTTCAAAAGAAGTGTGTTCGTAACAATAATGATCATTTTACATGATTTTGTTTACTTTCAGTTTTCGTTTATTTTCTACAATTCATTTAATTCAAACTTATTGTTATTATCGAAATAATTCTTTTTATGTATTCTGTTCTTAATATGTTTTTCAAAATGTACGATAATTTTGACTTTGATTATAATAAATCAAAATATACAGGTTGTATCTAAATTGATGCGAAAGATTTTAAGGGGTGATTTTTCAACGAAAATTAAGGGGGGCCTTTCATACAATTTTTTCACTTCTCCTCCAAGTTACAGCCCTCTAAAATTAGGGGAAAAAATGGTTTTTCTTTAATAAATCCGCTATGGAGGAATTTGGAAGGATGAAATTTGGCAGATAACTATTGGTAATAAAATGACACTTTTTAACGATTTTTATTACCCGAAAATGCTACTATAATACTTTGCATCAGAACTTTTTAATGCGTCTACATTTTTCTATTTAAAAAATTGATTTAAATAGAGGGATTCAATACGCAACTTATTTGTCTCTTGATATTTTCTCCTAAAATTGTTAGTTTGATCACAAAAAAAAAAAACTAATAGACAGGCTCAAGTGAATTAATACAGAGATTGGCTATTGTTAGTCAAAGAAATGAAGTTATGTCAAATTGTTAGTTGTAAAATGTCAAGAAATAAGAAACTTGCTTTCGAGGGCTATATAACATGAAGGAGAAGTGGTTTTGACCAAAAAGTTATATGAAAGTTAAAATCTTTCGCATCAATTTAGACACACCCTGTATAAGTGGTGCGTTAATTTTGCGGTTAAGTGTATTAATGGAAAACATATTTTGAGTACTTTAACTGCAAGTGTTTAAACAACATAGCTGTAATGATATTTGTTGAACTGAATCATTCGGATGCGTTGAAAATAGACTTATTTCTGATTAGTCGCAAATTTATTTCAAATTACATAAAATTCTTCAACATTTTGACAATGACTAAGGTCCGGTTGTATAATATACCGATAAACCTCCCGACAGCGTTATCTGGTCGATAAGTTAGTTTGTGCTGTATTACAATGTACGGATATTTTTGTCGGTGAGATTATTTGCAGGATAACTTATCGGTGCCGATAAGACACTTATCCGCCAGATATTTATGGTTACCAAGGTTTTTATATAAAAACTGCATAGGTTAGCCTATAACATTAACCGTTAACCCTATACGTTGGTTGTGTCAGTTGTCTGTCGTGAAACATTTATTTAAACAATTGTTATTGTCAAAATCATAATTAAAACTTCAACGAAAGACGTTAGCGTTACCAACCTATGACATAAATCACTAGATATGGGTAAAAACAACTACCAACCGACTCTTATTTCGCCGATAGCAATCCTACCGACAAAAACAGTTTGTGCAACAGCGAATATCTTTATCCTCCCGATAAGTTTATCGGCCGGATAGTTATCAGGTAGATTTAGCGGCATATTGTACAACCGGCCCTTAGTTAACTAACTTTATCTAGGACTATTTGAATAAGTCATCATTACCACACTCATTTGAGATGATTTTAGTTACGTAATGAAGTTCATTACCGCACTGGTTTCATTACGTAACGTATTTTTAGCCCAATCACAACAGACTTAATTTATTGAAACGAGCAACAATACAAAAGAAAAGGTGCTAACCATTTAAAGAGAAACAATACTATTTATTATAAACATTAATAGTTATGTTTTTGTCATTTCGCAACACTTATACCAGATGAGGAAACATATTATTGAAACTGACATTAATTCAAAATTGTCAACAATCATTTCAGTAATTATTATTTATATTACAAGTGGGCTAGAAACATAATTACTGTACAAGTGTCGAGAATTGCGTGTAATCACACGAGTACTGTAATTATGCTGTAGCCCACGTGTGATATACAACTTTTTATCTACGATTGCTAAAAATTACTTAAAAATCAATTTCTTTAAAAAGGTCTAATTTGACATTTATAAAAATACTTTGAAATGAATGTTGACAATTTTGAATTAATGTCAGTATCGAAATAAGTGTTTCGAAATGTAAAAACATAACAATTAATGTTTATAATAAATATTATAGTATTGTTTCTCTTTAAATAGGTAGCACTTTTTCTTTTGTATTGTTGCTCGCTTCAATAAATTAAGTCTGTTCTGATTGGGCTAAAAATGCGTTACGTAATGAAACCAGTGCGATAATGAACTTTATTACGTGACTCAAATCATCTCAAATGAGTGTGGTAATGATGACTTATCCAAGCAGTCGTTGATAAAATATTTTTATAAATATCAAAATAGAGCTTTTTAAAGAAATTGAGTTTTAAGTAATTTTTAGCAATCGTAGATAAAATGTTGTATATCACACGTGGGTTAGAGCATAATTACAGTACTTGTGTGATTACACGACTCGGTCAATTATATTTCTAGCCCACTTGTAATATAAATAACCATTAGGTTATTCGAAATTAAGATGACATCGTCAAAAATAAATATCTTGGCGTTAAATTAAATTAATCGATTATTACCAAGTACCATCAATCAGTTTCATTGATGGTCTCATAGCATTAATGATTGCGACATATTGACAAAACAAAAACAGTCAATTTTGACGTTTTGTGCAGATATTGAGGGCACTTTTTTACCATCAAAGAAATCGTTAGGAAGGAAAAGAGGAAAGAACGGGACGAGCAAAACCATCAATCGATGCACAAGTTCCGATAATAATGATAATATATTTCAACTTGGTACATAGTGTCAAATGCTTTGGCATGTGAGTTGGTGAGTACATAAAACTTAATATAATAATAAAAATAGATTTGATTTGATCGATTTGATTTTAGTTGTATTTGGTTGATGGTAATATTAGTTATAAGTTCAGATCCGTCGTTAACGAAAGGAAACGAAAACGTCGATTATTTAAATAAGCCCAAATTTCGATTCAACGAAGTTGCGGATTTCGCCGATGTCATCGAATCAACCGAAGAGGAACCAAAACAAATCGATCGCGCGAAGAAGAACGCGGAAGAAGAGTTTGTACGGAACGAAAGGGAACACGAAGATGACACGAGCACGTTACGTCTTGCTTTGGAGGCGAATAAATTGCTCGATTTGTCGCTCGAGGGTAAAGAAGATTTAAGTGTTAATACGCAACATAGGCGCAGCATTCCTAGAAAGTATACGAATCTTTTAGATTTAAAATATTATTATTCTAAAGGTCTTCCTATAAGGGGTCATTTAGCGGGTCAAAATCAAAAGAATGGGATAAGAAAACGTAATGATAATTTAAGAAAAAAACGTCAGCTGGAGGGCGAAGCAAATTTTAAATTTATCCCCGAAAATATGGATACGAATATTAAAAGAAATTCGATTAATATAGTTCCGTTAATAGCTGAAAGTAATCCTTATATGAGTGATTTAGCCGATGCCACAAACGATGCTTATTTAAAAATGAGGAATTACGCAGCCACTATAATGTTACTTTTAACCACTCCTAAATCTCAAGTTGCAGAACAAAAACATATTTATGAGTATCATCCAGCTAATTCGATAACCGAATCTAATATTAAACCAGGTTCTAATTTAATTAATTTGAAACAACGGGTTAAAAAATGTCCTGATCAAGCTGCGCCATTAAGTTCTTTTAGTCAAGTTCCTTACACTTTTAGTGTAGTTAGTTCAAGTGTAACAAATAAAATTTCGAGCGGTGAAACGAAAGAACGAAAACCAACGACGATGTCTCCGTTGGCATGGGAAGCTAACCTTTTGAAAGATGCGAACATAAAGTTAAAACGACAAAGTCAAAGTGATGAAGACACGGAGCCTTTACAACCAATTGCACATACAAGTGAAAATACAAGTAGTCATTTGGAAATATCGAATAAGATATTAACACCGATTTCGCCCACTGCTGCTTCAGCTCCTTGCGTTTTGAATAAGGCCAAAGATCCTGAAGAGGAGGGATGTGAAGATAACGATGATGAAGATGAAGATTGCAGCGATCAAAACGTTAATGGGACCTGCCATCTTACTTCCACGGGTAAACCTCAAGATGATAGAAAAGGAGGGCGGGATGTTCCTGTAAGATTTTATTTGCAACTAATTTATAGTTGGTAAATTGATTTTTTTAGAATCCACCACCACAACAACAACAACAACAACAACAAGAACAGCAACAAGAGCAATTAGTTGAATCCGAACAAAGTGGAGGAGATAATGAGGCTGGTGTTGCTAAGTGCAAACAATTTTGGACGGTTCCAGCTGCGGATATTCAAAGAGGAGTTGCGGAAGCTGTGCAGAATCTTGTAGCCCCAGAAAAGCAATTAAATGAAATTAAACCGTACAAAACTGGGACTGCCCATGAAAGCGATAGTCCTTGTGTTAAGGGGTTAATTCCTAAAGTTCAAAATGTTTTTGATTTCCCAACGATGACGATGAATCTTGATAGCATGGTGTCTAAAATTTCTAAATGTATGAAGTCATCGGGGGAAACAGCGGAGCAGAATGCGGGGCCTACAACCGCATGTGTTAATAAGTTTGGGAGTAAAATGGGAAAATCAGATTTGAGGAAAAATAATTTTATAAAACATAACATAATTAAACCTATCGTAATTAAACCTAATTTAGTGAAACCTAATTTAATAAAATCTAAAGTAATAAAATCAACTGAAAGTTCTCATCATCCATCAAAATCTGTTCCGATTAAAACTAAAGGCATAAAACGTGAAAGTTTAACCAAAACGGAAGAATCTACAATAAATTTGATTCCAACGCGAATTTTAGAAAATAATTACGATGATAATGTGGATACAAGTGATTATCCAATCGCGCAATTAAAGAGATTGCAACGAGATCTCTTCGTGGTTACTCAACTTGAAGAATTATTAGAAAGATTAACGGGGGAAAATAAGATTAGAAATTTTCGTGAAGATCAAAATTCTCAATACGATTATGAAGATGACAACGATTACGATAATGTTAATAATCAAGTAACAATTAATCCGGGTGATTCTCAAAGAATTAAAAAACGTTTTTTATTTAAGAAGAAAAAGCGAAAGAAAAAGAAGGCTAAAAGCGTTTGGAAACATATTTTCGGAGTCCGTTCAAATGAAAATCGTTTTTTAAACCAGAACTTTCCAAATTCACAGTACGCGAAGTACCCGATATAGACAACCCACGAAATACGAACAATATTCGAAGAAAACGAAGCGTTGAGAATACTAAGAAACCAACATCGAAGCTTATTAAAGTCTTTCCCATCCATTTTAACAGTGCGGATATTCAAGATATCACAGAACCTTACTCAGAAGATATTACCACGACCAAAACAACGCGAATTCGCAGCTCAACGACAACCTCAATTTATGAACCTTTATTACTCGAAACTAAAATGAGAACGAGCGCAACGGTTAATCAAACGAGCGAAGATGACACCCAAGATGAAGAAGATGACCAGATTAAACACGTTAATATACGCGATGATAAAACGAAATTAATTGCGAAAACCACGGTGGATGATGATGAAAGTATAGGAGTTGAAGAACATGTTGTGAAGAAAACAACTATTTCAGACGAAGATGACGATTACCCCACCGATAAAGACGTCGTATTATTAAGAAAAACCGAGTCTAAAACGAACACCCCTGTTATTTATCACGTTAAATTAAACTCAACCCCAATTCATCACCACAAATCTTCTTTGGTGGGGGAAGAAACCGTTACTCCAAATCATTGCGTTATTAACGAATCGATTCAACACCAACATTTAAAAGCAACCGAATCAACTCATTTAGATGTTAGCATGGTCGATGAAAATCCACCTGCACCGATTTATAAAACGCTTGAATCGGATGGGCCAGATCGTGAAGAAAACGTTAAACCCCCATCGAATAATTCAACCTTAGATTATAATTTGGTTGCGTTGAGATCAAAGTTGCTTAAAGATCAAAATTTATGCGCGGAGACCACCTCAAAAAGATGCCCTTCCCCAACAAGACCAATAACCGAAGCGATCGAAGATGAGAGAGGGGTTCCTTCAGAATCAGATGAACTCGAAATCAAAGTTAAAGGAATGAAGAGTCATTTAACAACGGATGAAGGGGACGAATTTGGAGAGATGGACACCATCACCATGTATCAACCCCACACTCTTGCGAAAGATGAAGAAAGTTTTAGCATTGATAAAAGTCCGGTTAAAGAAGTTGCGCAAGAGAAATCGATGGAATCAAAACCAGAAATGGGGGAATCAAAAGCTTCTGGTAAATTAAGTTCTATTAATTCGGTTGAAAACGCAAATAATAATAAAACGTTCGGTGCAATGGTTACATCTTCATTTACAGTGTCCATTAAAAAAGTGGCCACTCCTCAATGTAACGTAACAACTACAAAAATTTGTACACCTTTTGTACAACATCCTGTAATTGTTACCACCCCTAAATGTGGAGTTGTAACCAATGCATCGGAAGTTGAAGCTAAACCCAGCTTCAAAGAACCCCCAAAAAACATTGATACTTGCGTTGCCAATCTTATGATAGACGAAACAACTACAAGAACCACAACAACCACTGAATCTTTCATTAATTCAGGCCAAAAAGAAAAGAATAAAGGAACCGATACAGAAGATATTATTCCGAAAATAGAGGCGTTACTCGAGATATTTTCGGCAACCCCAAAATCAACGATTCCTAACGTTTATGTGCCAGAAAATAATTATCTAAATAACACAAATTTGTACACAAATATTTATGCAAATAATGATGTTTTTACGCAACCAAACAAAAATCTCTACGATTTATGTAACATCGATTCATTAACTTGTAAAAACTTTCAAGCGACTACATCCGATTTATCACCAGGGCTTTTATACATGAAGACTAAATCAAACGATTACGACGATGATTACGACAGGATTTATAAATTTGATCGCCCCCATAAAGATAAATCAATGAGGTATAAATCATCTTCAACTACCCCGAGTTTGTACGAAAGAATGGAAGAAAATATTTCGAAGAAAAAATCCCATAAAGATCATTTCCCGTATGGTGAATCTAAATCAACAGATTCGGATTTAAACCATTACAAATTAAGCCTTTTTCGTCACAGAGTAAGTACATCCCCGAAAGATTTATTGGATTTCGAAAACCTTTATAAAGGTGAATCATTAAATCCTTCTAAAACCGATAATATATTAAAACGTAAAGCTCTAAAAGAGTTATCAAAGAAGATAGCGCATGAATTGAGTGAGAAATATCGGGGGAATAACGAAAGAAAAAAGATGGATTTAAATCAAAATTTATACAAATTAATTCCCCACTACTTTTTCATTCAAACCACACCAAATATCGAGGAAGAAATCGAAAAGAGAGTGTTTGAAATGTTAGAAGAACAAGATAAATTATCCCAAGAGAATCATTACCCCACCAGAAGATTTGAAAGTTTCTCCCCAATTTCTAATTATGAAGTTAATGCGGGAACTTTATTCGAAGATATCCCACAATTTACCTCTAATTGGTACAAAAACTTCGATAAAGAGCCCCTTAATCACGATGATTGGATTCAACGCTTAAAACCATACGATATATCCACGAAACCAGTCGCTTTTAAATTAATAGACGACGAAGACATAAATGTTAAACACCAAAATGCGCAATTTGATAACGAGGGATTAAGAAGTTCAACTTTGTACCAATTATTAGCAGCGAAAAAAGCGTCGAAATTACGAAATCAACGCCCGAGATTAAACGGGAAAATAAATCTTCACTCTAAACAAGAATTTAATCCTTCAATAGAATTAAAAAACACTAACTGTGATTTACCCACCGTATTAGTTAATAAAGAGAAACCAACGAAGTTTTTGTATTTGGATAAATCAACGAAACCAAGTAATAAATTCGAATCGAGTACTCAAAAATCAACCCGATTTTTGTGGTCAACGAAACCCCACAACACTTTAACTGGTTCTAGTGTTAAGGATAAAATAAGAAAGAAACTCACTGAACCTACTGCACATAGCAAGAAAATAGATACCACAATTAAAGAAGCAGGTGCACTGATGACTACAGAGGTATGGAAGGATCTTTTGCTTTTGAAAGGATTGGGAAAGAAAAAACCTCCCGCTATTACGGAACTTACGGAACCTACGAAACCAACGAAACCAACGAAATTCACCAAATTCCCCAAATTCACCGAACCTATTTCGACGAAATTAATTGACTTTGAACCTTATCATACAGAACATAATTCTTTATACAGTAATTTAAATAAAGGTTATACAGACGATACAACTCCAATGAATACGGTATTAAGCGGAGGAGATAGAGTTGATGCGATCGAAACATTTAAACCATTACAATCGGTGGAAGATTTGCAAAGACCAACTGTTGGGGAGGATGAAAGTAACACGTCGTATAAAATTGATTATTCCTCGATTCGCCCGGAAGGAATTACAAGTCCAAACTTTGTTTTTGAAGAACCACCCTCTGTATTTTCAACTACTGAAAAGATATCGCAAAACATTAATTCAGAAGAATCACAAAATGATACTGATCATATTAATGAAGAGGACACGTTCGCGGGAAAATACACATCCAAAAAAATTGATTACAATAATAATTTAACATCTGAATATTACCCAATTACTAAAGAATATGAAACATATTTTTCATCTCAACCTATTGATAAACAAATTAAACTCACCGATAATATTAACAAAGAATTCCATTCTTCAGGTATGACTACATTCGTAGAGGACGATGTTGGAAGTAAAAAGATTACTAAGGAAGGTGATATACATCGTCTACTAACTGAGTATACACCGGAAAACACCTTAAATAGTATGGATATAACCCACGCCCCAAGTAGAAGTACACCAGAAAAAGATCATAATGAAGAAATGATAACTAAGTTTAATGAACACGAAATGGAAATTACTAATGAACGAGGTCATTCGCCCAAATTAGAAGAAAATACTCTTCTTGGAGTTGATATGCATCATCCATTAACTGATATACCAGAAAAAGAAGAAAATCTTATTAACAAAGAATCTGATGAATCCATAGAAGACTTAAAAACTACGCATGAAGGTGATCTACATCATACAGAAGTGGGGGAGATATCAGAACATCATGAAAAGGAAGATGGGTTACATCATCTCACTGATCACGAAAAAGAAACTACTCTAAAAGGCGATGTACATCATTTGAATGAGAATATCCTTAAGACTACTGGAGATGATTTAGCTCATAAACCTGCCTCAGAGGAACATAAATCAGATATTGATATCTTGGATACAAGTACTCATGCTGGAATAAGTGGTATGTCAGAAAAACACGAAGATGAGAAAATGCATGGAGGCGAAGTTTTCCATTTAACTGAGCATATACCTGAAAATGTATTAAATAGTATGGACGTAACCCAAACTACCCACGATAATGATGGTCATAAATCCAACTTAGAAGAAAACAAATCAGAAAAAGCGATAACAGGACATACTGAACTTGGAGGTATAGCTGAAGAACACAAAAACGAAATAACTCACGCAAAAGATGTGCACCATACTCTAACTGAACATATACCAGAAAAACAGCATATATCTAGTAGTCACACAGAATTAGGAGGGAATTCAGAACTCAAGGAAAAAGAAATGACTCATGAAGATAAAGTACATCATTTCTTAACTGAGCATGTATCAGAAAAAGAACACGAAAAGGAAATTAGTCATGAAAGCCACCAAGGAATTGATTTGGCTCATAAACCGAATTTAGAAGAAAAGAAATCAGAAATAACTGGACACACTGAAATTGAAGGTATCGGAGAAGAACATAAAAACGAAATTACTCATGCCGAAGATGTGCACCATCTCGTAACAGAGCATATTCCAGAGAAAATGGGGGACACCTCTACTAAAAAAGAATTTGAAGAATCGATAGAAAAAGATTTAGAAATGAATCATACAGAAACAGGAAGTATGTCAGAAAAACAAGAAGGGGAAATTGGGCATTCCGGTGATGTAAATCCTATATCTGAGCATATATCAAGTAATCATGTAGAAGGAGGGATTTTGGAACACCAAGATAAAGAAGTTACTCATGAGGCTGATGGGCATCATGACTTAACTGACCATGTATCAGAAAAATTATTAAAAAATTTGGACGCAACCCAAACCGAACCTAAAAGAATTTCAGAGGACCACGAAAAGGAAATAACCCACGAAGGTCACGAAGGAGATGATCACCACCATTTTACTGAAAACACAGGAGACAATCTGAGTCATAAACCCAACTTGGAAGAACATAAATCAGAAAAGGTGGTTGATAATTCTGAAATAAGTGGACACACTGAAATTGAAGGTATTGGAGAATATAGAAACGAAATTACTCCTGCCGAAGATGTGCACCATCTCCTAACAGAGCATATTCCAGAAAAAATGGGGGACACCTCTACTAAAAAAGAATTTGAAGAATCGATAGAAAAAGATTTAGAAATGAGTCATACAGAAACAGGAAGTATATCAGAAAAGCATGAAGGGGAAATTGGGCATTCCGTTGATGTAAATCCTATATCTGAGCATATATCAAGTAGTCATGTAGAAGGAGGGATTTCGGAACACCAAGATAAAGAAATTGCTCATGAGGCTGATGGGCATCATGCGTTAACTGAGCATGTATCAGAAAAATTATTAGAAAATTTGGACGCAACCCATACCGAAGCTAGAGGAATTTCAGAGGAACACGAAAAGGAAATTACCCATGAAGGCCACGAAGGAGATGATCACCACCATTTTACTGAAAATGCAGGAGACAATTTGAGTCATAAACCCAACTTGGAAGAACATAAATCAGAAAACGTGGTTGATAATTCTGAAACTGGAGAACACACTGAACTTGGAGGTATTGCAGAAGAACACAAACATGAAATTACTCATTTAGAAGATATACACCACCCTGCAACTCAACACTTACAAGAAAAAGTGGAGGAGTCGATAGAAAAAGATTTAGAAATGAGTCAAACAGAAACAGGAAGTATATCAGAAAATCAAGAAGGAGAAATTGGGCATTCCGTTGATGTAAATCCTATATCTGAGCATATGCCAAGTAGTCATGTAGAAGGAGGGATTTCGGAACACCACGATAAAGAAATTACTCATGAGGTTCATGGGGATCATGCCTTAACAGAGCATGTATCAGAAAATTTGGACACAACCCATACCGAAGCTAGAGGAATTTCAGAGGAACACGAAAAGGAAATTACCCATGAAGGCCACGAAGGAGATGATCACCACCATTTTACTGAAAATGCAGAAGACAATTTGGGTGATAAACTCAACTTGGAAGAACATAAATCTGAAAAGGTGGTTGATAATTCTGAAATAAGTGGACGCACTGAACTTGGGGGTATTGCAGAAGAACACAAACATGAAATTACTCATTCAGAAGATGTACACCACCCTGAAACTGAACACATACCAGAAAAAGTGGAGGGGTCGATAGAAAAAGATGTAGAAATAAGTCATACAGAAGTAGGAGGTATGTCAGAAAAGCAAGAAGGGGAAATTGGGCATTCCGTTGATGTAAATCCTATATCTGAGCATCATCTCCTAACAGAGCATATTCCAGAAAAAATGGGGGACACCTCTACTAAAGAAGAATTTGAAGAATCGATTGAAAAAGATTTAGAAATGAGTCATACAGAAACAGGAAGTATATCAGAAAAGCAAGAAGGAGAAATTGGGCATTCCGTTGATGTAAATCCTATATCTGAGCATATATCAAGTAGTCATGTAGAAGGAGGGATTTCGGAACATCAAGATAAAGAAATTACTCATGAGGTTAATGGGGACCATGCCTTAACAGAGCATGTAACAGAAAAATTATTAGAAAATTTGGACGCAACCCATACCGAAGCTAGAGGAATTTCAGAGGAACACGAAAAGGAAATTACCCATGAAGGTCACGAAGGAGATGATCACCACCATTTTACTGAAAATGCAGGAGACAATTTGAGTCATAAACCCAACTTGGAAGAACATAAATCAGAAAACGTGGTTGATAATTCTGAAACTGGAGAACACACTGAACTTGGAGGTATTGCAGAAGAACACAAACATGAAATTACTCATTTAGAAGATATACACCACCCTGCAACTCAACACTTACAAGAAAAAGTGGAGGAGTCGATAGAAAAAGATTTAGAAATGAGTCAAACAGAAACAGGAAGTATATCAGAAAATCAAGAAGGAGAAATTGGGCATTCCGTTGATGTAAATCCTATATCTGAGCATATGCCAAGTAGTCATGTAGAAGGAGGGATTTCGGAACACCACGATAAAGAAATTACTCATGAGGTTCATGGGGATCATGCCTTAACAGAGCATGTATCAGAAAATTTGGACACAACCCATACCGAAGCTAGAGGAATTTCAGAGGAACACGAAAAGGAAATTACCCATGAAGGCCACGAAGGAGATGATCACCACCATTTTACTGAAAATGCAGAAGACAATTTGGGTGATAAACTCAACTTGGAAGAACATAAATCTGAAAAGGTGGTTGATAATTCTGAAATAAGTGGACGCACTGAACTTGGGGGTATTGCAGAAGAACACAAACATGAAATTACTCATTCAGAAGATGTACACCACCCTGAAACTGAACACATACCAGAAAAAGTGGAGGGGTCGATAGGAAAAGATGTAGAAATAAGTCATACAGAAGTAGTAGGTATGTCAGAAAAGCAAGAAGGGGAAATTGGGCATTCCGTTGATGTAAATCCTATATCTGAGCACCATCTCCTAACAGAGCATATTCCAGAAAAAATGGGGGACACCTCTACTAAAGAAGAATTTGAAGAATCGATAGAAAAAGATTTAGAAATGAGTCATACAGAAACAGGAAGTATATCAGAAAAGCAAGAAGGAGAAATTGGGCATTCCGTTGATGTAAATCCTATATCTGAGCATATATCAAGTAGTCATGTAGAAGGAGGGATTTCGGAACATCAAGATAAAGAAATTACTCATGAGGCTAATGGGCACCATGACTTAACAGAGCATGCAACAGAAAAATTATTAGAAAATTTGGACGCAACCCATACCGAAGCTAGAGAAATTTCAGAAGAACACGAAAAGGAAATTACCCATGAAGGTCACGAAGGAGATGATCACCACCATTTTACTGAAAATGCAGAAGACAATTTGGGTCATAAACCCAACTTGGAAGAACATAAATCTGAAAAGGTGGTTGATAATTCTGAAATAAGTGAACACACAGAACTTGGGGGTATTGCAGAAGAACATAAACATGAAATTACTCATTTAGAAGATATACACCACCCTGCAACTGAACACGTACCAGAAAATGTGGAGAAGTCGATAGGAAAAGATTTAGAAATAAGTCATACAGAAATAGGAGGTGTGTCAGGAAAACATGAAGAAGAAATTGGACATCCAATTGATATAAATCCTATAACTGACCATATATCAAGTAGACACACAGAAGTAGGAAAGGTTCCAGAACACCACGAAGAAGAAATAACTCATGAAGGTGCTGTACATCATTCCTTAGCTGAGCATGTATCAGAAAAAACGCTAGATAACTTGGCCACAAGCCATACTGAAGCTAGAGGAACGTCAGAGGAACACGAAAAGGAACTTACCCATGAAGGCCACAAAGGAGATGATCACCACCATTTCATTAAGAGTACAGAAGAATATTTGGGACATAAATCCAGCTTAGAGGAAAATAAATCAGAAAAGGTGACTGATCATTCTGGAATAAATGGGCACACAGAACTTGAGGGTATGGCAGGAAATGTGCACCAAGCTCTAAGTGAACATACATCAGAAAAAATGGGAGACACCTCTACTAATCACGAATCTGAAGAATCGATAGAACAAGGCTTAGAGGCAAGTGATACAGAAGAAGGAAATGTGTTAGAAAAAGAAGAGACTGGGCATTCAATTGCTGTAAGTCCTATAACTGAGCATGTAACAAGTAGTCACATAGAGGTAGGAGGTATTTCGGAACATCATGAAAAAGAAATGAATCATGAAGATGATGTACATCATTCCTTATCTGAGCATGTATCCGAAAGTGCAGTGGATAACTTGGCCATAACCCATACCGAAGCGAGAGGTACTTCAGAAGAACATGAAAAAGGAGTTATCCATGAAGGCCACGATGGAGATGGTCAGCATCATTTCACTGAGAATGCAGAAGACATTTTGGGGCATACTTCTGCAGTAACTGAACACATTGAACTTGGAGGTATTTCGGAAGATCACAAATATGAAATTAGTCACTCAGAAGATGTACACCACCCCCAAACCGAACATATACCAGAACAGGTGGGAGATACCTCTGGTAAGAAAGAATCTGAAGAATTGTTAGAAAAAGACTTAGAGTCAAGTCATACAGAAGAAGGAGGTATGTCAGAAAAACATGTTGAAGAAATTGGACATACAATTGATATAAATCCTATTACTGAGCATACATCAAATGGTCACACAGAACTAGGAGGGATTTCAGAACACCACGAAATAGAAATGACTCATGAAGGTGATGTTCACCATTCCTTAGCTGAGCATGTATCAGAAAAAGTAGTAGATAACTTGGTCATAAGCCATACTGAAGCTAGAGGAACTCCAGAGGAACACGAAAAAGAACTTACCCATGAAGCGCACGAAGGAGATAGCTTAGAGGAAGATAAATTAGAAGAAGTTACTGATAATTCTGATATAAGTGGACACACAGAACTTGGGAGTGTGGCAGGAAAACATGAAACCGAAATAACTCATGAAGAAGATATGCACCAAGCCCTAACTGAACATATATCAGAAAAAGTTGGGGACACTTCTACTAAAAAAGAATTTGAGGAATCAATAGAAAAAGATTTAGAGACAAATCCCAAAGAAGAAGAAAGCGTGTCAGGAAAAGAAAAAGAAGAAACTGGACATCCAATTGATATAAATCCTACAACGGAGCATACAACAAGTAGTCATATAGGGGTAGGAGGGATTTTGGAACAACACGGAAATGAAATGACTCATGAATCAATGGATAACTTGGTCACAAGCCCTACTGAAACTAGAGGTACTTTAGAAGAACACGAAAAAGAAATTACCCTTCAAAGCCCAGAAGGAGATGGTCACCATCATTTCACTGAGAATGCAAAAGATATTTTGGGACAAAAGCCCAGTTTAGAGTCAGCAACAACTGGACACACTGAACTTGGCGGTATTTCGGAAGAACTCAAACATGAAATTACTCATTTAGAAGATGTGTCAGGACAACATGAAGAAGAACTTAATCCTATAACTGAACATATATCCAGTCGTCACACAGAGTTAGAAAAGATTTCAGAACTCCAAGAAGAAGAAATGACTCATGCAGATGATAGATACCATTCCTTAGCTGAGCATGAATCAGAAAAAGCAGTGGATAACTTAGCCACAAGCCATACGGAAGCTAGAATTTCAGAAGAACACGAAAAGGAAATTACCCATGAAGGCCATGAAGAGGATAGTCACCATCATTTCACTGAACATGTACTTGAGAATGCAGGAGATGAGTTGGGTCACAAACCCAGCTTAGAGGAAAATAAATCAGAAAAGGTGATAGATAGTTCTGAAGTAACTGCACACACTGAACGTGAAGGTGAACACAAAAACGAAATTACTCATGCAGAAGATGTATACCATTCCCTATCTGAACATATATCAGAAAAAGACTTAGAACCAAGTCATACAGAAGAAGAAAGTATCTCACAACACCATGAAGAAGAAATTGGACATTCAGTCGATATAAATTCTATAACTGAGCATATTTCAAGTAGTCACCCAGAACTAGAGGGAATTTCAGAACACAACGAAAATGATATCACTGGTAAAGGTGATGTACATCATTCTTTAGCTGAGCAAATATCAGAAAAAGTGACAAATAACTTCGACACAAGCCATACTGAAGCTAGTGGAAGTTCAGAGGAACACGAAAAGGAAGTTAGCGGCGACGCACAACATCAACTAACTGATCATATATCTGACTCTGAACCCAGCTTAGAGGAACACAAATCAGAAAAGACTATAGAAAGCTCAGAAGAAAGTGGTCACACTCAACTTGGAGTTGATGTAAATGATCTACCTGAGCATATACCTGAAAAAGTAAATGAAGGGGACATACAGAAGGTAGAAGATATTTCTGAAAGTCAAAGAATAGAATTTTCACATCTAGGTGATGTGCTTGAAGGTGAAGAGACTTCAGGACACCAAAAAGGAGAAATTACACCTAGTGATATACACCACTCTCTTTCTGCGTATACACCAGAAAGTCAGGAAGAAACCATGACTCATAAAGAATCAGAGCAATCTATAGATAAAGACTTAGAAATAACTATTCATGACGAAACAGTTGGTATATCAGAACAAGAAATTACCCAAGAAGGCGAAACACATCATCCAGAAACTGACTTAAGCCATGAGATGGAAATAAGCCATACTGAAACTAGGGCAACTTCAAAAACTCATGAAGAAGATGGTGTACATCATCTCACTGAGCATTTATTTGAGAAAACAGCAGACGAATTCACTGTCAAACCCAGCCTAGAAGAAACAGAATCGAAAGAGACGTTAGATAGTTCTGATCTGCACTATCCTCCAACTGATCACATACTAGATAAAAGCAGTGAAAGTATTGCTCATAAAGAACACGAAGATGCTGTGGAAGAATTAAAAGAACAGCAGGATACAACTGATAATCAGTTAGAAGAACATACATCGGCAAATGTATATAATCCTCTAACGGACAAAATAGGTGATATCTTGACACATAAAGACACTGAAGAATCGATAAAAGAAGAATTTTCAGGGAAACACGTGGAAGAGCTAACAGATAAAGGTGATGTAAATAGTCACACAGATCATACAGATGCCATAGCGAATGAAATTACGCACGAAGCTGACTTAAATAATCTTTTAACTGAGCATATACCACAGAAAACGGGGGAAGAGTTGATTTCTGAAGAATCGATAGAAAGCGCATTGGAAACAACCACGCACGCAATGGAAGAAACAATTTTAGAAAATCATGAACAAGAACTTACACACGGAGGTGATGTACACCATGTTCAAACTGAGCATATATCAGAGAATCCATCAGATGTTTTAGACATAACCGACACTGAAAATGCAGAAAGTTTAAAAAACCATGAAATAGAAATTACACATGAAGGTGGTATAAATGGTCATACAGGTTCAGAAAATCAAGCATACGCGATTCATAATGTATTAGAAACAACCGGTCACATAGAAGCAAGTGCTTTTCCAGAACATCACGAAAATGAAATTACGCAAGCAGATGATATACAACATTCTGTTACTGAACATATATTAGAGCATACTTTGGAATCAAATGCTGATCATATTCCAGAAGAAGAATTTAAATCATCTCTAATACCAACAGAAGATTTAGACGAACAAACTGAACGTAACTTAGATTATACGTTAAAAGAAGTTGATGTAGGTGTAACAAGAAGAAGTGAAACTACGGTTCATTCCATGGAGGATCACAGTAATCATATCAAATCGACTCACAAATTCAGTGAACCTAACATCGGCACAATTTTTCCTAACGATATATACAATGTAATAGAAGGAGAAGCTGATCTAACAGAAAAACATGAGGGCTTAGAATTTACAACGAATGAAGAAGATTCTGAACATTTCGAAACTTCTATAATACCTGACATGATAGAAGAGCATACATTAAAGGAGGTGGAACTTGCGCATGGCGAAGAAGAGAAAACGGCCAGATCAATTTATGAAAAAATAGAAGAAGTTCAAACTAATCCAATTGAAGGACAGACATTGGGGAAAGGGATTAACATAATGGAAAGTGGAAAAAAGGCAGGTTACATGTCATACTCTGATATAACAGAAAGTTCGAAAACAGGAATTAATGTGTTACCAATAGAAGCTGACGAACATGCTTCAACACCATTGATAACAGAGAACATTCATATATCTCATCCGTCAGAAGAACATGACTTTAAGAGCGAAATTACTGAATTATCTGCAGAAAATGCTGAACACATTACCAAATCGTCAGAACCACAAAAAATACAAGAACATTCTAGCGAAGTTGAAACAGTAAGCCATCTTTCGGAAGGACATATCGACAAGGGAGAAGAACATGAACATATCAGCAAAGCAGAAAAAGCTCATGCCTCTCAAGAGTATGGGATCACAGAAGAAGATGAACATGGAGATGCTCATGAAAAAGCACACGAAATTGCAGAAGCGACTGAATCAGTAACAGCTGAGCATACTGAAGATAGTCTATCAAAAATACATGACCACTCCGGTGAGCCAGAACACGGAATAACACATCCTACTGAAGAACATGAGTTCAAAGTAAAAGGCGAACATGATAAAATACATACCGTAGAACACATCGAAAGTGATTTAACAAGTGTACATGAACATGTCAGTGAAGCAGAAGGTGATGTAACTGATCCCTCTGAAGAGCATACCTTCAAAGAAAGCGAAACTCACGAAAAAGCACACGAAGTTACAGAAGTGACTGGACTGCCAACAGAAGTTGTCGAACACACTGAAAGTCCAACTCATCCATCAGAAGAACACGGTTTCAAAGCAGAAGAAGAACATGCTGAGTTAACAACTGAATTTGATCATACTGAAACTGACTTAACAGATGAATACAAACATACCAGTGAAGCAGAGGGAAGTGTAACTCATCCTACTGAAGAACATAGCTTGAAATCAGAAGGTGAACATGGCGATGCTCACGAAAAAACACACGAACCTCTCGAAGCGACAGAATTAGCAACAAAAATTGCTGAACATACTGAAAGTGGCCTAGCAAAACCACACGAACACTTCAGCGAAACAATAGAGGGTGTAACACATCCTCCTGAAGATCATGGCGGGAGAGTAGAAGGTGAATACAGTGGTACTCATAAAAAATTGCTTGAAGCTGCCGAAAAGAATGAATTACCAAGCGAAATTACCGAGCATACATCAAAACGATCAGAAACAGAGAATGCAGATGAAGTTAAAGCGGATATACATGCACATTCTACTGAAGCAGTGGACGGTTTAATTAATCCTTCTCAAAACTATGGGATCAAAGGCGAAAGTGAACATGGCGCAAGCCATGAAGAACCACACGAAACTGCAGGAAAGACTGAACTTGCGCCAAAAGTTGATGAACACAATGAAGGTGGTGTAGGAATAGCACTTCAACATTCCAATGCAGTTGAAGAGCATGCAACACATCCCACTGAAGAACATGGATTCAAGGGAGAAGGAGAACATGGCGAAAGTGTTGATAAAGAACACGAAGCTGTAGAGGCAACTGAACAACCAACAGAAGTTGCTGAACATGTTGAAGGTGGTTTGACAAAAGTATCTGAACATTCCAATGCTGCTGAGGAGCATGCAACTCATAGCTCCGAAGAGCATGGATACAAGGAAGAAGGTGAACATGGCGAAAGTCATGAGAAAGCATACGAAATAACAGAAGCAACTGAACAACCAATAAAAGTTATTGAACATGTTGAAGGTGGTTTGACAAAAGTATCTGAACATTCCACTGCAGCTGAGGAGCATGTAATTCATCCCTCTGAAGGGCATGGATTCAAGGGAGAAGGCGAACAAAGCAAAAGTCATGAGAAACCACACGAACTTGCAGAAGTTACCGAACAACAAACAAAAGATAATTTAGGAACAGCACTTAAACATTCGAGTGCAGTAGAAGAACAGGCAACTCATCCCTCCGAAGCGCATGGTTACAAGGGAGAAGGTGAACATGGGGTCAGTCATGCGAAAGCACACGAAGTTGATGAAGCAACTGAACAACAAACAGAAGCTGCTGAACATATTGAAGGAGGTTTGACAATTGTATCTAAACATTCAAATGCACCTGAGGAACATACAACTCATCCCTCTAAAGGACCTGGATTCACGGGAGAAGGCGAACATGGCGGTAGTCATGGGAAAGGACAAGAAGCTGAAGAAGTGACCGAACAACCAACAGAAGTTGCTGAATATGGTGAACATATTGAAGGTGGTTTAGCACAAATATCTGAACATTCCAACGCTGCTGAGGAGCATGTAACTCATCCCTCTGAAGAGCACAGACTCAAAGGCGAAAGTGAACATAGTGCAAGTCATGCAAAAACACACGAAGCTGCAAGAACAACAGAAGTTTCCGAACATGCTAAACATATTGGAGGTGATTTGGCAGAAACATCTGAACATACCAATCCAGCTAAAGAGCATGCAACTCATCCCACTGAAGGACATGGATTCACGGGAGAAGGTGAACATGGCGTAAGTCATAACAAGGAACACGAAGCTGCAGAAACAACAGAAAAACCAACAGAAGTTGCTGAACATCTTGAAGGTGGTTTGGAAAAGGCATCTGAACATTCCAATACAGCTGAAGAGGACGTAACTCATCCCTCCGAAGAGCATGGATACAAGGAAGAAGGCCACGAAGCTACAGAAGTAACTGAACACCCACCAGAAGCTACTGAACACATTGAAGGTGGTTTGGGAATAGTATCTGAACATTCCAGTGCAGCTGAACAGCGTGCAACTCATCCCTCTGAAGAGCATGGATACAAGAAAAAAGGTGAAAATGGCGCAAGTCATGAAAAAACACACGAAGCTGCAGAAGCTATTGAAGAACCAACAGAAGTTGCAGAAAATATTGAAGGTGGTATAGGAACAACTCTGGAACATTCTAGTGCAGCAGAAGAACATGCAACTCATCCCTCTCAAGAACATGGGTTTACGGGAGAAGATGGCGCAAGTCATCAGAAAGAAGACGAAGCAGCAGAAGCACCTGAACAATCAATAGAAGTTACTGATCATCTTGCAGGTGGATTGGAAACTGCATCTGAACAATCCAATAAGGCTGAAGAGCACATAACGAAACCCTCCGAAGAGCATGGTTTCAAGGAACAAGATGAACATGGCGTAAGTCATGAGAAAGCAAACGAAGCTGAAGAAATGACTAAACAACCAACAAAAGTTGCAGAACATATTGAGGGTGCTTTGGGAATTGTACCTGAACATACAAATGCAGCTGAAGTGCGTGCAACTCTTCCCACCGAAGAGCATGGATACAAAGAAGAAGGTGAACATGGCGCAAGCCATGAGAAAGCACACGAAGCTACCGAAGCAACTGAACAACCAATAGAAGTTACAAAACATATTGAAGGTCATTTAGCAACAGCACTTGAGCATTCCAGTGCAGCAGAAGACGGTGCAACTCATCCCTCTCAAGATTATGGGATCACGGGAGAAGGTGAACATAACGCAAGTCAGGAGAAAGAACACGAAGCAGCAGAGGCGACTGAACAACCAACACAAGTTGCTGAACATTTTGAAGGCGGTTTGGAAAAGGCATCTGAACATTCCAGTCAGGCTGAAGAGCACATAACTCATTCCTCCGAAGAGCATGGTCTCAAGGAACAAGATGAACATGGCGCAAGTCATGAGAAAGCAAACGAAGCTGAAGAAATGACTAAACAGCCAACAAAAGTTGCAGAACATATTGAAGGTGCTTTGGGAATTGTACCTGAATATACAAATGCAGCTGAAGTGCCTGCAACTATTCCCACCGAAGAGCATGGATACAAAGAAGTAGGTGAACATGACGTAAGCCATGAGAAAGCACATGAAGCTACCGAAGCAACTGAACAACCAATAGAAGTTACAGAACATATTGAAGGTCATCATTTAGCAACAGCACTTGAGCATTCCAGTGCAGCAGAGGAAGCTGCAACTCATCCCTCTCAAGAACATGGGTTCACGGAAGAAGGTGAACATCGCGCAAGTGAGGAAAAAGAACACGAAGCAGTAGAAGTGATTGAACAACCAAAAGAAGCTGCAAAACATATTGAAGGTGATTTAGCTACAGCAATTGAGCACACCAGTGCAGCAGAAGAAGGTGCAACTCATCCCTCTCAAGAACATGGGTTCACGGGAAAAGGTGAACATGGCGCAAGTCAGGAGAAAGAACACGAAGCAGTAGAAGCGACTGAACAACTAACAGAAGTTGTTGAACATCTTGAAGGTGGTTTGGGAAAGGTATCTGAACATTCCAATACAGCTGAAGAGCACGTAACTCACCCCTCCGAAGAACATGGCTTCAAGGAACAAGATGAACATGGCGCAAGTCATGAGAAAGCAAACGAAGCTGAAAAAATTAATGAACAACCAACAAATGATGCTGAAGATATTGAAGGTGCTTTGGGAATTGTACCAGAACATTCCAATGCAGCTGAAGTGCGTGCAACTCTTCGCTCTGAAGAGCATGGATACAAAGAAGAAGGTGAATATGGTACGGGTCATGAAAAAGCAGCTACAGAAGCAACTGAACAACCGAAAGAAGCTGCAGAACATATTGAAGGTGATTTAGCTACAGCAAGTGAGCACACCAATGCAGCAGAAGAAGGTGCAACCCATCCCGCTCAAGAACATGGGTTCACGGGAGAAAGTGAACATAGCTCAAGTCAGGAGAAAGAACACGAAGCAGCAGAGGCGACTGAACAACCAACAGAAGTTGCTGAACATCTTGAAGGCGGTTTGGAAAAGGCATCTGAACATGCCAATAAGGCTGAAGAGCACATAACTAAATCCTCCGAAGAGCATGGTTTCAAGGAACAAGATGAACATGGCGCAAGTCATGAGAAAACAAGCGAAGCTGAAGAAATGACTAAACAACCATCAAAAGTTGAAGAACATATTGAAGGTGCTTTGGGAATTGTACCTGAACATACAAATGCAGCTGAAGTGCGTGCAACTCTTCCCACTGAAGAGCATTCATACAAAGAAGAAGGTGAACATGGCGCAAGCCATGAGGAAGCACAAGAAGTTACTGAAGCAACTGAACAACCAATAGAAGTGGCAGAACATATTGAAGGTCATTTAGCAACAACACTTGACCATTCCAGTGCAGCAGAAGAAGGTGCAACTCATTCTTCTCAAGAACATGGGTTCACGGGAGAAGGTGAACATAGGGCAAGTCAGGAGAAAGAACACGAAGCAGCAGAAGTGACTGAACAACCAACAGAAGTTGCTGAACATCTTGAAGGCGGTTTGGAGAAGGCATCTGAACATTCCAATAAGGCTGAAGAGCACATAACTAAACCCTCCGAAGAGCATGCTTTCATGGAACAACATGAACATGGGGCAAGTCATGAGAAAGACAAAGAAGCTGAAGAAATGACTAAACAACCAACAAAAGTTGCAGAACATACTGAAGGTGCTTTGGGAATTGTACCTGAACATACTGAAGGTGCTTTGGGAATTGTACCTGAACATACAAATGCAGCTGAGGTGCGTGCAACTCTTCCCACCGAAGAGCATGTATACAAAGAAGAAACAACGAAGAAACAAGATGAACATGGCGCAAGACATGAGGAAGCACATGAAACTACCGAAGCAACTGACCAACCAATAGGAGTTGCAGAACATATTGAAGGTCATTTACCAACAGCACTTGAGCATTCCAGTGCAGCAGAAGAAGGTGCAACTCATCCCTCTCAAGAACATGGGTTCACTGGAGAAAGTGAACATAGCGCAAGTCAGGAGAAAGAACACGAAGCAGCAAAGGCTAGTGAACAACCACCAGAAGTTGCTGAACATATTGAAGGCCGTTTGGAGAAGGCATCTGAACATTCCAATAAGGCTGAAGAGCACATAACTAAACCGTCCGAAGAGCATGCTTTCAAGGAACAAGATGAACATGGGGCAAGTCATGAGAAAGCAGATGAAGCTGAAGAAATGACTAAACAACCAACAAAAGTTGCAGAACATATTGAAGGTGCTTTGGGAATTGTACCTGAACATACAAATGTGGCTGAAGTGCCTACAACTCTTCCCACTGAAGAGCATGGATCCAAAGAAGAAGGTGAACATGGCGCAAGCCATGAGGAAGCATATGAAGCTACCGAAGCAACTGAACAACCAATAGAAGTTGCAGAACATATTGAAGGTCATTTAGCAACAACACTTGAGCATTTCAGTGCAGCAGAAGAAGATGCAACTCATCCCTCTCAAGAACATGGGTTCACGGAAGAAGGTAAACATAGCGCAAGTCAGGAGAAAGAACACGAAGCAGCAGAGACGACTCAACAACCAACAGAAGTTGCTGAACATCTTGAAGGTGGTTTGGAAAAGGCATCTGAACATTCCAATACAGCTGAAGAGCACGTAACTCATCCCTCCGAAGAGCATGGTTTCAAGGAACAAGATGAATATGTCGCAAGTCATGAAAAAGCAAACGAAGTTGAAGAAATGACTAAACAACCAACAAAAGTTGCAGAACATATTGAAGGTGCTTTGGGAATTGTACCTGAACATACAAATGCAGCTGAGGAGCGTGCAACTCTTCCCACCGAAGAGCATGGTTACAACGAAGAAGGTGAACGTGGCGCGAGCCATGAGAAAGCACTTGAAGCTACCGAAGAAACTGAACAACCAATAGAACATATTGAACATATTACAGAACATATTGAAGGTAATTTAGCAACAGCACTGGAGCATTCCAGTGCAGCAGAAGAAGGTGTAACTCATCCCTCTCAAGAATATGAGTTCACGGGAGAAGGTGAATATAGCGCTAGTCAACACGAAGCAGTAGAAGCAACTGAACAACCAACAGAAGTTGCTGAACACGTAGAAGGTGGTTTGGAAACGGCATCTGAACATTCTGGAAAAGCACACGAATATACAGAAGCAACCGAAGAACTAACAGAAGTTGCTGAACACACTGAAGGAAGTTTAGGAAAAATACCTGTACATTCCAGTGTAGCAGAAGAACGTGCAACTCATCCCAGTAACGAGCATGCATTGAAAGGCGAAGGTGAACAGGGGCCTAGTCATGATAAAGTACATAAAGCTGGGGAAGCGACTGAGCTAGTGACAGAAGTCGCTGAACACACTTTGAGTGAATTTGAAAAGGTTCACGGAGCTGTAGAAAACACTGAAGGTGTTCTAGGGAAGGATCATGAACATTCGAGTGAAGCAGGAGAAGGTACAGCTCATACCAGTGAAGAACATCAATTAAAGGGGGAGGTTGAACATGGAGCCACTCACGAAAATTTTCACGGAGCTGCAGAAAAGNAGCAGGAGAAGGTACAGCTCATACCAGTGAAGAACATCAATTCAAGGGGGAGGTTGAACATGGAGCCACTCACGAAAATTTTCACGGAGCTGCAGAAAAGCCTGAGCTGCATTCCGAAGGTGGAGAACATACTGAAGGCGGTTTACGAAAGGACCATGAACATTCGAGTGATGCAGGAGAAGGTGTTACATATACCAGTGTAGAACATGAATTGAAGGGAGAGGTTGAACATGGTGCCACTCACGAAAAGCTTCACGGAGCTATAGAAAAGACTGAACTGCCATCAGAAAATGCAGAACATACTGCAGGTGGTTTAGAGGAGGTTCATGAACATTCGAGTGAAGCAGGAGAAGGTGTTACCTATACCAGTCAAGAACATGAATTGAAAGGAGAGGTTGAACATGGTGTCACTCACGCAAAGATTCACGGAGCTGTAGAAAAAACTCATCTGCCATCAGAAAGTGGAGAACATGCTGCAGGTGGTTTAGAGGAGATTCATGAACATTCGAGTGAAACAGGAGAAGGCGTTGCCCATACCAGTGAAGAACATGAATTGAAGGAAGAGAGTGAACATGATGCCACTCACGAAAAGATTGACGGAGCTGTCGAGAATACTGAATTGCCGTCAGAACATACAGAACATACTGAAGGTTTCTTAGGAAAGGATTATGAACGTACGAGTGAAGCAGGAGAAGGTGTTACCCATACCAGTGAAGAACATGAATTCAAGGGAGACGGTGAACATGGTGCCACTCACGAAAAGATTCACGGAGCTGTCGAAAATACTGAATTGCCAGCAGAAAGTGCAGACCGTACTGAAGGTGGTTTAGGAAAGGATCATGAACGTACGAGTGAAGCAGGCGAAGGTGTTGCCCATACCAGTGAAGAACATGATTTCAAGGGATACGGTGAACATGGCGCCACTCACGAAAAGCTTCACGGAGTTGTCGAAAATACTGAATTGCCAGCGGAGAACGCAGAACACATTGAAGGTGGTATAGGAAAGGATCATGAACATCCGAGTGAAGCAGGAGAAGGTGTTGCCCATACAAGTGAAGAACATGAATTCAAGGGAGAGGGTGAAGAACATGGTGACACAAACGAAAAGATTCACGGAGCTGTCGAAAATACTGAATTGCCATCAGAATATGCAGAACATACTGAAGGTGGCTTAGGAAAGAATCATGAACGTTCGAGTGAAGCAGGAGAAGGTGTTGTCCATACCAGTGAAGAACATGAATTCAAAGGGGAGGGTGAACATGGTGCCACTCACGAAAAGAATCACGGAGCTGTCGAAAATACTGAACTGCCATCAGAACATACTGAAGGTGGCTTAGGAAAGGATCATGAACGTACGAGTGAGGGAGGAGAAAGTGTTGCCCATACCAGTGAAGAACATGAATTCAAGGGAGAGGGTGAACATGGTGCCACTCACGAAAAGCTGCACGGAGGTATCGAAAATGCTGAATTGCCGTCAGAACATGCAGAACATACCGAAGGTGGCTTAGGAAAGGATCATGGAAGTACGAGTGAGGCAGGAGAAGGTATTGCCCATACCAGTGAAGAACATGAATTCAAGGGGGAGGGTGAACATGGTGCCACTCACGAAAAGCTTCACGGAGGTGTCGAAAATGCTGAATTGCCGTCAGAACGTGCAGAACATACCGAAGGTGGCTTAGGAAAGGATCATGAAAGTACGGGTGAGGCAGGAGAAGGTATCGCCCATACCAGTGAAGAACATGAATTCAAGGGAGAGGGTGAACATGGTGCCACTCACGAAAAGATTCACGGAGCTGTCGAAAATACTGAATTGCCATCAGAATATGCAGAACATACTGAAGGTGGTTTAGGAGAGGATCATGAACGTACGAGTAAGGTAGGAGACGGTGTTGCCCATACCAGTGAAGAACATGAATTCAAGGGAGAGGGTGAACATGGTGCCACTCACGAAGAGCTTCACGGAGGTGCCGAAAATACTGAATTGCCATCAGAATATGCAGAACATACTGAAGGTGGTTTAGGAAAGGATCATGAAAGTACGAGTGAGGCAGGAGAAGGTGTTGCCCATACCAGTGAAGCACATGAATTCAAGGGAGATGGTGAACATGGTGCCACTCACGAAGAGATTCACGGAGCTGTCGAAAATACTGAATTGCCATCAGATTATGCGGAACATACTGAAGGTGGCTTAGGAAAAGATCATGAACGTTCGAGTGAAGCAGGAGAAGGTGTTGCCCATACTAGTGAAGAACATGAATTCAAGGGAGAAGGTGAACATGGTGCCACTCACGAAAAGATTCACGGAGCTGTCGAAAATACTGAATTGCCATCAGAATATGCAGAACATACTGAAGGTGGTTTAGGAGAGGATCATGAACGTACGAGTGAGGCAGAAGCAGGTATTGCCCATACTAGTGAAGAACATGAATTCAAGGGAGAGGGTGAACATGGTGCCACTCACGAAAAGCTTCAAGGAGGTGTCGAAAATACTGAATTGCCATTAGAATATGCAGAACATACTGAAGGTGGTTTAGGAGAGGATTACGAACGTACGAGTGAGGTAGGAGAAGGTGTTGCCCATACCAGTGAAGAACATGAATTCAAGGGAGAGGGTGAACATGGTGCCACTCACGAAATTCTTCACGAAGTTGTAGAAAAGACTGAATTGCCATTCGAAGGTGCAGAACACACTGAAGGTGGTTTAGGAGAGGGTCATGAACATTCGAGTGAGCTAGGAGGTGGTTCTGTCCATACCAGTGTCGGTCATGAATTTACGGGGGAGAATGAACATGGTAGCACTCACAAAACGCTTAACAAAGCTGCAGGAAAGACTGAAATGCCATCAGTTGGCACAGAACATACCGAAGGTGGTTTGGGAGAGGGTCATGAACATTCGAGTGAAGCAGGAGAAGATGTTGTGCATTCCAGTGAGAAACATGAATTCATGGAAGGAGGTGAACATAGTAGTACTCATGAAAAACTTCATGACGCTTCAGAAAAGATTCAAATACCATTAGAGATCATTGGTCACACTGAAGGTGATGTAACAAGAGTTCATGAACATTCTACTGAAAGAAGAGAAGGTGTGGCCCATACAACTGAAGAACATGGAATCATGGGCGAAGGTGAACATAGTAGCACTTTTGAAAAACTTCACGAAGCTATAGAAAAGACTGAATTGCCATCAGTCGGAGCAGAACATACTGAAGGTGGTTTGGGAGACATTCATGAAAATATGAGTGAAGGTGGAGAGGGTGTTGCCCACATAACAGGAGAACATGGATTGAACAAGGAAGGTGAACATGGTAGCACCCATGGAACTAATTTTGAAGCTTCAGATAAGGTTGGAATACCATTAGAGATTTTTGGGCATACTGAAGATGAGTTCGCAAGAATTCATAAACAGTCCAGTGAAGGGAGAGAAGGTGATGTTCATACCACAGTTAGTGAACATGGTAGTACTGAAGGAATTGAAAGCATTTATGGAACTTTCGAGAATACAGAAGGCTATTCAGCAATAACACATGAACATTCCACCGAAATATCAAAGATGCACGAACATTCTAGTGAAACAGAAGAACATGGGGAGCATGGCAGCACTCATGAGAAAGCTCACAAAGGTACAGAAACGAATGAATTACCAATGGGAGGTGCTGAACATTCTTCACATCCAGCTGAAACAGAGACTTCACAAGCGGATTTAGCAAAGCTCCATGAACAAGGCAATGGAACTAAAGAAGGTATAACCGATCATTCAGAAGAAACAACGATTGAAGCCGAAGCTAGCGTCAATATTTCTACATCCAACCTATCATCAGTGCATTTACCAGGACAAACATTGCAAACAGAAAGTCCTGGAAAATATACTTACACGGAAAGAAATGAAAACATATCTTTGACTCATCCTTTAGAAGATAGCGACATTTACCCATCCGTAGCTAGCGAACCTGTAAATGTTTCATCAACACCCGTGGTTTCAGCTGGTTCAACAGTTACCAATAAACCAGAAGAATTTCGTGTTGTAAATATTAAAATTATTGGAACGCATAATCCCTATTATATTGATGTTGGACGTACTCCAATGATGCACTTAAAGGAGGATACGAGCCAGATGAGTGAAAAAAATGAAAATACAGCTCATGAAGATCAAAACGAAGAAAGTCAAACATTAATTAGTACGACTATACATGTTTCTAGTGCTAATCAAAGCACCGAATCAACGAATGATGATCTTGCGGTGTCGTCATCAAGTAGTACACTCGAAGGCATTAGTGAAGAAGGGGAAATATCGGAATCTGCGGCTACTGATGTACATTCTTCTACAAAACGAAATGAAGATGTTATCCAATCTGAAGATAATGAAGAGGAAGATGAAGACGTCACGCCCCAAAATTTACAAACTATGGAGGACGAAGAAAGAAAAGAAGAGGCTGAAAACGTGGAAGACACCGAAGATACTGATGAAGAAGTGGAAGATGTTGGTGATGCTGGTAGACTTCTAGGTGAGGAGAAAGAAATGTGGTTATCCACTGAAAATACGAAAAGTACTGAAGGAGAGCAATATAGCACTGATAATTTAGAAGATGAAAATTCTGAAGTTTTAGAACATATCACACGTACTCATCGTCCTTATCGCACGCTACCTCATGATGTAATCCAGCACAGTACAGTTTATACCAATGAAGACCAAGAAGTAAATGTATTAAAACAAATAACAGAAGGTGATGAAGTCGAGACACAAGAAGTGGTGGAATGTGAGGTGGAAACTAGTGAAACTCCTACTCCTATGACGTGCAAAACCTCAACGACAACGACGACTTCCACTGAAAATCCAGCTTTAAAACAGAAAGAGATTTCAGAAACTTATCAGTTGTTTGATGAAATTCTTCAAAATGATCATCCTTGTCAAGATCATGAAGTTTCTCAAAATCATAAAATATCTGAATATGATATTACAAATGAAAAATCATCAACCATCCAAAGTGGTTTCTTATCAACGTCGTTACGAAGAAGTAGAAACTTGTTGTCCATTTCAGAGGAAGAGGAACCAAATTATTGGACAGATGAAGAGCATAACTTCTCAAATAGAGTCACACATGCATCAACAACATATTGTGATTCACCTTTACCTGATTGCAATGTTTTATCAAACAAAGGGTACCAGACTCCTTACGAAAAAGCAGAACAACATTTCACGACAATAATCGAAGATGTAATGGAGGAAATTGCTAAATTGCCGTTTGAAAAAACATCCGATTTTTGCCATAACGATACGTCTGCAGGGCAGTGTGATGACACCGATGAGTTTGACGCAGCGATAGAAAGCACTGATGATACACCAGTAAATATAACGGAAGATGACACTGTTTATAACAAACAACAAATTGAAAAAGAAGATATAGAAAAGAAAACTAAGAAAAAAGGAAAAGAGCATAAAAATAACTTAGAGTTGGTTGTGATACCAACAAGCACCGAATTTAATGATTTATCTGGAAGTTATCTGATGGAAGCTACAGCAAAAGACACATTTGAGAATGAACCTTCCGTTGAAAGAGAAGAAATAGATGATTTAGAAGCTAATAAAATGACGTTTGCAGAAGATGTTTTTGAAAAACGAACTACTCAATCAATACGAGATTTTTCAGAAATCGAAAATGATGATAATAGTATTTCTAGGGATAAATGGAACGAAAAAATAATAAAAAAATCGAAAAATATTTGTAATGATATAGCAACAACATGTGCCTATCAAGTAAAATATATGTATACGGAAGAAGAAAAGAAATCAGGGCGAATACCAATCGGATATATAACATCTACGCGAAAATCCCCTTCATCAAGCACTCATCAAAATCATATTATTCAAAAAATTAAAAGTCTAGCCGATAAGTTTATTCACGAACAAAGTCCTACCACGAAAAGAGACTCTGTAACGTTTAAAGTTAAATTAGATTTACCAGATAATTATAAAGATTTTCAAGAATTACCACCTCAAAAGTTAACTAAATCAAAACTCAAAAATGAAGAAATTAAGCAAGACGAAGAAGTCGAATGTGATTCACCAGAAATAAAACCGACTTATCAAAATATCGAAGAAAATTGTAACGATAATAATGAAAAGATACCATCAAAATCAAACAAAGTAGTTAGCGAAACAATTCGATCTCGAGTCCAAGAACTCATAAAGCAAATGACTGAATTTATTGATGATACTAATGATTTATCAACAGAGGACTATACGGATGAAGAATACGAGATTACTATCACCACTGAACCGCCCACAATAAGTTGTTCTGATGATGTAAATTGGTTCACCGATATCACTGAGGGTAATACGCAATGTGAGGAAGATATATCATCAACTCCGGAGAAACTTCCATTAACACAACAAGACATAAAGGGCATAGCTATGACTTTAGCGGATCTTTTATCGCCACAACTTGCATCAAAATATAAAGATGATTCTGATTCATCATGTATTAATACCCAAGATGATTTTGATGGAGTAAAAAATGAAACATCAACTATTGATTTTATGGTTCGTGTTACATTACCTCCAAATGCAACGGTAAAAAATCCGGAAAATTCATCTTCATCACATAAGAAGTTAAAACACAATCATGACCATTTAAAGTTATCTCAAATTGGTACCACAACGCGATCGATAGAATCACAAAATGAGGATGATGATAACTTAGTGTCTTTATCAGAAGATAAAAGTATTTCCCCACCAAATTTAGTGACTAATTACGAAGACTTTGGTGAATCAACCACAACTTCACCTACCACTTGTTCAACATTAACCGTATTATTACCAAGCGATGTTGAAATTGAACCAGAACCGCAAATTGAGGAAGATTTAATTACACCAACAGAAAAGTACACCGCAATAAAATCAGTTCTAAATAATTCGAAAGATATGCTATATTCAAATACGAATTATCCATTGCATTCAAATCGTTTGGAGAATTATACTAGCATAAAATCGATTATAAGAGCATCAATTGAAGATGAAGATATGGCAAGTACTAATAGTATTGATTTATTAAAAGAAACCCATCCTAGTTTACTTGAAGATAGGGATGAGGAAAAATATAACGTAGACCGTTCAACAATTTCAAGCGGTCCAAGAACTCGATTAACAGAAAAAGGACTTTTACAAAAAATTTACAAAGAAATCGTTGAAGAATTTCCAGATGTAACTACCGAATTATCAACTACAACATCCAACGATTATCGTAAACACAAAAGCACTAAAAAGACCACAATGTCTACCTCAAAAGACTTGGAACATTTTAGGAGCAGTTTTGCAGGTTTTGAAAGTGATGATTATGTTTTGAATAATGTCGTAAGCGATAATTCTAATATTGATGTTGGAAGAAAAGATTACACAATCGAGAATTACTCCAATACTCTTAATTATCCTGCTGTGTCTAGTCAAGAAATCAATGATGTTAAAGATGATGGGACGTACTATGATTTAAAACATTCGAACATAGAAGGATTTAACGTTACTGATATACCTGGAAATGATAGGAGAAATAATAATTCGTCTAGTTGGAAAATGCAAAAACATAATGGTCGTAAGAAAGGGAAAAAGCATAGAACTACTCTAAATCCGTTTATGGATTATGATTATTTGAAAATTCTTTCGAAACTGAATGAGAAAACTACAGAAGGGCAAACTGAAAAGTTTTCGAGATTGGGTAATATTATTGAAGCTTTAAGTTCGATACAACCGAAGCATAAATTAAGCACGAGTCGTAAAATTGATTTATCACATAGAAACGGTAAGTTTTTAATGATTACTTCTTAATATTATGCTTTATTACGGTTACATTTACTATTTATATTTTCGTTTTTGAAACATTTTCCTGCTACAATTTAATTACCTGTTTTCTAAAATTTAAAAACTAGGGTTAAATAAATAAGAATAAAATTGAGCAATAATAATATTTATTGAAAAATGTACAAATTATTATAAAGAAATATTAAAACTGTGTTAAGTGAGTTTTACGGAAATGAGCAACACTTGGTGTTAGTCGTCAGGTTCCTTATAATTTGTCCATGTCTCTATCTCAGTGTTCTTCTGAGACCCTACTTCTTCTTCCAGCAATACAGCTCTTTGTGGACTTTCGATCTATCACACGCCATACGCTTCCAGTTTCATAAACCATGCCCTAACCTCCTCCATTACATAATGCTTTGTTTCCTTCGTACATCATCGTTTGTTCTTCCTGTAAGTCTCTGTCCCTCTAAAAAATAAAAAATATATAGTAAGATATCTACCTACATCCTTACCAGAGGTCCAAGCCATGTTATTTTCTTTCTTTTATGTGTCGTCTTATGTCTGCACCATCCATACAATTCGTGGTTAGTCTCCACACTCCAGCACCATTTTGTATCGGTCCATATATTTTACGCAAGATTCGTCTTTCAAATACTTTTAATTTGTTTTCATCTTCTATCGACATAGTCCATGCTTAGCGTCCGTATTGTTCTTGATGTTATAACAGTACGATAGATCTTGAGTTCGGATTGTCTGCCTAGAATCAGTAAATGATCCTATTCCATCATCGAGTACCAATATTTGTGAGGAGCAGTCTAAGGAGAAATTTCTACATATTCAAGAAATAAAGAATCTAATGAGAATCTCAGGAAAGTTACACATAATGAAATGTTGAGATCTAATATCCGTGGTATCCTCTCAAATTTTCTTCTTCTTTACGAAAGCCAGATCTTATTCTACACGTTCTGTTCTGCCTATCTTTCCATCTTCTTGGAGGTGGTCCTTTCGGATGCTGGCCTGCTATCTGTGACAATCCTTGGTAGTATATTCTTTCGCATTCGTCCATTATACCACATTTCCCAGCTCTGAGTCCCCCAAAATTCCTTGCTTCTTCTTGATTGTAGAACTAACATTAGACCGAGAAATAGAAACATTCGGATTTAGCCGCACGTCTCTCAAGACGGCTAAACCCGAATGATTCTAGTTATAGGTCTTGTGTTAGTTCTAGTGATAGTGTAAAACTAGAACTAACCCTAACTAGACCGAGAACTAGAAACATTCAGATTTAGCCGCACGTTTCTCAAGACGGCCAAACACGAATGATTCTAGTTCTAGGTCTTGTATTATCTCTAGTGATAGTGCTAGTGTAAAACTAATACTAACACTAGACCGAGAACTAGAAACATTCGGATTTAGACTATTCTAGTTTAAACTATACATCATTGTGGAATTTTTTGTTATCTACATAAGATATCATTCCTTGTAATCATCACACAATGAACCTGGACTATCTCAACGCTAAATTAATTCATGGTTAGTCTCCACATTCTAGCACCATTTTGTATCGGTCCATATATCTTGCGCAAGATTCGTCTTTCAAAAAGTCTTAATTTGTGTTCATCTCCTACCGACATAGTCCATGCTTAGCGTCCGAATCTTGCTCTTGCTCTTATAACAGTGCGATAGATCTTGACTTTGGATTTTCTGCCTGAAATTAGTAAATGATCCTATTCCATCATCGAGAATCAATGTTTGTAAATAGCAGCATAAGGAGAAATTTCCACATATTTAAGAAATTAGGCATCCAATGACTTCTTAAAATACTCCTACTCAGGAAAGTTACACATAATGAAATCTTGATACCCAATATCCGTGGTATCCTCTCAAATTTTCTTCTTCTTTGCGACAGCCAAGTATTATTCTACCCATTCTGTTCTGCCTATCTTTCCAACTTTTTCGAGGTGGTCCTGTCGGCCTTTCGGGTTCTGGCCTACTATCTATGACAATCCTTGTTAGTATATTCTTACGCATTCATCCATTATACCACATCTTCCAGCTATAAGTCCTCCCAAAATCCTTGCTTCTTCTTGATTCTAGAACTAACACTAGACCGAGAACTATAAATATTCGGATTTAGCCGCACGTCTCTCAAGACGGCTAAACCCGAATGATTCTAGCTCTAGGTCTTGTGTTAGTTCTAGTGATAGTGCTAGTGTAAAACTAGAACTAACACTAGACCGAGAACTAGAAACATTCGGATTTAGCCGCACGTGTCCCAAAGCGGCTAAATCCGAACGATTCTAGTTCTAGTGATAATGCTACTGTCAAACTAGAACTAATACTAGACCGAGAACTAGAAACAATCGGATTTAGCCGCACGACTCTCAAAACGGCTAAACCCGAATGATTCTAGTTCTAGGTCTTGTGTTAGTTCTAGTGATAGTGTAAAACTAGAACTAACACTAAACCGAGAACTAGAAACATTAAGATTTAGCCGCACGTCTCTCAAGACGGCTAAACCCCAAGGTCTATAGAACATAAGGTTACCCAATGCCGATTCTCCTCCTCTGAGGGGCAAGGTGGGTCAGCGACGTAGCTGGTTCTATGAACAACACAACAAGATGCGAGGTTTAAATATTTTATATAGACTGTACCACAAGTATAGGCACGTATAGGCTATCTTTTACTCTGACTGTATCGAACCAGTGACGTCAATCTGCGGGGTAATAATCGATACTACACAGGCATAGGGAATTAGGTAACCTTATGTTCTATAAACCTTGGCTAAACCCGAATGATTCTAGTTCTAAGTCTTGTATTAGTAATAGTGATAGTGCTAGTGTAAAACTAATACTAACACTAGACCGAGACCTAGAAACATTCGGATTTAGCCGCACGTCTCTCAAGACGGCTAAACCCGAATGATTCTAGTTCTAGGTTTTGTGTTAGTTCTAGTGATAGTGCTAGTGTAAAACTAGAACTAACACTAGACCGAGAACTAGAAACATTCGGATTTAGCCGCACGACTCTCAAAACGGCTTAATAGGTCTTATGTTAGTTCTAGTGAAAGTGTAAAACTCATGTTAGTTCTAGTTTTAGTTCAATACAAATATGCAACATAGTGATATTTTATGGTAACTAACGCTATCTACCACCTGCCAGCCGTTTTAAGAGAGGTATAGCTAAACGAAATGTTTCTAGTTTTAGGTCTACTGCTGGTATTAGTCTAATTTTAGTGTAATGTCAAATTATATTGACATGTTGCATTTTATATGGGACAAAGTAAGTAGGTACGCCCTGGTTTTTATTGTTTCAACAAATAAGTAATTAAATTCGTAACTACAGTTTACTTAAATCCTCTCTGGTTTTAAAACTCCCGCCAAAAAATAGCTTTGAAAAATTTCACTGTGTAAACGTGACTTTTCACTTTACCCCTCCGAATTAGAGTATTGCTGACTTGTTGACTTGAAAACCTCGTCGATCTGTTTTTCCAAAACACCTGTTGTCCCACGCTTGTTATTATGTATTTCAGAATGAGGTGTGGCAGGAGACGAGAAAATAACTTTATGAATTTGTCTAAAAGGGAAATTCTTCGGTATATCTCTGACAAGGGAAGTGTCACAACTGTGTCTCACCGATTTCGATGCAATTTGGTACAGTCATAGAATGGGCCAAAATAAGGTTCGCACATTTTTTTATACGTGCGGTAAAAGCCCCTGGGGCGAGTTATAGGGGTTGAAAGTTTGGAGAAAAAGTACGNAAAGTGTAAAACTCATGTTAGTTCTAGTTTTAGTTCAATACAAATATGCAACATAGTGATATTTTATGGTAATTAGCGCTATCTACTACCTGTCAGCCGTTTTAAGAGAGGTATAGCTAAACGGAATGTTTCTAGTTTTAGGTCTACTGCTGGTATTAGTCTAATTTTAGTGTAATATCAAATTATATTGACATGTTGCATTTTATGTGGGACAAAGTAAGTAGGTACGCCCTGGTTTTTATTATGTTTAAACAAATAAGTAATTAAATTCGTAACTACAGTTTACTTAAATCCTCTCTGGTTTTAAAACTCCCGCCAAAAAATAGCTTTGAAAAATTACACTGTGTAAACGTGACTTTTCACTTTACTTCTCCAAATTAGAGTATAACTGACTTGTTGACTTGAAAACCTCATCGATCGTTGATCTGTTTTTCCAAAACACCTGTTGTTCGCCACTTGTTATTATGTATTTTAGAATGAGGTGTGGCAGGAGACGAGAAAATAATTTTATGAATTTGTCTAAAAGAAAAATTCTTCAGTATATCTCTGAGTATGAAGGTGTTCCTTTCTTAACCGTTTGTGGGCAGCATTTAGAATCGTTTTTCAGCTATCATTTTGTAGAATATTAATAAAGAAGCGGCATGTATTTTTTAAAAATTTTTTATTTTGCTAGTTTTTTCAAAAAAATGTATATCAGACATCCATGTGCCTTATCGGGTACTACATAAGGCACATCTTCTGTAACTTCCCTAAAGTGGCATATGTAGAACCTGATCCCATCTTTTCTCAAGGGGGACCATTGGTTTATAAATACTAGGAATACTACTTGGAGAGTTATTCTGTCCCAAACTAGGTTTTCCTTTCTTTGTTTCTTCCCTTCCAGTTCCTACCAATCCTGCAAGTACTGCTAAACGAAACGCCTTCAAATTCATGCCACTGCTATTGTTACACCTTTGCTGAAAAATTATGAACGCACCATTTTCTGCTCTTCCTATCTATTCATAGGTTTTTTTCAGCATATCTGCTTTATCGACGAAACCCATATTTTAGTTATAGTGTTTCAAGACTATCGGACAAGAAACATTTTTCGTCCCGCCATTCTTCTTCTTCTTGATAACATAAATTGTTTCGGACAAATTTTCGCAATTGAAGACCAACAAAACTATTCTCTTGTCCATCCATTTGACACAGGAGATGTCGTCGTCAGTGATCCTCCAATCAAAATCACCGCGCTTCAAATTTTTATCAGCTTTGAAGTCCTCTGGTATTACTTTTCTTCCTTTACTGATGGTTCCTGTGGCGTAAATCTTATCTTTCTGCAACTGGAAGGAAATTGTCAAAATAGACAAAATGATGCTTTCCAACCAGAACATGGTCAAATCAGTAATAACCCGAGGTCCTAAATGTTTTTCTGCGATCTCATTAACTTTTCCTATGTATATTTGGAATTTGTCGGTGTAACCACTTGCTTGAGTTTGCTCGAGTCCAAACCTTATAGCCCCATTTTATGGGGTTGTTAGATACGTATTGTCGGATCGCAAAACGGTCTTTGAAATGAATTATTGATTTTGGAGTTCGTACGTCCTTCAGTATTTGATTATACAGCTTCGTGAGTTGTTCTGTCAGTCCTTCTTTTTCTCACTTCAGCAACTCATTGGAGATATTGTCAAAACCTGGTAATCTGCCGTGTCTTAGTTGTTTCAGCAACTATTTTCTCAACTTCTTCAACATCTAGTATTCTAGTGTCTTGGTATGGTACTTTGGTATTGGATTCATTCTTAAGTTCCATATGGGTCATTTTTTATTTCTTTACTAAACTTCTCCGAATGCTCTCTCTTTATGCCCCTTATGCTCTCTGAACCAAGGCTTTTTGTCCCTATAAGGGGTATTAACATTAATAGTGCTTACACTATATACCTTTCAGTTCTTAGCGATTTGATGTTGTATTTCTTTGACAGATTTTTATGGGTAGATGAATTTTAGGGATTTTCTCATCGGGGTCTTTTTCTATCACTAAATTGTGGTCCTATGCTATGTTGGTTATTAAATATCTAACATCCAATCTTTGTTGTAGTCAGATTGCCCTTTGCTTCCTTGAAACGTGATTTTTTATAGTCTTCGTCATCGTTGGCATCCTATTCCGAGGCTCTGTTTGGATTTTCTGTGGGGCTGTGCTGCAGATGGAGTTATCTCTGAAACTCAAAAATGAAATCATTAATAGAAGTTCATCTTCGCCAACATTTCCGGAGTTGTTTCAAGAAAAAGTCAATCATATCATCATTACCCTATGTATATTTTTTTGAAAAGTTACAATTATATAACATTCTTACTAAATTCAACTCATCGACACCTTATCTAACTAATTAGTTGTAAATTTTCATTTTATTGTGACATAATTAACAGCGTTTTTTTAAATTGTTAATAGGTATAACAGAAGAATTTACCACAGAATACCCAATAGATAATACTACAAGTAAGACTGAATTTCAATTCGGACCAATAGCTGATTATTTACCGAAGAAAATGCCTTTATATCCGAAACACCCTGGAGGAAAACCTGGCAATCTTTATTTTAAATATGATCCCGTAAGTGCTGAAAGCATCGATGATTTTACAAACGAATTCGAAAATAAATCAACATTAACTAGTGATAATACTGAAGATTACTCAAAAAATTTTGAAGCACATTCAATACCAACTGCCACTAATTTAGATGATTTATCTGATAAAATAGAAAAACTTTTAAAAGCAACTACAAGTACCGAAAGCATTGAAGATGTAGCTAATAAAATTGCGAGTTATTTATCGACTACGTCGACAACAGAAGATTTGGATATTAAAAATACCTATACTGATAAAAGAAAGCGTCCCAATGAAGTCTTGGAAGCTCTAAAATATTCTTATAAATACAGCAAACCTGAAATTGATGAAACCATAAAAGAATCATCTAAAAATCTCGCTGATTTAGATATTTTAAAAGATTTTAATACAGAAAAAGAAGATAGTAAAAAGCCAAGTTTTACTTTATACATGGGACCTCATTTTACAGCATCAAACATCACTCATATTTATGTCCAAGATGAAATGGGAAGTGGCGTTATGATCGGGTTGGCAAACTCGACGGAAATTGAAAAACTATATAGTAGTAAAAGTTCTGATAGTGATGAGGGTATCACGGAAAGCGAAACTACTAAAAAAACTACATCAACAAAGAAATCAAAGAAGCTTCAAGTACCAAAGGAAGCTGGAGTTGAAACTGATTATGATATGTCTGAATATAAATCGATAATTGATGTATTATCTACAAAATTAAAGGATTCAACTCGATCTTTCAGTAAAGGGAAACATCGATCGTTGAAGAAATTGACTCATTCGAAGTTAAATGCAAAAATGAGAAGATTAAATCGAGGTAAATTAAAAGAAGGTGGTAATAAAAGGAATGTTAGATCATGTAATGTGAGAACTATTAAAAATGAAATGAAAAAAGAAAGAACTCCATTAAGAAATATAACAAATTTGAGTAAATATAAGAAGAAAGATCATTCAAGCACAACTCAAACAACAAAGACAACTTTAAATATGCTAAATTCCTCTTGGTGTAACACCGATGCAAATAGTAAATCTGAAACGATTACGACAACAACCAAAAAAACTTCCAAATCATCTGGAAGTGATCAAAACAGTAACCCTGATATTTTATATAAAGATTATGTTCCTGAGAAGAATGCATTGGATGATTATAATATTGATTATGTGATTGGGACGCCGATAAAAACACATTTATTCAAAGAACTTGCCGATAAAGATGAGTGTAAGGAAACAACAACAATTTGTGTAACAACAACGGAATGTGTTACAACGACGGTGGCCACGAAACCTGTAGAAAATAGTGAACTAATTAATGGAAATAGTAGTGAAGAAATTAATGGGCAGATTAATGGACAAATAACTGAACAGATTAGTGGAGAAATAACTGGGCAAGCAACAATAAGTATGGAAACAACAAGTGTAGAAACAACAACATGGTCGTCTTTTAATGAGTTACTTAAATATTGCGAATCGTCAAATAATTATGACTCAAAATCTGAAATAGTTCCTGGACTACCTTTTGATACAACAACATATTCGTCAATAATGAATTATGATTATGAAACGACTACAAAATATTTTGTTGGGAATCCAACGATTGCAAATACACCTAGTTATGTGCCTTCAAATGATTATGCAAATCCAAATGATTATGCAAATCCAAATGATTATGCAAATACAAATGAATATACAACAACAAATGAATGCACAACAACTAAATATACAATGATGCCAATGATTAATAATTACGAAACAACAACTCCTTCTTTCAGTGCAAATCCAACGATTGTAGCTACAACAACAACTACAAATGAATGCGCAACTCCTTCTTTAAGTGCAAATCAAACGATTGTAGCTACAACAACAACTAACGTAACTACAAATGAATGCGCAACGAAAACATCTGCAATAACCGCAATGGAAACTACATCTACTCAAAGTAGTGCATTAGAGACAACAACATCAACATTAACTAACATTCCAATTAATAAAGCAACTCCCCAAGAAATGCTTGCAATCAAATACAGTTTACCTGCTAAAAAAATAGTATTTTTACCACCAAAGCTTTCGATTGAAAGTGATACAACTGAGAATGAGGATGATTTTGAGGAGTTGTACTCAACTCCTCAAGTTTTAGTTGGGTTGAAAGGGTTACATAATGTTAAAAATAATATCGAAAACAACATCATGAGAACATTACCAAGAAAAACAGAAAATGAATTTGATGAATTATCTCCCTCCACCATATTAAAGAAACACACCCCATCTTTAAGAATAATGGATGATTATGAATTGGAGAAAACAACTTTTGCACGAAATCCTTTTACGTATCAAATGTATGTTATCGATGAAAATCAACCAACAGAATCGAAGTTTTTCATCAATGACCTTTACGATGATTCGAAAGTTACAACTCAAGGAAAATATTCCGAAGAAAATTTTAATCCTTATCCCATCGAAAATGAAATTAAGAGGTTGTTGCGACTCAAAACGAAAAATAAACAAAAATCTTTTCACACCGAAAGTGATGATGATTTTAATGTTTATAATAAGAAGAGTGAGGAAGAAGCAATCGTATTTCCAAGAGAAGATACTGAAGTTAATGAAACAACATTATCAACACAGAAAGATGAAGGAGTTAATAATACAACGAATTCAACTTCGAGTGAAGAAGAGGATGATGAAACGACCTCGACGACATCGACGTCAACGAAAAATCACGAAAAATTCATTCATTTAAAAGATGTTCAGGATGATAAAAAACATAACAATAAAACTAATATATCTAGTTCAGATATGGAATGTGTATATGGCTCGAGTTTGCATGTTAATGCCACGAGTTTGCATGTTAACGCCACCACGAATTGTGGACTAAACAATACTAATTGTACCACTCAAACTACCCCAACTGATGACTATTGGTTAATGTTGCTTAAATATAGTGAAGGATTTTCTGATTCTCCTTTCACACCAGTTAGTAAATATCGCAAAATGGCTAAAACAACATCTCAAAGAAAATTTAAAACATCAACTAATTTCGGAATGGATTTAGCCGAAAAAGTTAACGAAGATTCATCGCTGTTTTCAATAGAAGAAGATGCTCTCGCAAATTCTGAGGATCAATTATTCCAACAACCGATTTTGCCCGAAAATAAAGATGAATTGGAGCAAAGCTCTAATTTTGATAACCAATATATTATGAGTGAAGAACCCATCGATACATTAACCCAAAACCTTTTAAAATACAACATGCACACAACAATTAATCCGATTAATTCAACGTTTGAGCATAACACCGCTAAGAAAAGTTTGTATTCATTTATTTGGAAAAAACCGAAAGGGATATCTAAAAAAATAAGCGAAGCTTGGAAACAACTCGAAAAAGAAACTAATACAGTGGCGGTTTTAGAGGATGCAAGTCTTTTTACGATAGAAGAAAATCAAGGGGATGTTGGAGAAGATGTCGTTATTTTGTCTAAGCCGTTGAAATCGTTGAATTCGGGACAAACTTTCGGCGATAAAAAGGACAAAAGTAAAACGTTAATTGATAACGAAGTGAATCTTCATGGTAAAAAAGAAAAAATTACTCGAAAAGGATCGCCTAAGAAAATCACTAAGAAAATGAAGTTAAATAACAATAAAAAATTATTTACTCAAAATAGAATTTATTATGCTAAAGGAAACAATTTAACAAAAAAATCAACGACGAAATCTTTTAAAACTCTTAGTAAAAATAAAAACAAGAAATTAAGGGTTAAAATCACTGAGTCAGATGAAGAAATTAATAAGAGGTGGAACGAAAAAATTAAAAAATTAAATCTTAAAAAGAGAAGTAATTATTTAAGTAGAAATATTAAGAGTTTAAATGAAGATGAAGATGATAATATTTCGTTGGCGGAAATTTTTAATAAAATTAACTTTATACCGAAAAATAATGATGAATTAATCGACAATAATAATAACAACATCCAATCAAACGAATATACCTTAACAAGGAAAGAAGGTGATAAAATTAAATCCAATGGAAAATTAGAAAATAAAAAAGTGTCAAAAAATAATTTAACTACTCGCTCAACTCATTCAAGCTCCCATAAAACTACAACGAGAATTAAAACGGAATCGCCGTTTAAAAAATTAAATGTAACCACTTTGAAACCCGCTGCTTATTTATATTTGCGAGCTAAGAAGACAACTTTATCCGGGAAGAATAGAAATAAAAGTAAGTTTACTCATAAAGATCATAAGAAAGGACCGAAATTGAGTCATAAAGTTAATGGGATGTCTCAAAAAGGCACTACGAATATTTTAGATCTTAAATTAGTGTCTGTTCCTCCTACTAAACGGGTTAATAAAGGAAGAGTTTCAAATGTATCAAAAACAATGGGTAAATCGACGAAGAAAAATAGCGAATTAAGTACAACACATTCTTTTATTTCGAAAACATCAATTTCTAAATTGAAGAATCAATCGGTTATCCCATCAAATACTCAACCAAGGAATTCGTTATCGACTACATTAATTACTCCATTTACGATTCCTTTAACAACTTCGTCAAGAACTTCATTAACGAATTCATTAACTTCACAATTTACAACTTCTTCACCGACTTCTTTGCCGACTTCGTTACCAACTTCGTTACCGACTTCTTTACGTACTTCTTCGCCGACTTCTTTACCAACTTCTTTACCGACTTCTTCACCGACTTCTTTACCGACTACTTTACCGACTTCTTTACCGACTACTTTACCGACTTCTTTACCCACTTCTTTACCGACTTCTTTACCAACTTGGTTACCGACTTCTTTACCAACGTCTTTATCGACTTCTTCACCAATTTCTTTATCGACTTCTTCACCAACTTCATCATTAACGACTTTATCAAAGACTCCAGTTACGGCTTCACTCACGACTCCATCAACGACTTCGTTAACGTCTCCATTAAAACCTACATCAACGGTTCAAACGTTTCCAATAACGACTCCATCACCGATTTCATTAAAGACTCCATCAACTACTTCAGCAACGATTTCATTAACGACTCCATCAAAGATTCCGTTAACGACTACATCAAAGATTCCTTTAACGACTTCTTCAGTAACGAGTCCATTAACGACTTCTTCATCAACGATTCCAATAAAGACTAATTCGAAGCATTCCTCTAACAAGTTGTGGAATTTGATTTCGAAGTATGCAAAAACAACGCAAAAAATGATTAATATTCCCTTAATTATGAAAACGCAACCGGTGCTTGAAAGAACGACGAGGACTTCCTCTCTGCCCAATAGCGTTGGTGATGAAGATGGCTACACGACTGATATTACTACGGAGCATGTTATAGAAGTTACTCCCGATAAGAATAAAAATGTTAACACAAAAACTTTGGTGGATGTGCAACCGACGGGAAATAAAACGCATGCGATTTTTATTTCGGAAGAAGAAACTGCACGCACTGGTACTAGTATATCTTTTTATACTGCAACTTAGACCCCGAAATTTGAAAAATTGTTTTTGTTGCGCTATGATTTAGTGTTAATTTTTTCGGGGGCTATCAGAAGATGCACGTTTTTTTTATTTAAGTTTTAACAAAGAGATTTTTGGTAATTTTTCTTATACAGCATTACACATATTGTTAGTAATTAACGAATTCAAGATAAGATTTACGTGAGCAAACAATTTTAGACAATATATCACAATTTTAGATGATATAGCACCAATAAGGTAAATAAAGATCATTAAACGTTTCTTTGTCTTGAAATTAATCTCACAATACTAAGACGTCTTAGGTTAAAGACGGCGAGATATATCAATGTAGTGCGCCATAAAATAGACACCGAAAAATCTAAATCAATTTAGCAATTAATAAAAAATGTAAAGCAAGGTAATACAATTTCTGTTTAAAGTTGGAACCTCGAAATCAATCATCGCAAAATGGGTCATTTAATATCAAAAGTTGGTCAAAACTTTTTATTCGTATGTTAGTAAAATCGTTACATAAGGTTTTTTTTAAGTATAATTAACTTAAATAAAACTAGAAATTAACACAAAACGGGATATTTATTAAAAAATTATTCTGATTCGTCACACGAACTCTCCTCATTTGGTTCTTCGTCTTCATGAACACTTTTTTTTACTTTTCTTGAGAAGAAGAAGATGGAAGGTTTCTTTGGAGAACGGTTTGATCTTGCCTGTATGTATAAAAGTGTTTATTTCTGGCTTTAGCAGCCTCCTCTGATAGCTGCCCGATCGGCAACAACGCATGTAAAATAATTTCAGCACCATGCACTAAAATTGTGCGCATGGTTGGTGTCATGGGATGTCATCTGTATCAAGTAATACAAATGAACTGCTTCGTATGCATATGTTTCAAATTTAGCGGCATCAATCACTCATCACATCATATCCACTTGATATTGCTTCCAATATAACCTTCAATCTGTAAATTAAGGTTTTTCAACTCCAGTAATTTCGCTTGTCTGGTCTTGGTCTTGAAAAAATCTTCTAGCCGAATTTGAAATATCTACTAAGAGACCCATCTCCTGCCTGAATTTCTCTTGCTTTAGTTTTTTTTTGTCTCGACTATAGATAGTCTTTTTATCTTCTTCAGATCTTACTTGCCATTTTCCAATTGGAAGCTTGTATGACAAGTGAACGATTAATTTAAACAACCGTATTTTTGCATGAAGGACGGATATTCCTAATGATAGTGATTCTGGGTTAACATCTTTCTTCTTTGATATGTGATTAAAGCTTTTTGAAGTCATTGTAGAAGCTGTGTTAGTTGCGGCATTCCATATTTCCCCATCAACCATAGTAAATAAGTCCTCTTTTCAAAGGTACTCTCCTTTTTTGTAGCTCTTTTACTTGATGTTCTACATATATGATTTCATCTTTGGCAACATGCTTCGTTTCATGAATAAACCTGATTCTTATAGGCCTATAATATCGGGGGGAGAATGGCACTGGATTCTGCCACAATATTTTGCCTTCTTTACTTCTTAATCTAACAATAAGCGGAACACAAGAATTTTGGAAGATTAGTATCAGAGTTTGTTGTGTTTTCAAGCTTCTGTTTGAATTGAGTTTGCTGTGATCCATTACAGCCCTATTTGTGAATCAATTCTAAATTAGATCGTTCTTCTTTACTGCATCCTTCAAAAACTTCATCCAGTTACTGGCATAAACGAGAACAAGTATAGTCCAGAATTACTTGCAGTTTCACCTCAGCACATGTGGATGTTACTAGAAATGCCTCAGATTTTGGATAGCACTGTCGTTTTGCATTTTGTAATAAAAAGTTGTGAATTATACTTCAATATTGACAGCAAACCTCAATAAAGTGGTACAAATTAAAGACTGTATACAGTAAAGCATAATCGAAGCCTACAAGCCATAATTTCACACTGCATGTTGCAAATTATAACTTGAACTTAGACCAAATGTTACGAATCTTGCTGCACCCACAAAATCATAGGTCAACACGACATGTTACATATCATAGTTACAAACTACATACTGCAAGCTACAACTGCTGACTGCATACCATAATTACTGAATTATGATTCAGGTTATAATTACAAATTATAGTTCCACTCTAATTCATAACAGAAAACTGTAAGTTACAGCAATTTATTGCGTACTACAAACTATGGCCGTAGTCTGCAATAATTAGTTACAAATTGTAGACTGTGTACTGCAAACTATAAATCATAACTGCTGGATAAAGTCTGCTGCTGTTATAAAAACTTCAAACTACGTTCGGCGAGCTATAAATGCAGATTCTAAATCATAATTGCAAACTGAAGGCTACAAGTTATAGATTTAGCCTGCGCACTGCAAACCATAGCGGTAGACTGTAAAGTTTAACTTTAAATTAAATATTACTTATCATAGTTATAAACTACGTATTACAAATTATAGCTGTAAGTTGCAAACCACAGCAGTTGACTTAAGATTATAAATAATAACTACAGTATTCTAGCTACGTGCCAGAAAAGCAATAATAATTGCTCATAATATAAGCATTGTAAGCCTAAGTCCGCTAGGTAAAGAATTTGATCCTATATAGGTATACCAACAAAACTATAAAACATGGTCATATAATAAAACATGGACTTGCTGCAATTGTTTGGATACAAAGCATTTCACATTAATAAGTTGTTTAATTTTGTTTAATTTGTTGTAATTTATTATGAACAATTTTTATTAATATAATTATTATCCACAGTGTTTAATTTTCGAGATAAAATCCATTCTTTTGTTCTTCTTTTTTTTCTGCTTCTTATAGTAAGGGTTATCCATCCTCTTCTTCAGCAGGTCAAAATCTTAACTGGGATGCTAAACTTCAGCTTTCGTATCACTCCTTTGGTGGACGTCCAGGAGATTTGGTCCCATACGGTTTTCCTTCCCTGACGATTCTACTATAGTCTCTTCATACTGCCCGTCTGCCTCCCGCACATTTTCAAGTGTACTATAGATTTTGGATTTTTTTGGATAACATCCTCTTCAATATTATTTACTTGTTTTCCTCTTCTCAAGTAACCTCCTGGTGTTTCCAGTCGGTTAGAACTAATGGTGGAACGGATATCCGGCCTATCCGACCATTTTTTTAAATCCGACCGGATACCGGATAGTTACGGCTTTGGCAGGATATTAAAAACCTATTAATTAGTACACCACTTAGGTGGTGGACACTGCAGATAATAATCAAGTTTAACCCCAATAGGACCTTTTTCATTGAATACAACTTTATTTATATGAGGTTTGTCATTAGCAACCTCAGTATAACAATCCAAATACAATATATATTGTCGTATTTATTATTCGTATTCAAACCAATACGATATATATTATAAAATCTCTTGTTGTAGTTTCGTCTAGTCTACTTCTCTTTTCTTGTAATTCATGATCACATTCATTACTAACAGAACTGTCGCTGTTATCACTTTCGATTATTAATTAAAGTATCCCCTTTTTAATGCAAAAAACCGTTTTGAAAAATCACTTTCAGATCTTGAGAAATAAATTTTTGAAATGATCGACAATTTTTTCGAATTTTTTTTCGCCGATTAGGTTTTAAAAATTCATATAAAATCCAGTTCTTGGAATATGAGTATGAAAATTTCTCAAAGTGTTAACAAAAGTGTCCTCTTTCCAATGAACCAACACGTTTTGAACAATCACTTTTAGTTTTTGAGAAAACAATATTTGAAGTTTTGATAAAATTTTTGATGTTGCAATTTTCATCGATAATTTTCAAAATTCTCTATAAAATTAATGTCTTGAAGGATTCTTGTGGAAATATCACCAATTATTAATTAAAGTATCCTCTTTTTAATGCAACAAGCCGTTTTGAAAAATCCCTTTTAGTTCTTGTGAAATAAATTTTTGAAATAATCCACAATTTTTTCGAATTTTGCAATTTTCGCCGATTAGGTTTTAAAAATTCATATAAAATCCAGTTCTTGGAATATGAGTATGAAAATTTCTCAAAGTGTTAACAAACGTGTCCTCTTTCCAATGAACCAACACGTTTTGAACAATCACTTTTAGTTTTTGAGAAAACAATATTTGAAGTTTTGATAAAATTTTCGATGTTGCAATTTTCATCGATAATTTTCAAAATTCGCTATAAAATTAATTTCTTGAAGGATTCTTGTGAAAATATCACCAATTATTAATTAAAGTATCCTCTTTTTAACGCAAAAAACCGTTTTGAAAAATCACTTTCAGTTCTCGAGAAATAAATTTTTGAAATGATCGACAATTTTTTCGAATTTAGCAATTTTCGCCAATTAAGTTTTAAAAATTCGTATAAAATCCAGATCTTGGAATACGAGTATGAAAATATCCCAAAGTGTTAATAAAAGCGTCCTCTTTCCAATGAACCAATCCGTTTTGAACAATAGCTTTTAGTTTTTGAGAAAACAATATTTGAAGTTTTGGGAAAATTATAGTTGTTGCAATTTTCATCGATAACTTGCAAAATTCGCTATAAAATTAATATCTTTTAGGATCCTTGCGGAAATATTGCCAATTATTAGTTAATCAGCACCAAAAAAGTTAATTTTGTATCTTGGATCCAAATAAGTTGACATATCTTATCAGCTTTCTTATTAATTTCATTTTTATTCAAATATCGCAATAATGTGGCAATATAGGGTATCTCTTCAGAAATGCACCAGAAATTATAACCATAACGGCTCCATCATTTCATCACTAGTTAGAACCATTTTGAATCGCATCAATCGATTTTTCCCATATTCAAAAGTCATGGAATATTCTGGAAAACTAATTATGATGGAAAAAGCTGATTAAAAGCATGATTAAAAAGCAATTTCTAAAACCACTAAACTTAATTTTCTAGGAACTTTGTATAACGCCAAATAAGATATTAGCAATAATCTCTTTGCCTTAATTAAATTGTCTGTTTAGAAATTATTTTAATATATATAAAATGTTTCAGATAATGCAGCAATTAGATTAATGCCATATTCTCCAGAATATTCAAACATTGATAATAATGATGCATTGACTGATAAAGAAGTAGAAGGAGATAACGATATGGATGATGGTGAATTCGCTCAATTTTATTTAGATTACCCTTCATCTGAGATTTTATCTGGCAAACCGATACTTAATAAATTTAATAAAAAAATCGACGAAAATGAAACGGAGACAACTACTCAGAATGAAGATGATATTACAACTGAAACATCAGATTTTATTATTTCAGCTACAAATAATGTAGAAATTGATTACGCTGATGATCATGATGTGACAGTTGTGAATTCTCATGAGTTTGAAATTCCTCGACCGAATGATACGGATGATGTTCAAATAAAAACCGAGAAATTCGAATTAAACGGTTTGGGAGATAATGATTCGATAGTTTCGGCCGCAGCTAGAAAAGGATCTAAAGAAAAAGTTGTAAATTATACTTCAATATTCCCTAAGGAGAGTTTGTTGGTGGAGGTTCCAAAACCTAAAAGTATTGAGAGTGGCTGTGATCGATTAAAAGTGAATAAGAAATATAAAAGCACATTAAATCCGTTTATTCGATCAACATATTCTTTTAATGAACCCATCCAATCATTAAGAAATTTAGCACGATCAACGATTTCAACATCTAAACCAACAACTAAATTATTAATACATGTTCCTGATGAAGTAGAAACTCATCATGAATTTGTGGAAAATTTAACAAACACCCCAAGTTTTTATTATTACGGTGGTAAATCCGATTTAAAAAGTTACGATGGAAAATATAGCAAATTAAATAAAACTGTGCCTAAATTTATTAGTAAATTTTTACCGAAATTGCCGATGTTATTGAATACAACTCAAATAATTACAACGACGACTTCTTCCCCTATTCATCAATCGATATCTAATCCACCATTGCCTTTAAAAGTTGATGAGACAATGGATGATGATTTTATTGCAATTACGGCGGCTCCTATTCATCGGAGTCAATATAAAGATCAAATTTTGAAGGGGGGTGTTCAAAAATATACGATTTCGCAACCTGCGATGGGGGTTTTAATTGCTCCCGTTGCGTTAACTACGAGTGCGCCACAGAAAGAGATTGTTTATATTATTAATAATCCTATTAATCCAATTAATAATCGAATCGATAATCCAATTAGAAATAATCTTCAAAATACACCATTAGTTACTACATTTTCGCGGATGTTCCAAACGAATAATGTTGATAAGAATACTGAGATTACTAATTATTTTAAGATTCCAATTCAAGTTGAGGAAGATGATGGTTATTATCGCAATGGTATAACGAGGTTTAATAAGCCTCAAAAGGATCAGGTTCCGATGATTTTACCAGGTTATGCGTTGGTGTCGTTGGTTCCGCAATTATCTAAAGAGAAAGCTCCGTTTTATATTGAAGAAATTGACCAAGAACCCATTACTTATAAGAATGTGCACAAATTTTCAAGACCTGCACATAAATTACATTACCATAAAGATCCGTCGATTATCATTACAAATTCAGATGATATTCCAACGATACTCGTTAGAAGTACAACGGACAAGAATGTCCTTGTACCAATTGTGGAGGTGCCACCACCGAAAGAAATTGATGAAGATTTAGTAGATGATGCTGATTTAAATATACTTAAACATAAAAGTAAAGGGCATAAAAAACTAGTTTGGGATGATGAAAATGAAGAACTAGAAGAAAATGAAATTAAGATTAACCCAAAAAAGATTCATAAATTGAAGTTATATTCTCATAAATTGAAAGGGCACAGTAAAAATCATCAGGGAGAGGGTGATAATAAGTGCAGCGCTAATAGAACATGTCCCCTTGCTGAAGAAATCTACGAAAATGCATTGTTGGCAAGGTCAAACAGTAGCGAACGCCGCAAAACGGCTCATGGTGGTTCGTGTTGTTCCGTTCTTGAAAAGAAATATGGGATGGCAAAAACTCCGAACTGCCACTCGCAATTATCACAACCAACACCTGAAATCATAAATGATTTTGGATATTGGACCATTTTTGGCGATGAGGAACAATGCGAACAAGAGGAGGATGAAGAAATTAACTCAGCCGTTTTAAGAGGAGAAACAACTTGCAATGATTCAACTACGATTACAACAACAACGGAGCAAGAAGAATGCGAGACAACTCGAAAATGTACGACTACTGAAAAAATTACAACTGAGGAGTGTACAACGAGTGAAGAATGTACAACGAGTGAAGAATGTACAACGAGTGAGGAGTGTACGACGGCTGAAGAATGTACCACAACGAAAGGAGTTGATAATAATGAAGTGTTTAAGTATTCAAAAAATAAACACAAAAAAAAATTTAATACGAATAAGAAGAAAGTTTTTAGTAAACCAATAAGTTTGGGTAAAAATGAAGTTGCGCAATTTAACGAAGACACAAAGAATAAAAATATAATAAGTGTTAAACACGCAAAGAAAAAAAATCATAATATTCCTATTCGTAAAAAATCGAAAAATCATAAAAATATAACCAAAATAGAAAACGACCATTTCGATGTTGAAAAATCCACGAAAAAAATGAAATTGATAACTAAAAAATGTAAACCTGCAATTTCCAACGATAAAAAGCCCGAGAATAATACCGTTAAAGTGGGTAACTCAAATACTGAGGCGTTATCAGAAGCAAATAAACAAGAAATTCAACGATTACACGATAAGTGCAAGAATCATTGTCAACAACATAACAAGCCATCTCGTCCTGGTTTAATAAAAGATGATGATGCTGATGATTTATTTTCCCCTTCTAATTCAACACAAAACGAACTTGAAGATGAAGATTACGAAAATTATCCTGATTTGTGTGCGAGAAATAAATCCCACGAAGTTGCTCAAAACTTAACTGGTGATGATAAAACGATGGATGATAGAAAAGAAGAGATTTTGGATAACGATAAATTAATTAAATATACACACAAATCTAGAACAACTAAAAATATTAAAGAAGAAGTTAAAATAAATTCGTATAGAAAAAAAAATAAGGTTTCAACTCCAAAACATAAAAGAACAATGACCATTGATCAAATTAGTCAAAGCACCCCATTTCATTCCACATTATTAAACACAATTAATCTGTTAAATATGTTAACATCATCAACAACCCCTAAATATAAATTAATACCAACATCCACTCATTCTTTTAAAATAACAAACGCCGATAACATTACTACAATGTCTCAAGATGACGAAGAAGAAGAATATGACGAGGATCATTCTATAACCACGTTAAATGAGGATGATTTGGATGATGATGATGAGGAAGAAAATGAATCGACGTATTCGAAATTAACATCGAATTCGAAATCAACGTTGAATTCGAAATCAACATCGAATTTAAAATCAACTCCGAATTTAAAGTCAATATCGAATTCGAAATTAATATCGACTTCAAAATCAACACCGTATTCTAAATATCTCAATGACATAATTTCGCAGAGTAATGATGTCATAGAATCAACTCCTAAATTAGTTCAAGATTCCCCATTAGATACTAAAATCTCCGTGTTTTCAAACTCATCGGAAACAGAAGCATCAAAATCACCATACATTAATAATTTAATTACCCCATCACCTGAAAACAAAATTACGGCAAATCTAAATGACACGAATAAAAAACAAGTTTTGCAACATTCAAAAATAAACGTTGAAGATAATACTACAATTGGATCTCTCGATGATAATAAAGTAACATCGAATAAGCACAAATCGAAGCCAACGACGAAAAGTTTGAATGAAATGATAAAGGAGGTCCAAGATATTCGCCATAGATCAGCGAGAAAATCAACTAATCTCGTGTTTTCAACGAGAGTTAATAAAGGAGTTGTAACTGATAATGGGCGTTATACTATGTCTGATTCTCCAACATCATCGTGTTCATCAAATTCACCGAAGTTATCGCATTCATCGCATTCAAGCACCCAAACAGAGAGTACTGAAGAAATCACAACGGAAAGAACGACTTTGGAGCCTCCTTTTAGTTGGAAAAAAACTATTTCTCCATTTAGTACGGAAGATGAAGGAGAATCTGAAGATCCAGCAATAAAACATAATCCTCAAGAAATTCAAACGTTCGATATAATCACTGAGGCTTCTGAAAATTTTATTCAAGGTGATTACAGCGATTTTGTTTTAAGCGAAAAAGATGGGCATTATGAATCGAATAAGGAATCAACTGAATACGAAAAAGATGATGAAATAAAAGATAACGAGTTGTTAGAAAATGATGTTGAGAATCTTCAAAATTCGCGAACAAGTAAAAGAAGCACCAACATTAGTCAACTTTCCACCAACCCTAAAAATAAGGAGGAAAAAGATGGTGAAAAAAAAGGAAAGGAGACATCGACGAAAATCCCAGTTGGAAATGGTAAGATGGAAGAAAAATTCTTAGCGGAACATAAAGGTAATAATTTTAAACCAGGAGCGAATATAACAATTGGAAATTACGAATTTAATCAAACCGATTGGTCGAAGATCATACCAGATCTAATGCAAACCAGTTTGATTAGTAATGTATCGGATATTAATGAATTGAATAAAAATTTTACATCAACAACAACTTTAACGTCAACTTTAACATCAACTTTAACGACCCGGTTTGAAATAACAATCGATTTGCCGACGTATTTCCCGAATTCGACGGAAATCCTCGGTAATTTCGAAGATTATTACACAACAATACCAACAACAGTTTCCGTCTATGATGACGAAGAACGCGATTTAACAATAAATCCAGAACAATTTCGTTCAATGAAGTTACAAGATTTTTTCAATATTACAGAGTTCTCCACAACCACCGAGGAAACCAGCGAGGAATTGGACCATTCAACACTTACCGAAAATGACGTCACTACTTATTCAACATTAAAAGAAAACCAAGTTATTAATCCAACAACGTCAAAAGAAAATGTGGAATTGAAAGCTACGAAAAAAGAAACTACGCTAAAAGAAAAAATTAACGAAAATACAAGAAAAGAAACAGGTGATGATTCAACTACTTTAATTAGTTTAAAAACTAAAGGATCTCCAATTCTTTTAGAACCCCAATTGAAGAAGAAACCATTTCCAACTGGTTCTGTTGATGTGAATTCAAAGAAAGAAAATAATGAAGGGGATGTATCACATACAACAAGCACAATAAATTCAACGGATTCATCAACTAATGAATTATCAACTGATTCATCGACAAATACACATCAAAATGAATCTTTAAATAAATCATCAAATTCAACCCCTGATTCTTCACCAACATTACCAGATTCAATGAAAGGTTTGCCGATAAAACCGATTGAAATCAAACAAGAATGTAATGCGTCAAATTTTGGGATTGAAAATAATTGCATGTGCTCAATCGATAATTTAGTAGCTGATCTAAGGAATAAAACGAGGGCTAAAGAGTTTCATAAAGTCCTCGATAAATACCTTTGCCCTCACGCAACGTTAGAAAAATCCGGTGTTGTTATTGGAAAACCGGCTCAAAAATCCGAAAATAAAACCGAACGGATTTCGAGATCCCTAAAAAGTTTGGATTTTTTATTAAGAACCCCTAGAAAACTTAATGACCCCGCGCTCCATGAAGTTTTTAGTAACGATATTCAATTAGAAGATACGGGTAATTTTTTATTCTTGATTTATTTCATTGTTTTAATTTTAATATTTTTAGACTACCACATGTACGCAACCCCCGGTTCAAAAATAAAAATACCTTGTATTGGTGGTTCTAATAATAATAACAGTGACGAGATGGCTTCTTGTGTTTGGACTTTTAGTGATGGTGCACCATTAACAGGTAAAATTTCCCGATGTAATAATCGACTTAGTAACCGATTTATTTTTTATAGAAGGAAAAGTTCAAGATAAAGATGGTTTTTTAACGATTGAAAATATAATTCCTCAAGATGCTGGTAATTATACATGTAAAAATGGCGGGAGAAAGTATCCTCATCAACTCTCGATTGTGTCTTTAGCAAATTATGCGATAACTGCTAATATTCTTTATGGATTTCCTGGAAAATGTACGAACGAATACTTGGAATTAATGTATAGTAGTTTTCCGATGAAATTCGAAGATATGCTTTGTGGTGAAGCGAATTCAATATGTTACGTGAATGTGACTAATAAGTGCGTGACAAAAGTAAGGTTTCTTTTAATTAATTTTTTATATATGAGCTGTTTTAAAAGTAGTGTGCATAATAATTTCATAAACTTTAGATTTGAAAAGATATCAAAACGTTTTCAAAGGCTTTTTAAAATTTTTCTAAAATATATAGAAATTCATCACGGTTTTTTATCCAAGAATCGCTACAAATATCAAAGGTTTTTTTGCAAAGGCATGAAATCATTTTTTGAAGATTTTTAAAGATATTTAAATCATTCTTTTCATTCCCCAAGAATTTCAACTATATCCAGGAATTGTAAAAAATATTAAGGAATTTCCAGAAAAATTTCAAGTACTGTAACGAATTTGTAAACGCATCTAATCAATTTTAGAAGATATTTAAATATTTACGAAAATATTTAGGAACTCCTATAGCTTTCCAGATACATCTGCAAACATAACTAATGATTTATTGGAATGTACAGAAAAATTTCAAGAACATCAAAGGTTTTGCAAAGTCATTAAAGCGTTTTCAAAGGATTTCTAAAGTGCTTATATTAAAATATCCAGGAATCATTAAAATTGTCCTGGAATGTCTAGAAAATTCTCTAGAACTATCATGGATTTGCAAAGAAATGATGAAATTTTTAAATGTTTTATAAAGATTTTCAGACATTAAGGTATTTTCGGAGGAATTCTATAAGTTCGCAAAGATGTTGAAACCCATAGACTAGGAGCCCTTGCCTAGTACACCGATGCTTTAAAGACAGTTGGATCAGGAGTAGGCATGGGCATTAGTGGACCAAATAGCTGCATTAAATTACCCCTCAGCTCAGACATAACCATTTTTCAAGCAAAAGTTCTTACTATAAACTTCTGCACCACTTTGAACCTTCAAAAGGGACAGAAAGGTGCATCCATAAACATTTCCACAGACAGTCGGGCCGCCCTAAAGACAATTCAGGCCTTCACGTGTGATTCCGCACTGATGAGAGAGTATACCTGAGAAAACTCGCTAGGGCAATGATGTTACTCTATGATGGGTTCCAGGTCACAGAGACATTGATGATTGGTTGTGGACTACAAAAAAAAACACCTAAAACAAGTAATCATCAGTTGGGAGGCCTCAAAGGTAGTCTTTCACTGGAAAGCCATGCGCCCCTAAATACCATTTTTACCACATTGGACAAGCTGATGATCAAACTTGTCGACTTTACAACGACAAGTCAGAAACGGCAGAACATATACTGTGTAATTGCGTTACCTAAGACACAAAATTTTCGTAAAGCTCTTTAAAGACCTTGGAGCAATACTAAGGTTCATTAAGGACCTACATATGGCCTAAACTTTTGAAGGGCTAAAGTTACAATAGATCTTATAGGTCGCAGTGACGAGAAGAGCCGCTCCCATCAGCTCGGCAGCAATGATAATAATAATAATAATAAAGCCCTTAGACTCAACGGCTTTTAAAAATCACTAAAAATATGCTGGAATTTCTAGAAAATTTTTAAGAACATCAAAGATTTTGTAAAGTCATCAAAATGTTTTTAAAGAATTTCTAAACTACTTCTAAAATGTCTAAGTATTCTCCACGGTTTTCAAAGATATCCAGGAATCCCTAAAAATGTCCTGGAATGTCTAGAAAATTCTCTAGAATTATTAAAATTTTCGATGGTTTTTAAAGATATCATTTTAAAACTTGTCAAGGAGTTGTTCTAAAATAATCAAATAATAAGAGTTTCTAACAATATCCTGATATTTTGGAAGATTTCCCAGGTCATCCCGAGGTGTTTCAAAAAATTCCAAGGGTTATTCAGAGTATTTTCAAAGATTTCTGACAACTTTCAAAAAGCCAGGTTGTTCTAAGATCTATCCAAAAATATTCAAAAATATTTAACGATATCAAAGGATTCGTAGATTATTTCTAGCAAGTTTCAGAATATCCTAAGACTCCTAGGGATTTTACCGGTGTCCAGAAGTTGCAAATATATTCTAGTATTTCCAGAAAATTATCAAAAACCACAGCGTATTTGCAAAGGTATCATATCATTTACAGAGGATTTATAAAGATCTACAAAATATCTAACGATTCTAATAAGTCTGCAACGTTATCCAGGAATCGTTAAAAATAGCCCAGGATTTCAACTATAGCCAAAGACCTCTGAAGACATCAAATCATTTTCAAAGCATTTCTAAAATTTTTCCAAAATACCTGGTGATTCCCCACAGTTTATGACAATAGCTAAAAATGTTTCTGGATTTTCAAAAGATATCTAAAAATTTTCAGAGATATCTACAAAGTCAGGTTTCCAACGAGATCTAAAAAAGTAGAGATATCCTTAGAATTCTGGAAGATTAAGGTATTTTCGAAGGAACTCTATAAATTCACAAAGATATCGCAGCCTTTTTTATCAACAGGTTTATCAACGCTAAAAATATGCTAGAATGTCCAGAAAATTTTCAAGAGCGTCACAGGATTTGCAAAGATTTCAACTCATTTTCAGATGATGTCTAAGAATTCAAAAATATCTAATGATACTGTTTAGAGGTGTCCACAAGTAGGATTTACAATAGCTAATTTGATTATAGCTACCCTATTCTCGGCTTTATTGGTAAAGAATGCCATATTACAGATGCATATGAGTGGTAGATGGTTGGGGTCAGAATTCGTCGAGGTAGTACGCGTACTGTTAGTCTTGGGTACCTTATTAATGGACGCCTACACAACCTAGCTGGTATACATATTTAACCTACGGCTATCCGTGTTAGATCATGGCAGAATAATCTCGACTATTTGTTGTGCCCGTCTTCAGTCATGACGAAAATGTCTTCTATATATCTGCGATGAGTAGTTATTATTTTAGCTTATACTGTATCATTTAACATGGTTAAATTGCCCTCCATTCCTCTGCATTATAGTGGACAGATACGAATTTGTTTTCGTTCTTATTTTAGTATTAGAAGGAGGAGTTGGACTTGCAGATTCAACACATTCTGAATCTGCATTCTTGTTAAGAGCGGTCACTGTCTTTTCTGGCTGTTTGGCTATTGTACTCTTTTCTTCTTCTTTTCTCTTCCGGTTTCGGGAATTACTCCTCTCCACTTAAATATTTACTTTTTGTATAAACACAGTTTTCAAAATTCACTATCCTGAAAAATAAAGTTATTATGGGAACCGTATTTCCTTAAAGTACTCTGCAATCTATGAACAAAGGCAAATCTTGGAAACTTTCGATCAGGCAAGAGCTTTAAGTTCCATGTCCGTTCCATTGCAAAACAAAACCAAGGAGGTTTTATGCCTCAGCAAAGGGGATCTAAGGGCGTAAGCTAAGGATCAAACTTGTCGACTTTGCAATGACGAGTCCGAGTCGGCTGAACATATATTGTGTAATTGTGTTGTCAGAGGCCGCCTAAGACACAAAATTTTCACAAAACAAGGCCTTGGGGCAATATTAAGGTTCATTAAGGACCTATAGGTATATGCCCTAAATTTTTGGAGGGCAAAATTTACAATAGGTCTTATAGGTCATGGTGACGAGAGGGGCCATTCCCCTCAGTCCGGCAGCAATAATAATAATAAAGTCCATAGACACAACGGTTTTCAAGAATCGCTAAAAATATGTTGGAATTTTCCAGAAAATTTTCAAGAACATCAAAAGTTTTGCAAAGCCATCAAAGTGTTTTCAAAGGATTTCTAAACGGCTTCTAAAATATCAAAGTATTTTCCACGGTTTTCAAAGATATCCAGGAATCCCTAAAAATGTCCTGGAATGTCTAGAAAATTCTCTATAATTACTATGGATTTGCAAAGAAATGAAATCATTTTTAGATGTTTTATAAAGATTTACAAATATCATAGCGTTTTCAATAATTTTCGATGGTTTTTAAAGATATCTGTTATTTTAAAGCTTTTCAAGGGGGTTCCAAGTTTTTCAAAAATAATCAAATAGTAAGAGTTTCTAACAGTATCCTGATATTTTGGAAGATTTCCCAGGTCAACCCGAGGTGTTTCAAAAGATTCCAAAGCCTGTTCAGAGTAGTTTCAAAGATTTCTGAGAACTTTCAAAAAGCCAGATTTATCCAATACTATTCAAAACTGTTTAACGAGGTCCTAAATTTCCAAATGTTTTTCATAAACTTCAGATTTGCAACGATATCAAACGATTCGTACATTATTTCCAGCAAATTTCAAAAATATCCTAAGACTCCTATTGATTTTACCAGTGTCCAGAAGTTGCAAATATGTCCTAGTATTTCTAGAAAATTACCTTATTATTATTTATAATTATTTTCAGGGGATTTCTAAAGATTTACAAAATATTTCAGGATTCTAATAAGTCTTCAACGTTATCCAGGAATCCTTAAAAATAGCTTAGGATTTCTAGCAAATTTATAATGAAATTTCCGAATAACCCCTGGGAACCACCAAGGGATTTCAACTACAGCCCTCTGAAGACATCAAATCGTTTTCAAAGGATTTCTAAAGTTTTTCTAAAATACCTGGTGATTACCCACAGTTTTTGACAATACCTAAAAATGTTTCAGGATTTTCAAAAGATATCTACAAATTTTCAGAGATATCTACAAATTCAGGTTTGATATCTAAAAAAGGAAAGATATCCTTAGAATTCTGGAGTTTTATTAAGAACTTCCGAGAATTTGCAAAGACATTAAGGTATTTTCGAAGAAATTCTATGCTAGAATTTCCAGAAAATTTTCAAGAACGTGTCAGGATTTGCAAAGATATCTAATGATACTGTTTAGAGGTGCCCACAAGTAGGAGTTACAATAGCTAATTTGATTATAGCTATCCTATTTACTGCTTTATTGATAAAGCAGATGACCACTTTATACACAGATGCATATAAGTGGTAGAAGGTTTTGGCTCATCCATTCTGTCAGAATTCGTCGACGGATGAGGCAATATGCGTACTGTTAGTCTTGGATACCTTGTTAATAGATGCCTACACAGCCTAGCTGGAATACATATCTAACCTATGGCTATCCGTGCTAGATCGTGCTGGAATAATCTCGACTAGTTGTTGTACCTGTCTCAGTCATAATGAAAATGTATTCTATGTATCTGTGATGATATACCCCGTTCGTCTAATGAGCAAGTAGTTGTTATTTTAGCTTATACTGAATCATTTATCATGGTTAAATTGCCCTTCATTGCTCTGCACTATAGTGGACTTCCAGATTCATAACATTTTGAATCTGCATTCTTGTTAAGAGCGGCTCTATCATGGTTAAGAGATTGCCACTCTCTTTTCTGGCTGTTTGGCTATTGTACTGTTTTTCTTCTTCTTTTCTCTTCCGGTTTCGGAAATTGCTCATCTTCACTTAAGTATTTACTTTTTGTATAATCTCAGTTTTCAAAATTCACTGTACTGAAAAATAAAGTTATAAAGACCTTTAAATTCCATGTCCGCTCCATGCTAAATACTTAGGTTGAGTATATAATGTACTTAACATTATACTTTGCTGTTATTATGTAGCACACCTCCCATTACAATTTCTAGTTCAACTGCATCGACAAGTATTTAATTGTTTTTTGCAAATTATAATTAGACATTCTTGTAAAAGCTATGCATATCACTACTTTTGAAATACTCATTATCAACAATAAGTATTAGTAAAAAACTAAAATATTTCTAATTAGGTCAATGAGTTTGTGTTGGTTGCAATGCAAGTCATCGTAGAACCTTTATCAGTTATTTTACCAACATTGGATATAAATGAATGTAAAATAGCATGCCAACAAAACATTTATGAGAAGATTGTCTCAATACTCTTGAAGAACGTTGAAATTTTCGAAACATTACCAAGTAACAATCAAACATTTTATTCAAATTTATTTAATTATATTTGATTATGTTTTCTTTTAGTATATTATAGTTTAGGGGACAAGAAATTTGATTTAGTCCCAACACCAGCTGTAGTCAAAGAGTCACCACAATCAGGTTCTGATATAACCATGATTCCTCAATTAAAAGTTCAATGTTTCCCAGGATTTGGATTAATTGAAAACACTCACGTTTGCAGTAAATATCTCTTTATTAACATTTAAAATAAATACAATTTAAATTTAATTAATTTATTGATATTAATTCTAGGTGCTTGTGGTAAAAATATGTATAGCACTGGTGAAAACCCGATATGTCTTAAATGTCCAGCAAGGCAATATCAGCCGAACGAAGGTTCCAAATCCTGCTTAACTTGCAACACTTTTTTAGAAGATCCAGCTTGCTTACCAATTCCCGTAAGTTTTTTTTAAATCTTTCATGTTATAATGAAGAAGTAGCAATTAGAAAATCTTTTTTTAACGGGAATTCATTCAATTTTTATTTTAACTTGCAACTTCTTCATTTCAAATAGCGTATGATATCACAAAGCATCAATATTGCCCAATTCAAGATCATTGTGGGATCACTAATCTGCGTCTTGGTATTAATATTATTCATCATCATTTGTTGGACGTGCAGAAAAGGAACTCCATCAAAAAAGCACAAAAGAAAACGTCGCATAACAGATACTTCTTCTGCATCTTCGTGTTCAAAATCGCTTCAGCGCCGACGAAGATATCGGAATTTTGGAAAATGTATGGATGTGGAAGAGGCCGTTCCGTTGTGCGCACAAAATGTAACGTTCGAAAAAGCGAAGGGTCCTATTCAATCGGTGTCACTTCCGGTGACAGCGGCTTTGACCTCTTCTCTAGGTCCAAGACCGCCACCACCAGATTTTCTATAGCCCTAATTCTGGTTATTCTAGTTTTAGTAAACTATGTAATTATGTAAAGTGTTATTGTGTATTTATTGCTTTTCAACAAGAATTATATCAAAACATTTATTGATTTTTAATTAATCCAAGGAAGGGGATTATCAATATTTTTTAAATTAGTAACACTCAAAGGACTTAAATTGGGTTGAATAAACGCTTTTTCTGCTTTCTTTTTATTATTTGTTCTTTTTAAAATTTTATCGCGAATTTTTTTGCCATTTGGAATCAAATTCCAGCGGCTGTTGATGCCAAAATTTCGTTTTCCCGTGATATCAGTAAAAATCTTTGACAATTTATATCGTCTCTTTCGGCTTAAACTCTTCATGATGTTTAAATTAACATCGTGTCCCGGATTTAAACCAACATTAATTAAATCTTCGACGTTATTCATATCTAAGCAAGGTCTTAAAGCTGATAGGGCCCTAGATACTCCTACTTGGGGATGTTTTACGTGATGCTCTGTTAAATCTGCTCCTAAAAGTTCTATGTGGACCTCCATTCGAATCAGAATGATTTTATTGATTATCCAAAGTAGAGTCATACATGAAAATATTCCCCAAGATGCTAAACAAAGGCAACATAAACTTTGGATGCCCAATAAATACCAGCCACCACCTAAAATTTTTATTGATTTATTTTTGTTTCTGGGGGAAAAATTTAAAATAGAACATAACCATTTACTAAACCAACTAAACCATGAGTTGTATTTAGTGGGTGTGGATCTTCTGCGAAAAGTCCAACGGCTAACACACCCCAAATTCCTCCTATTCCATGGACAGCGCTTGCTCCAACAGGATCATCAATTCCAGCCTAAAAATAAATTTTAAAATCTGCTATAAATAAATGTTAGAATCATCGAAAATATTTGGAAAACAGCATACAAGCACGGATAGATGGGATACTCACTAAGGAAATACCTGTATATACTGAAATTCTACAAGGGGACTCATTAAGTCCATTACTATAATAAATGTAGCGATAATTTACGCACAGAATAGGGATCCGATGAAGAATAAGCTCCAAGTGTAAGTGGAAGACAGAAAAACAAGGAGAAGTTCTAAGGCTACAAAGTTTATCATACCACTCATCCAGATAACTCTGTAAAAGAAGACAGTATAATAATAGTCAAAGAAAATATCTTACATTATGAAGAACTAAGCAATAATAGATCAGAAATACAAGCTGCTATGATTAAAGTAAAAACAAACAGTATCAGATTATAGTAGTGGTAGTTTACTGCTCTCAAAGACATGATTTCGAATTTTTGAAATAACAAGGCTTGGACAGAAGACAATAAACTCTACGAAGCTATGAAAGGGTACAAATGCGAAGTATTGTGTACTGTAAAGCCAACATACTGGTCGACAGACCGCAATAAAATAGCAGACATGATAGACTTCTTCATCGTTAAAATCACCTCAGCAAACTACTAACAAATAAAAGAGTCATACAGAAACCAGCTAACTCTGCATTAGTCAATAAACATGGGAACTGTGTAAACTTCGCGTCGAGACTTGAAGAAAAAATAAATCTCACAGTACCATTAAAAAGTAACCAACAGAACCCTTTGTAAAGCAACAAAGACACTAAAAAGACCAATTATGCAAATTCCTCCACTAAGAACTGAAAGTGGAAAATGGTTAAGAAGCAAACAACAAAAAGCTAATACAATATTCTTCTATATATCAGTCATAGTCTGTCTGATTCCTTAAATCTAGGATAGCCTTAATCCACCTTACCTTCTTCTATGCTGAGGTATATATCTAAGAGATCTTTTTAGCTCTTCTATGAATTTCCTGACCATAAAGTTAATATCATACTTTTCATTTGCCACAACAACTTGGTCTTCAACAAAGAGGAGGGTTGTTCCATCTCTATAGACTTGTCTTCTCTATGTTTTCAGCGCTTCTTGAATGTATGTTTTAAATAAGTTAGGAAATAGGCAGCACTCCTGCTGTTGGAAGAAACTGAGAAGCAAAGCAAATATGCAATTGATCAATATAAATTAGTGGAAAGATTATCATGAAATAATGCTAAATGAAGATCGCACAGAATTCAACGTGCATGACATATTGTATATAGTCCCATTCAACAAATGGACGTAACCCAAATTAACGCGGAAGAAATAAAGGTACCTTAGAGAAAATCAAAAAATGGAAAGTCTTCCAGGTATGGAAACATCCTCATTTAGTTAGTCAAGAAGGACCAGAGATATTAAAAAAAATTTGGCAGCACTTTTCCACAGTTTATGTTGGAAGGAGATAATATTCCAGAAGATTGTAACATCAGCTCAATCTTCAAAAATGTGAATGTTACTAGTGCAGTGGGGAGGTTGTATGGCAAAGTGTTAAAGAATATGATGGAAAGGTTTTGTACTGATAATATTTTCGCCCTCCAACAAGTAATCAAAAAACGCAAAGCGATGAATTTCCCTATCCATTTACTCTTCATAGATTTAGAAAAAGTCTACGACACAGTGCCCATGAACAAGCTGTTTGAGATGTTTGAGACTGGCCTATTTGTCACCTTGAAAAAACCCATCAAGTTAATAAAGAAGAGGAAGACGAAGTAATAATAGAAAACTTTATTCAGAATTACAAAAATGATGTACCTACTAAACCAAAGGAGATATCCAAAAAGATTAAAGAGAACATTAACCCACAGAAATAATTTGTTCTAATAGCTGGAGATATACTACATAAACTCCCTAGTAAAGCAAAATGCCAAGTAGGCATTTTCCGATTGACGGATCTTCTCCTGGAACTTCAAGATCAAGATTAGACTGTGCAAAGAAGATCAACAACTGTATTACAACTTAAAGTTCAACGACTTTACTTTACTTTATGGAAACTGATGATACAAACTTAGCACGATAAAGAACGAGTTCTAGTTTGATTTCTTATGATAAAGGCTAAGAAGTTACACCTATAATCGTCAAGGTTCCAAAATTTTAAGATATAACCTTGAAGTCAAGGTTGGAAGAACTTTAAGTTATAAAACAGTTGTTGACCTTCACTTCGCAGTAAAGCCGCACTTGTTACTCAGTGTAATCTTGACCTTGAGATACCTACTACGGAAAGCTATGTGTAGTAAAACTGACAAATCTAATTATTATATCATATAGACCCATTTTTTATTACCAATATTATCAAAGTTATTCGAAATACCAGTACTCAAGAGACTTAAACCTATTATTGAGAAAAGAAGATAATACCAATTGTACAATTTGAATTTAGAAACAACCATTACACTATCGACCAAACACACAGAGTAACAAGTACCATAGAAAAAATTCTGGAGGAAAAAGATGTTTACTTTACAGTCATTTTTGACGTGGCCCAGACATTTGACAAAGTCTAGCATAAAGGATTAATAACTTAAGTCTTCTTTCTCTTGTTCTTCTAGAAGATCCGTAGATCTGTTAGGTAATTATTGTTTCTTTTCTTGGAATAATAAGTTCCCACTATCTCGCCATCCGTTTGGTGGGCTTCCGGGTGAACGTTTACTTCTGGTTTTCGTTTCAGTACGATGCGAGCTATCTTGTTCGTGTCCATTCTTTTTACATGTTCATACTAATCCCTCCCCCTCCCCACCTACGCTCTCTACCCTATTTCACCACGTCTTGAATTCTGCACGTTTGTCTTATGTTTTAGCGCATTTGTCAGCGGTTTCATTTTTGTTATTCTCATAATACTTTTCATTTTGCTGATATCTGCTCTTCTTTCAATGCAGGAGGTCATTTACTAGGTTGATGATCAGATATGTTTACGGCCAGGAATTTAAAATGCATCAGTTGTTCTATGCGGTTATCTTAAGTTACCAATTTGAGCTATTTTATAGATTATTATAGAATGTGAGCAATTGTCTTTCTAGAACGTTTTCTGTTTCAGCCATAATGATAGCGTCGTCGTCTGCGTTTTAATTAATTTGTTGCTCTATAAATATGGCGTCTCTAGTGACTCTGTTTTCCCTAAAATCTTGCTGTAAAAGACTCTGAAACCACCTAACCGGAAAATTTCAAGTTGCTATTCAACAAATACTGATATGGGCAATACCAGTTCATTTTAATAATCAGTAAATACCCTATTCAAATGAACCCAAGTATCTGGGCATGAATTTAGACGCAATGCTAATAATAAACAAATATTTACACCAGTCTGGATTTACCAAATATAACAAATATACGATTCCAAATAAAGTACTTAGATGTATAGTGGCTACAGCCTGGTACTCCAGAAACAGTGATATACATCGAGAATTAGAAGTGGAAATAGTGGACGAAATTATCACCAGTTTTGCAAAAGACTTAAATCTTTTGAGTTGGTTTAACAAAGTGTTGACTAAAGTCAATGAAAGCAGATTTAATGATGACAGAACATTAAGGAGATTACTGAATATACCTTAATTTAAGATTATCTTGTTGCAGTAAAATTTAAAAGAAAAAAATTATTATTTTGAAAAACATTTCGTTACCCAATCGAATAACGGCATGGCTGTGCATACTAAAATAGCTCCAATTGTTCCAATTAATAAAGCTTCCCAACTTTTATATAAAAAGCAACCCGCTGTTACTGAAACCAACGATCCTAAGATTCCATTAATTATATCTAAAACTTCTATTCTTCTCTCATGCTTCAACAACGAAAATAGAATACTAACTGTCCCACCACCAAATGAAGACATCATTGTCATAACAGCTGCTCGAGCTGCATATTGCCATTTTTCACCGCTTAGCTAAGAAAAATTTAAATTACAAAAATTAAATAACGAGAAAATCAAATGACTTACACCGTAAGTACTTCCTGAATTAAAAGCAAGCCAACCCCACCATAAAACAAATAAACCCATAACCGCATTTACAGGACTCCCCAACGGAAGTGCTCTCCGTCCATTATCATAACGTCCTAAACGAGGTCCAAGCATTAAAGCAGCTGCAAAAGCTGCACTTCCACCTACAAAATTAAAAAAAAATCCAAAAATTAATATAAATATTATTTAATTACCTATTAAATGTACTGGCCCAGATCCAGCAATATCAACAGCTCCCATTTTTCTTAAAAACCCATTTTCGCTCCAAACCCATCCGGCCGGAACGCTATATATAATGGTGTTAAAAAAACTGAAAACGCAATAAGCTTTAAAATTGCATCGTTCGGCCATGGCACCGCTAACAATCGTCGTGGCGGTTGTTGCAAATGAAAGTTGAAAAATAAATGCGGCATAAATAGCTCCTTTCATGGGATCATCTAATGATGGATCGATAAAGAAATCGCCGAGCGATAAGAATCCGTTATTCATCGGACTTCTTCCAAATTGTATTGCGTAACCGAAAATCCAATAAGTTAAACCGCCCAAAACGATATCAACGACGTTTTTCATCATTATATTTACTTCGTTTTTAATTGATACGCATCCTGATTCCAACATTCCGAAACCGGTTTGCATGGTAAAAATCATAAAAGAACTCGTTATGATCCAATTGGTATCTTCTAAATTCATGTCGTAGTACCAAGGAACGTGGGATGTACCGTTTAATTGATAGGCTTTCATCTCTTTTATTATATTATTATAAATTGTGGGTAATTTTTATGATTTCATGAATTTGTGTGTCATCTTTCTAACGATTGTGTGTACTTATAAGGTCTGGTTTCTGTAAACACTTAAATATTTTAAAAGAAAATTGCACTCCTCAAATATTTATGGGTGCTTAGTTCTTTGTAACTGACACGAGCTTTTTTTTGAGTTGTATTAATATTAATTGATTTGATTACATCGTGTTTGGTGATACAGATCAAAATTTCAATGTTTGTATAATGCCTCGTTTACACGTTAATGTTTTTATAGTTGATCGTATCGTTTTGAACTTCAATATTGATGGGGAAGAATTTTAATTGAAGTTATTTTTGTTATTATGAAAAAATCAATTTTCAAAAAATTCTATATAATATGTTATATAGAATTCGAATAAGATGGAATAACGACTAGTTTTGTACTCCGACTATTTATCCAACTATGAGAAAATGTAAAAAGGAAGAATAAGTGGACTTTATGAGATACATAGGTACTAGAAAATCTCTATTGATCCCATTTCTGAACACCCCATTAGATCCCATTCTAATAGAGATTTCATCAAATGACAAGGACAGCTCGGGAAGACTACACGTACGTCTTCCCGAGAAGAGAATGAGAATGAGAATGGTAGATGCTAGTCTAGATCCCCCGCAAAAATCTCCCCGTAAGGAGAAAAAAGTGTTGAATGCTTAAAGAGAAAAGGCATACAAGAAATATGGGTAACCTACAAGAATTTCATAATAATGGTAGCCGAAGAAACTACGCAAAGATGAAAAATGTCTAACATAAATGTGAGACAATCAAAGAAAGCAACTCTGAATTAAATATCTAAAAATAGATAAAAAAATTAAAAGAAAAGATAATGGAGACAAACGGAAATATGTATAAAATTTAATGGAGGAATCCAGAGTCATAACATAAGAATATATCATACAATAACAAAGAAACTAACTGTTGTATGCTCTGCAGGAGAAATATATCAGGTTAATTAGAGCACTATATTTCAGATAAAGTCTTCCTATAGTACCAACTGTAGAAAATCATGACGAACTCATCGGTGAAACTGTATCCTGTTCCCCGTGATATTGCTAATAATAATGGACTGGATAAGGACATGAACATGAATAGATAATACAGGTGTTTCTGTAATTCGTGGCATAATTTTAATTACAAATACTAGAGTGAAAATGATGACGATTCGTGTAAAAATTTTTGATTTTTAAATGGCTAAGATGTGGGCTTTCAGAGTGAAGAAATTTTCAAACATTTTCTTACATATTTTCAATATAGTTTGTCTTAGAAAGACTAGATTTGGCAAACAGTGCAATGTTATCATAAGAAATCCTTTTAAGATCGCTATTGAAAACATCCAACCATGGGATCAATGCTATACAGGTGTTCACAAAGGTTATATCCTTAAAACTTTTTTATTACGTCATAAATTTTTGATTAGACGCATTGTTTTGAGATATTTGCAAAAAGATACAACCTCGATTTTGCAATGTTTTTATTAATCGTAGATGCCTATGGAAACAAATTGTAAGTAAAGACAACCTTATAGAAAAACATTTGTAAATATCGAAACGTGAGGAAATTTAAGACAGAAATATGTAAATAACGAGAATCAGAAATCAGAATCAAATTTTGTGGTAGATCGTTGTACTGTTGATAGCAACAGTTTAGACTTTCACAATGTCATGAATAGCAATTGTATCCATACTATTTGCCGAGAGTACAAAAATTAAAAATTGCTAATCATCCGTTGCAAGTACAGTGTTGCCATACTATGATGGAAAAATGTACTATTGATGCTGTATTTTTAGAAAGAAGTACTTTTTAACCATTAATTTGAGAAATGCTGAAGAATAATTGTACTGAAGAAAATCCAGATTTTATGCTACGTTGAGTAATAATTTGACAGATTACTTTTAAAACGCGAAAACGATGCGTCTAATCAAAAATTTGTAAGAGTAAAAATAATTTTAAAAAGAAATAGGCTTTTAGAATTAGTTGGAAAATTTAATGGTTTACGACATAATAAAAAAGAATAAGGAAATAACCTTTGTGAACACCCTGTATAGCATTGATCCCGTGTTTGCATATTTTCAAAAACGATCTTCTCATGATAACATTGAACTGTTTGCCAAATTTTATCTTTCTAAGACAGACCATATTGAAAATGTTTAAGAAAATATCTAAAAATTTCTTAACTTTGATGGTCTATATCTTATCCATTTATGGATTTAGACCAAAACACGAATCGTTATCATTTTGACTCTAGTATTTGTGATTAAAATTATGCCATAACTTACAGAAACACCCTGTATATAAGTTATAAACTGGAAAGATTTTACAAAATGGGAAGATTCTGAATTTACAGACGACGTTTGCCTAATAATATATACAAGAAAACAAATGCATTACAAACTAGGAACTAGGAGACAAAACTTAGAGACCTAGGGGAGACCGGGGCTCATTCGGACACTTTTGGTCAGCTGCCTCTATTTCATCAAACATGAAAGGTAGCTACTACCTTTTAGTAATACAACAAAGTATGCTCTATTACACATGTTACAAAACGTTAAGAGTTTAAAAATATTTCCACTCAGTAATATTTATAAAAAAAGTGCATTTTGTCCGACTGTACCTCGTACCGGGAACATGCACGAGGCATATTCGAACAGTGTGGTAACTAAGAGACCAAAATTATAATACAAAAAAGAAACGGGCTACAATGAATTCAAACTCTTTATTCACATATCACATATCTAAGTTAATTGGAAACTTAATTATTGTATTTACTCTTGTAGTGCTTGACTTGACAGGTTGTGGCAGTTTCAAAATTACATCAGACCTAGGGACCACTGACACGTCCAAGATATTCGGGAAAACAAAACCTGTATTCTCTTTTTTTCTCAAAAATCTGACCTCGTATTCATCAGAGTGATCATCAACAGTATTCATTTGCCAATGTAATGTTTGATGCTTTTGTTTGTAGGAAACTTAACCAAAATGTAATTATCGATCTCAATTATTGTTTCAAACTCTAGTAAGCGTGGCACATCAGTTTCTTCATCTTCTAGGTCCATGTTGTCTAGATGTGATGAATCAGAAGAATATTTGCCTTTTTTTGTTTTTGGAACCTTGATATCTGAATCAGATGAAGATGTCTCACCTTGAATTTTCTTTTGCCATTTCTTTTCTTTACTTACTTTCTTTTCAGTGTTTAATTTTGGCACCACCTTTTTTTCTGATTTCTTACTTTTTGTTGGAAAAACTTGTCTTGTAGCATTTTTCTTAGCTTGTTTCATCATTTTCTCAATTTCAATGTCTTCAATTCGTCCCTTTTCCGGTATGTGGGTGTAAATTTTGGAGCTTCCTTGCCTGGATTTACGTACAATCTCTCGTGGGTGTACTCTTGGAAAAAAGCGAATATCAGCAACCGTGTAATACTTTTTTCTCCCTTTGAATACGTTTACAAGCAACTCTTCAACAATACTTGTCACCATCTTGATAATGTCAGTAGTAGCTTGGATTCCAGAACGACCTGGCTAGTCACTCATTGCATCTTGTTTTGCTGCGGAAATATCTAAATCCTAAATTGCCACGGGTGTGCTGAAAGGCCTATCAGTGACTATTGCTGAAAGATAATCATTTTCCGAGAAAACTTGAAAATTTAGCGACCAAATTCCTTCCTTTTAGAAAACCTCATAATTTGATGCTGTACAGGGTGGTTCAAATTCGATGTCCGAATAGGCTAACTCGGAAACTATAAGAGTTAGAAAAAAAGTAGCTTACATGTCATGATCTCGTTTTTCGAGAAACTGCTAATGCCGAAAACCTCATAGCGCTATCGTCTTTTGTTTTTCCCCTAGAGGCCAAAATTGAAAATATCGTAAAACCAATAAGTGCAATTATCTTGGTTATTATTATAGGTGGAGTATTATAACTACGACATTATATGGACACTTTTTTACAGAGAATTTCATGACATAGTCAAAAAAAATTTTTCGGTTTTAGATTTTGAGATATCATGACAATTTTCGTTTTTTTAAATGGAAACAACCACTGATTATTCGCTTATTAAATTCGTTATTTTTTTCTGATTACAAAAATATAGGGTTCGACAGGTCTATTTCTTATTGTTTTAGAATAAAGCCAAAAATAAACTTTTTTTTTAAATTTCCATCTAGTGTCATCGACGAAATTAAATTTACAGTTTCCTGTAAATTATGGTACTATAACTAAAAATTAAAAAAACAAATTTCTGATGTTTGAAACAAATAAATTTGTTGAACTATTTAATTTATATATGTTTTACACAAAAGTTGGAATAGATTGCATTATTTCACATTTTTTATTAATATTTAATATTATTATTAAATGACTTAATAAATTATTGATAGATGGCGCTCATATATTTTTTTTTTGAATTCAAATAAACATAGCAACATTTGTTTGTATTCAAAAATTTTCTGAAGTGTCACTTTAAAAATCCTGTTTTTTAAGATGGATTACGAAAATTACGAAAAGTTTAACATGTTAGAATGTTACATATTAGAAAATAAAGTAAATTTTATATAAATTTTTAGTAGAATAATTTTTAGTTATAGTACCGTAATTTACAGGAAACTGTAAATTTAATTTCGTCGACGACACTAGATGGAAATTTTATTAAAAAAAGTTTGTTTTTAGCTTTATTCTAAAACAATAAGAAATAGACCTTTCGAACCCTATATTTTTGTAATTAGAAAAAAATAAAGAATATAATAAGCGAATAATCAGTGGTTGTTTCCATTTAAAAAAATGAAAATTGTCATGATATCTCAAAATCTAAAACCGAAAACATTTTTTTGTCTACATCATCAAATTCTCTGTAAAAAAGTGTCCATATAATGTCTTAGTTATAATACTCCACCTAGAATAATGACGAAGATAATTGCACTTGCTGGTTTTACGATATTTTCAATTTTGGTCTCTAGGGGACGAACAAAAGACGATAGCGTTATGAGGTTTTCGACATTAGCAGTTTCTCGAAAAACGAGATCATGACATGGAAGCTACTTTTTTTCTAACTCTTATAGTTTCCGAGTTAGGCTATTCGGACATCGAATTTGAACCACCCTGTATACAGGGTAATTCAACCCCCATTCAATTCGACCCCCACCATTGGGATCTCAGAAACCATAAGAGATAGAGAAATGGTTAAATGGGGGCAAAGTTGCGTATCTTAGAGCTCATCATTTTTCAACAAAGTTTTTGGATCTAGCCGTTTTAGTTTTTTAAATATGGCCGAAAAATATTTTTGCCTATAACTTCGTTATTTTTCGTTTTTTCGTAAATCTGAAAAAACATTTTAAAGGCAACTTTTTATGGAAAAATGTCATGACGCAACTAAAAAATTTCTCCGATGTTCCGATTTCGTGAAACTATCATCAGGTTTATTTCTTCTTATGAACGCCATATCTGATTATCACAACAAAAGATAGGATAATTAATTCTGATTTCAATGATATACAGGGTGATTCACATAAGAACCGACACAGAGCAGGGACATGTAGAGGACAATAAATTAAAATGATTTAAAGTAACTTACCTCTATACTAAGTTGTACACCTGAGAAGTTATAGGCCTTCAAAGTTGGCTCTTAAATTTTTAAAAAGTTCAATATCTTCGTAATAAATTAAGCTAGAAAAACCAAATTTGGTATACGTTATGAGTGTACCAAGGGTATTAATTGGTAGCAAATTGAACTCAATTGAAGCATTTCAAAGGGTTGATTAAAGGTGATGGTATCCTAAATTTTGACAGATTTTTTTAACCTTTCTGTGGATTTAATACATTACTACTTCATGTCATGTGGAATTTAATTCTAAAACTTTTCTTACTCTTATTATTTTTTAAAAAACTTTGTCGTTTTCATAAAAAACTTAAATAACTAAAGACACTCATTTCGTAATTTTACTTAAAAGAAGCGAAAATTTAGTAGTCGGCTATGAAATTGTACGTCAAACTCGACAAATAGGTTATAAAGTTATTTGACAACAAGGTTTTATAACCTATTTGTCAAGTTTGACATACAATTTCACAGCCGACTGCTGAATTTTCGATGATTTTAAGTAGCATTAACGAAATACGTGTCCTTAGTTATTTGAGTTTTTTATGAAAACGACAATGTTTTTTAAAAAATAATGAGAGTAAAAAAAGTTTTAGAATTAAATTCCACATGAAATGAGGTAATAATGCATTAAATCCACCAACAGGTTAAATCCTTAATCAACCCTTTGGAATGCCTCAATTGATCTCAACTTGCTACCAGTTAATACCCTCGGTACACTCATAACGTATACCAAATTTGGTTTTTTTAGCTTAATGCATTACGAAGATATTCAATGTTTTAAAAATTTAAGATCCAACTTTGAAGGCCCATAACTCCTCAGGGGTACAACTTAGTATAGAGATAAGTTGCGTTAAATCATCTTAATTTATTGTCCTCTACATGTTCCTGCTCTGTGTCACAATGTATTTGATTTAAAAAACACTGAATTATTCAAAAAAAAAAAACCTGGTGATAGTTCCGCGAAAACGAAACGTCGGAGAAAATATCTAGTTGTGTCATGACATTTTTCATAAAAAGTTGCCTTAAGAATGTTTTTTCAGATTCACGAAAAAACGTTATAGGCAAAAAACGAAAAAGTCATTTTTTTGTTTTTCGGCCATATTTTAAAAACTAAAACGGCTAGATCCAAAAACTTAGTTGAAAAATGATGAGCTCTAAGATACGTAACTTTGCCCCCATTTAACCATTTCTGTATCTCTTATGGTTTCTGAGATCCCAACGGTGGGGGTCGAATTTGAATTACCCTATATAGACTTTTGTCGTTTATTGTAATTTTTAGGCAAAATTTGACAGCTTGGAATTGACAGAATTTTGGATTTTAACAAAATATACATAAATATTACCTTTTTAATGATTTAGCAAGTGTAGAGCAAAAATCAACATGAAATCATTTTAATTGAAAAAAAGTCGACAGCGACTAGGGAAAGTTTGGGAATCACTGAGTTAGTTAAAAAAAATTAAATATTTTTAAGCAACCCAACTTACATCTAATCGTAAGACAAATTTAATTATTGAACATAATAAATTATCCTTCAACATCTTTTTCGATGTTTGTTGTAATTTGGGGACACCACTAATTCTAGAATAAACTAAAAATGTAATTAATTAAAAATATTAGAATAAAATAATTGGAAATTATACAATCTTTAAAGCTAAAAATGAAAGTGCAAAAGATGATTTAAAAGTTATGTAGCATTTGTATTTCTTTTACTACGAATTTCAAGAAATAATAATAAGAAATAAGTGTTGTTTAATTAATAAATAATTATTATTTTATAATATAAATAACAATTTGAATTGATGGCTGTGTGTGGGAGAAAATTAAAATATAAAAATTATCAATGGAATAAATTAATATTTATTATTAAAAAGAAAATTTAAAAAAAAAATGTTTATTTATAATTGAAGCCATCTATCTTTGATATTAAATAACAAGAATTACTATTAGGGGATAATTTTTATGTAAACTACCGCTACGTAACAATAGATGGCAGTGCAAACACAATTTTTGTGTTTATAAAAATAATTTACCTACAATTAACCCCAAAAAAGTAAATATTTATTTAAATGAGTAAAAAAGAGGAATCAACAAATACGAAAGAAAATTAAATGTATTTGATTTAATCTTATACTAGCTTGTACAAATAACAATATTTACTCGCTTAGATGTCGCTGTGTCAATAGCGAGAATCTCTCGTGTTCAATGCAATGTAGTTATCTGCACGGTTACGGACAACAGTGTCATTATGGTTGTTGTGTAAATACGAGCACGTTTTTGTTGTTGGCCGATTTGTGTAAACAAAAGCATATAAATTGCGAAAAAAAAGAAAACGGAAGGGTTCGTTGTAAACGGTTCGTGTTTGAATCGCGCGCCCTTTTTCCGTTTTCTTTGACAAGTCGGTACATGAGGAGCCGGGACTGTCGTTGGTGGTGTCAGTAGTGAATCAAGATGGCGGCGAGCGACGATGAGCCTATGCAACATTTATACGAAGTTTTTACCACTTGTTTCAATAAAATCGCTAACAAAGCACCCGGTAAGTAATCTTAAATTGTTATTTAAACGCGACGCTCGATTTTCAGCGTATGCCCGAGTTATCTCGAAGTAAATACACTGTGCAAACCGTAGATTAAACGGCGCGTGCTATCCAAAACATTATAACAGCTTGTGATAGTCACTTAAAAATCACTGGGAAGTCGGTGACTCGGTGCCCCTCGAATCATCGCGTTTCTTCTTATCAGTTCACGCGATGAATTGTGTATTCGGGGACGGACAGATGCTGAAAATCGCGTGCTCTCGATCAGTATTTATTTAACCTTAATTCAGTGAACAGGTTCGAATAAATGAAACTATGTAAATTTTAGCTGTTATTAGAAAAATCTATTACATATTTATCTATTATTGTCAACTTTGTTATTACCGCGAAAACAACGAGTTCTTTAAAAGTGTTGGGATCGTGCAAAAACAGTGTTGTTTTGGTGTTTTTTTTTTGTTTGGAAGATATTTTGAAGTGCCGAGAGATCTTTTGATATCGCGATTTCGTCTCAGAGTATTTTGCTGTTGATACAGCTGTCTGTTGTATCTTTGGGGAGATTTTCTTTGAAATCTGGATTAATTTTACTTTTGACATCATGGATTATTATTCAGGTATTTTATATTCTATGTACAATATCTAATTCTTATTAATGAATTTGTTATTATCAATATATTTTTTTTGTATAATTTTATACTTAAAAACTACAAGCTACAATTATTTTTTTATTTACTAACATTCTTTAGTTCTAGTACTTTTAATTTGTGTATAATTTGACTTGATTCTAGTTTAGGGGAATACCACATTTGTGAACAAAATGTATACAAAGTTTGAGTAGAATTGAGTAAGTAGATTATGGATACCAATTACCAAAATTAACATTGTTGAGCTTTTAAACGCAAGTTCTTTGCAATACAGTTAATTTGCTATTCCAAGACCATAAAGAAGTGCTTCTTATAGGTTGTATATATCCTGTAAGTTCACCCATTCAGATGAGCTTCATATGATTTGTCTTTAATGATCTTAACTCTGCTTGTATAACAAGGTTACAATGAACTATTTTCACTGACTACCTCGATCGCATTTTGTGTTTAATGTGCCTGGGCTGCTTGTATGACAATGTTTCAATGATTTATCTTCCAACGAGTGAGACAATGAAGCTATAATACAGACGTTGAAGACTCACTATGTCGCTAGGACACCAAGTAATGGTCTTGGTTGTAGCATCTTGCAAGCAAGCACCTCAGCTAATTCTCCAAACTACCAGAAACTAAACCGTCATGAGCTTCATTGTTCGTTCATTTTTATTCTATGATTGTGCACCTATGCAAGATTCCAGTAGCTCATCACCAGATAAGTCTTGAAAAATGTGCCGACAATTTCGGCTTTAGCTTACACCAACCGTGTTAGATTTCCATATAACATTGCATATTATTGGTACCTTTTCATCTGTGTTACAGCTTGGCAAATATATCTTGGCCGGTGAAGGTCAGATGCGTCGTAAGAAATGATGGGCGATACCTATGAAGCTCATTCTCTGTTATATTTCACGGAGTGCGTATCGTGTACATGTGTTTCATATGGGATATTGGGACTGAAATAAATAATAATAGAGCCGGGAAGCTACAAATGAGAACCAATTTCAAGTCTATATCATATTAATCATTGAGCATCGGCCGCAAACGACCTTGGCTTAATTAATCACGAAATGATGAACAGTTTCAGGTTGATATAATATTAATCACTGAACTACGGCCACGTGCGACCTCGCCTATAATGGCATCCTTAGAGACTGTTTCAAAATTGACTACTTCAAACGTCTTAATTACTCTCGCGAGTAATTCACTTGATAAAGCCGAGCCGCTTGTGACCGAGGCGTTACAATATGATGACCGACCAGCTTTAGGTTAATATAATTTTAATCACTGAACCTCGGCAACTTCTGCTTAATTAATTTAAAGATCTATTCAGTCATATAATAAAGCCGAGGCCATTTGCTGCCAAGGCATTACAATATGATGATCAGTTTTAGGTTAATATAATGTTACCACGGTCGCAGCGTCCTCGGCTTAATTAGTCAAAGTATCTACAACTTCACCTGATATGTACAGGGTGATTCTCAACCTATACGCATAAACTTGAGGATTTACTCCTCACGACGAATAATGACTAATAGGAGAAAAAATTTGTAGTAAAAGATTTTTTGTTTCATAGATATCCGCGATATTTACTTTCAAATCAAGAATACATAGAACATTTTTTCTATCAATTGGCCTCCCGGAATCCACGATCTCCCATTAGCGCGGTCTAAACCAGGGTCTGGGCAGCAGCATGTAAATGATTTTGCAATATTTGCTCAGTATTAACTTCCGTGACGTACACTTTGCTTTTTAAGTGACCCGACAAGTAAAAATCAAGAGGGTTGAGGCTGGACGATCACGGTAGCCAGGCCATTGGACCATCTCGACCTATTCATCTTCCAGGAAACACATTATTTAGATTTAGAGAAACTAAAAAACTTTTACTACTATTTTTTTCATCTATTAGTGATTATTTGCCATGAGGAATAAATCCTCAAAGAATCCTATGCGTATAGGTTGAGAATCACCCTGTATATCTGAGAAGCTGTAATATTACGAGATAAGTTTTTGGCGACCGCTATACCTAGGGTCGTCGATATCTCGAGTTCGTCTATCTCGCTTAACGATTTACTATCGCACTCCTTCTTCTGCGCAACTGATTGATTTGCCAAGCTGTACTTTTAAGATAGTACGCTGCTCATATTTCTTCCTTCGCATCTTCCACAGACTCGGAATGTCTCCGAATACCCAAAACCATAGTACTTAGTTCAACGACAATTTTGTCAGTTAATTTCGCAGTACCTCTACCGCCGATACCTTTGTTACTGTCTTTTTACGTTGCTCAACATAACGCACTCATAATTGTTTACCTACATTAACAAGACTTCATATTCATAAGAACTTATTTCTAAATTACTCTTGTACATTTTGCTATCCTCATCTTCCATATACTTTACATGAAGTACTTCGTATTTATCTTTCGATTTTAGGAACATTTTAATCATATCTTTAATGGACTGTTTAATGCGCTGTGGTTCCATAAATTCCATAATTTTCTTGGTGTTGCGCATATCATTTATTGTACTGATCAATACGTTCATTTTTCTTTTAATTCCATGCATTACATGCCTGACGAAACTACTTTTTATTCTGCTATCAAGCATTTCATAACCAAATATTCTAATTTTATAACTTGTATCCCAAACAGTATTCTAACTCTCTTTTCCAAAATGGTTTCTTCAATTGTTTGCTTTTCTAGAAAATCTCTCAATATTCGTGATTGCCTTAGTTGCCCTTCTTCTTAAGTGCATCTTTGGGAAAACGTCGTATTCAGAGATTACGTGATTTTCAACTGATATGCTCAATCAAATCTGATAGTCCGCCTAGTAAAGAATTTATTGCGGGTTTCGCCAATTCAGCTATCTCATCTGCGTTTGTAAACGGGGCACGATCGTGGACGTGAATATATCCCACTAACTTTGAAACTGCTTATAATGTGTGCAGGGGAAAAAGTATTGAGATGAGCTTTTCCTAATAGTTCAGCAACGTCAATATAGTCTTGCAAATCAAGCCATTTATAGGCTTATATATTTATTATGTGTATTGTAAGGGTAGAAAATTAACATCATAAATGTAACTTCATTGACTTTTCCGACTAACTCGAAATTTACATGACCACCGACATTGTCAAGCAGTATAACAGCAAAGTTGTACTTAGATGGCTTCCTTGATTCTTTGAAGAAGTTCACGTATCATCACCCATTGAACCTGGTGCAGCCTCTTTCAACATATCAGCTTTGTATCAGCTTTTTTATGTTGATGTTGCGTTAGGTAACACAAAAAGTAGATTCCCATGGCTAATATTACTGTATTACTGATATTTTGATATTTCTGCTAATATAAGCCCTCTTATTTGCTTTTGTCCTCTTAGATCCAAGATGCTTGGCGATTAATGAACGGTTGTCATAACTGTTTCAAGAACATTCTATATGTTTGAAAAAAACTTTGTTTTATGAAACACGGCGTAAAGATTGCCAAAAAAATTCTCTGTTGAAGGCGGTCGCTTTATTGCTTTTGCTTAAAGTTAAGTTGAAAAACCATTCATTAAAAATATAAACGATAAAATAAGCAACTGGGTATCTATGTTTCGAGGCAAAACCTCAGAAAAACTTGCCTTGCTCAATTCATGAAATATGTGGTTTAAAAGTGGTTTATCGTGATGCAAAAAATCAGTGGACATGAAGGTATATTTTTTAATAATTGACACTGTTATAATATTAAATCCTATGACAGAAGCAATACTTTGTTTAATTATAACACATCCACTGCACTTTATACACTTGATACTAACTAGATATAAACAGTATGCCACATGCAAAACTCGGATATTTGATACAACACGAAAAATATCCTTTTAAATCCTTATTCTACACATTATAAATCATTGAAAACGCGAAAAATATATTCAAGTTTATTAACGGACCTCACAAGAATACTGCTTTAATAGCTCTTTTATAAACTTCGTCGTCATATAAATAACAAAATATATGCAGGGATTTAATTACTGCTACATAACTAACATGGTATACAAGTTACAAAATGAGAAAAGAACTGTAAAACATGAGTATATAGTATAGCATATATTAACAAATTTGCCTGGAATTTGAAAAGCTTCATTAATAATAATTAAGAAAAATAAAACATATTTTTACATCGGTGATTCACATTGTACTCAGGTAATAACTTTTTCTGTTGGTGGCATAAGCATCAGTACGGTGATTCTAAGTTGAAAACAATTTTTTTTGTGGACTTAATAATATTTATTATTGGCTCATACGCATAGAGCATTTCCACAGGTCGCTAAACATACCAGAGTACAATAATGAATATCGTCATTCATTGTATAATCGTTAACCTTCACGGTGTACATTTTTTGACTATTAATGGTAAATAGTTTTGTATACAATTTATTATATTGTAGACTTGTAATTCTTAAGAATGCTCAATTAATTCTGTTCTAACAAAAGTTTGGTAGGCATCATAAATCACACATTATAATATAAATAATAGACAATGCATATTCAAACAAAATAAACATAATATGCCTGTTAGTGCAAACTTTTTTTGTTGGTTTTCATGTAATTCGTGAAGTGATTACCAATCAGGCGTTCTAAGTTGATAGTTTTATCAAAGAACCGTTGAATAACTTTCCATACGATCGCTGTTTTGTATAGTCTATCATTGTTTGTGGCTTCATGACTTCTTTTCCACGATTCGTGTAGTACTATAACAGTAGAAATATTATATACTGTACTTACCAGGCACATATCTTCCTTGTCATGCCATTACAGTGCCATCATCTTTCCATGCATTTATTGCAGCATATTTTTTCCAAACATGGCTGGTCACATCGCTATGCACTAAAAGTTCGATACGCATCGGTTCTGTCTTTAGAACAAACTCTTAAACTTACAAAGATTTATAAAAGTTATTGGTTATTACGTAATAGTTCTGAGTTAAAAGGTGAGATGCTG